TTTTTGTACTCTAAGAGGTGATACCGGATAGATGTCTGTATACAGCTCATAACACTGGATATTCTCAACAATCCTCATCATCCATAACAATCTATATACTTTCCCACATGAGTACCATGTGATAATATAAGAGACAAGAGAGATTCGAAGCCGAAATGGAAAAGGAGAGAGTGGGGGAACAGGAGAGTGTAAGGCACTGCGGTCAACATGCTCATCTTTCAACGTCCTATTCCCAAATGCGCAACCAGGTTATCCTTGCAGTTGTAGTGTTCCCCACGATCTGGACATGTATACGAGCCTAGAGAGACATGGAGGAGTTCAATATGCCGCATCAGCTCTGCTTTACGAGAGAATGTGTCTCTGTACCTGAAACCGTTCCAGTCGCACCGCCACAGGTTTGGCTTGTTCGAATCGTTGGTTTTAGGAAGGAACATTAATTTACGAGTGCATAGAACACCAGAGGGAGGAAGAAAGGGAGTGTAAGCAGTGGAACTCACTTAGCCTTGGCTATCTTGCTTTGGGCACCGCGTGACATCTGGTCTTTCTTTGTACTATTGCTCCGGGCTGGTGGTAAACATGGATGCTGGATGGCGGTACTAACCATGTGTAGTTGTTGCAAAAGGACTTGAGATTGATTGTTTCGACTGATAGGTGTTGGGTAGTTGGAGACTTCTTCAAAGGCAGGGCAATGCGTCCTTGTAGTGTCATCGTTCCGCCAGGGGAATAATTCATATGGAGAGCTGCAAAAAGCTGGATCTGCTGGCATTGCTCTAGGTTATGGAAGGTACTCGCACATAAGAATATTCATCGAGGCTTGAGCTTGGTATGGGATCCAAGAGTCCCGTGCCAGATATGGTGGCGGAGCTTCATGATCTTGGTGATATTCGCCTCTGCTAGAGAATGGGGTGGGATCACCCCGTCTTCCCTCCATAGCAACAGATTATCAGAGAAAGCAATGAGAAGAGGAAATTGAAGTGATGGGATAGAAGTTGTCGAATCAAAAGTGAGTCGTCGTCCTTGGATACTTAATACTTATACTCGGTTTTCTTTTCAGAGTGATTCTTATAGCTCGTCACACCATGCCTGGACCAGTCAGCATGGCCGCGCAACTGCACTACTCCCCAATCCATCAATGCATAATGCAGCCTTCCTGCATCCCACCAAGGGTCAGCTAACGCTGGCCAATCACTACTATTGCGGCTACAGGGTACTAACTCCCGACAGCCTTGCCCCGACGCAGCCCGCTCCCTCTGGGCAACTTTCACCTATATGCGTCGTCGTCCCATCAATGGTGCACTCCTTTTCCAGTTCCAACTGCTACAATCACGTGGGATTGAAATGGGAGTCTTCCAAAAAAAAAAAAAAAAAAAAAAGAAGAAGAAGAAGAAGAAGAGATCTAATATTTCTACCCAAATGTACGAACGAGCCTTAAGGCACCGTAGGACTAACCAAGACCAAGTTGCCCGGACTATTAAGTTCCTCTTACCATGATATCTAAATATATACAGAAAATGATAGTATAGAAAGGTGACCAATCTGAGAACTTAACCAATTGAAGGACAGAGGAGCAGAAATGTATGCTCAAGCAACACAAATTACTTGAGGGTCGATGGAATTCAATCCTCACGAAAAGATTCGAGAAGACATTTCTTAACATACCCTATTACATCGAATAAAACAACCTACATAATCAACACCAAATGTAAAGGATCAAAAAAAGAGTACACTAATCGCTAAACCCAACTCCACTACATTGAACAAGATACACTAACCAGATAGACCCACAGATATAGAATTCCACTAGAACCATAAACATAGCCCTATGTCTATACCACGCCGCTAACCACCACACTAATCCCCTCTCCAAACCTCCCCCGCGAACTCCCTCAACAGCCCATTCAACCTCTCCCCCTCCTCCAACTGCACCCAATGCCCACACCCCCAACACTCAATTCTCCGCACAGGCACAAACTCCTCGGTCTGCTTCACCTGCAGCCAAGCCACACAAACGTAATCCTCCTCCGCGCCCACAAACAAGTTCGGCAGGGGGCACTTCTGCTCCAGCCCCTCCTCATCTTTATCATTTACCCCCGCCATAGCAGCCCTATACCAGTTCAACGGGGCCTCATAACCCGAGGCGGCGAAGATGCGGTCCCGCGTGGTGTACTCGTCGAGAGAGAACCACCGGGGTAGGGGGGTTGTTCTGTTGGCGCGGACGAACTCAGCTGCTTTGCCGGTAGGGGCGTAGTTGGTTCGCCAGAGGCAGGGGTCTGTTGGGTAGGTTAGGTTGAAGGTGGAGGCGGGCTGGGTGGGTTTTATTTCATTGTTAGATTGGTTTTATCATGTTATGTCATGTTATGTTATATTGGGCATGGGATGGATACGTACGTGGGTGTTGCAGTCGGTGGTGGACTGGGGTGTTTTGTACCAGGTCCAGTAGCCGTAGGGTTCGTAACCGAGGATCTTTTTGAGATCGGCGTTTATTTTGTCTGGGGTTTACTCATTTTAGCTAGGCTTTGGGATTGGGTTAGGGGTTTGGGTTGGGTTAGGGGTGATATCGTGTGTGTGTACATACCGATGTTCCATTTCAGGCCCGGTTGGATGTAGGCTACTGCTAGGGTCACTATGGCGTGGAATTTGTTGGGGTGGTAATTAGCTAGACGGGATGCAAGTGTTGTTCCCCTGAGTTAGATTGGATTGGATTAGCTGCTTCTGTGTTTTCGTTTGCTTCGTCGAGAGTGCTAGAAAGGGACGAGTGCTGACAAAAGAAAAAGAAGGTGTATATATGGGGATAATGAATGTACATATACTTACCAATCATGGCCCACGGCAAATGCCTTCAACACTCCCTCCCTCTCCATGATCTCGACCATATGACCACTCATCACCTTCATTAGGTAAGCTGTCAATTCGCTGGGCTTGTCGGTGTCCCCATATCCCAGGAGATCTGGAGCGATGACCCCGTATCCTTCTCTCTGTAGACCGATAATCTGATGACGCCAGTCATAGCATGATGAGGGAAATCCGTGTAATAAGAGAAATGTCGGTTTAGATGAGGTAGAGGCCGGGACAGATACATAGCCGTACGTCGTTCCATCGCAGAGGGTTGCCTTTTTGGCTAAGGATGGAAATGCGATGGACGCCATGGCGTGGAGAGTTGCAAGATAATGGAATTAATTGACAACCATGTTTGGGGGATTTCTTGAGTATTTTAACCTGGGATTTAAATAGACACGTCATAGGAGTGGAGGGTTCCACGGCCATGTTGAACCCTACTTGTAGAATGTAACGAGGATAATCGGCGATGCAACGCTCGAGTGCAGCTAATATGTAGCGTAGAGACACTCCACCTGCTTTTTGGGCTAGGTTTGTCTTAAATTATCCACTACCTCGACTACCTTTCTCGCTCGTTCCCTTGCATATATTTCCGAAGTCGTTCAATACTAAGAACAGATTCGGGGGGCTTAAGTGTTGTTGCAGCTTCTATCAAAAAACAGGCAACACCACACTTAACGCCCATAGTATTATCCCTAACAGTTTGAACTCCTTACATTAGGCTGACCAGGAATTTTCAATTATGCTCAATGCCATTAACCTTCGATTCGGCCGCTTCCAAGCATCCAAGCCACTCAAGGCCGGCACTCTACTTCAACAGGAGAGGGCACCCCTGCTCTTGTATAATACCCCAGAATGAGAGATAATCTCCGGGTTACATTGTATATCTATTTATTTTATGTTACTGAATTTCTTATATTGGTAGTAATAACATCGTTTGAATGTTGTGGTGTGGTGTTGGATCGATTCCGATACTTCCTCCTGTTTTATAGTACTATACTTTATAAACATGTCAAATAAGAGTTTGAATATTGTGGTCTTATAAAGTATGAGAGTAGTGTTGTTTGATATGCGTATTTATTTTTTTAAGGTCTATACGGGCCTCTTAGTTTATGCCCAGTACTTAATTCTTTTGCATTGGGGTTAGAAATAATATAGAGGTAAGTCAGATATCCAGTCATTTATCGCAGAAGCTTGATGTCTCGTAGCCAAATGTAGAATGCAATCGATTAAGACAGATGATTTGTATATTCCAGGAGCGCTGGGGTCATATAAATACAGCAAAATTAAAATTAAGACAGTGACTACTCTACCCATCCCCATAATCTAATCCAGCTCATGATACATATCTATCGTGAAATCATTAGTCGTACACATCGCCTTGTGCTAATCTCTAGTGTCTTAACCTCTCGAAAACCAATGTAACAGCATATAGGGGAGAACAATGAACGAAGGGGTGTAGCGATACGGTGAATTAGTTGCCATTCCTCAGGATCAAATCTCGAGCTTGTTGGGGATCAGTGCCGAGGACGCTGATGAGGTATTCAATACTATCAATTCTCCATTAGCATGTGTATGTCCGCCAGAAAGGGCCGTCAAAAGTACCTTGCTTCCGATGCAAGTCGGCGTTTTTCCTGTTGGAACTCCTGTTGGCAAGATTCCCATACGGTAGCACGTTCTTTGGGCAAGACGGTCTTGACCCGGAGTTTGAACGATGCGCTGACTGGGCGATGGTCAGAGGCCCTGGCTTCGTGTCGCCGGTATTCGATTTGTTTCACCCGACCAATTCCCCGATACAAGACACGATCACACCAGGCGGGAGAACGCTTCTTGTCGCTAGTGTCGTAATCATCGGTGCCTACGTCGTACTTGTAGGTCGGCGCAAAGGTGATGGGGGCCTCGGTAAAAGATCGCAGGCGGAAACCCGGGTTTTTGCGTCTCGATGCCAGCAATTGGTCCCTTTCGAGCAGCTTCGTGAAGTTGTTTTTACGAATATCGTCGATGATGACGTTGCGGGGGATGGAGTCAATGCGATAGTTAAGATCTCCGTTCAAGATACAGATCTCATGATCCATGATCATCGACCCATCTCCGCCGCTAACAAAACGATCCGCGCGGGCCATGAGACTAGATTCAGATGGAAGACACTCTGATTCCAGGATGGCAGCTATATCATTGTTACGGTGCGCCGTGTGCGACTGCCCGGCTGCCAAATGACAGTTGACAAAGCACAGAGAACTATCATCTAAAACAAAGCGGAGGATCAGTGCACCCTACAAATGTTAGTCGGTCTTCGTGCATACAACAATGTCATGTGGCAAACTCACTTTGTTGCCATGCAACCCTCCCATTCCACGCTTCACCTCTGCAGCGTTCATATCCTTGATCCTTGATCGCTCTTTATGCTTCACAAAAATGCAAGTGAACAGACCAATCAGATCCGCGCTGTGCAAAAGGACATACGACTCCTCAAGAGGCATGCACTCGTTGATACAGCGTGTTAAATGTTCCATCCATACGCGGTACTGGCGGCTCATATGCTCCTTCTCGCCGTTTTCCCTCTTCTTACTTCCCATGAGCAAGCTCTCTGCAATATGTTAGTCGACTAGGCCGGTAAACTTCAGATACAAAGATACGCACTGGCTGTGATTTTCTTATTCTCGAGATCCACAAGTTCCTGGAAGCCGAATACTATAATCTCTGGCGGATCCTCGGGATGTATAGCGTCCTGAATAAAGGTAGATGTACGCACACTGCCTGGAGTGGAGGCTCCGGCATTCCACGTCAAAACCGCAGCGCGGATCTCCCGGAAAGAACAGTACTCCACGTCCTTGGCTTGCATCCGAGATTCTGCCACATCGTTAGTCGCATATTGTGCAATCAAGATCAATGCAACTTACCCATCCAATCATCCTCAAGCATACCGTCCCACAGGCGAATGCAGTTATCCGTCCCCAACGATGTCACTTGGAGTCGATTCAACGTCCACACACTGCTAGTGTCTAGAAGGAATCCGCTCACAGGACTATCATGGGCCCGCCAGTCCTTGCGCACCTGCCACGGATTCGTCGAGGTATCATACACGTAGATCATGCCCGTCTTGTACGCAGCCCAAAGATAATCGCCAACAACGCCCAAGCAGTTGATCTTGTAGACACTCACATTTACAACACCAAGACACGTATAATCGCCGGCCGAGTATATAGTCACCTTACCGTCAGCGTGTCCCAAATACACACGGCCGCCATACTTAGTAGTGTAAGCACCAGACGTCACCTCTCCCGAATGTTGTGAGCCCAGCGGCCTCTTGAGCACTTTAAAGGACACATCGTCACGGGCATTTGGTCGATAGACTTGTACTTCCTTCCCCGTTGCCAACCACAGCGTGTCGCCTACTGCAATCGAGAATGTATGCCCACGCGCAACCCGATCATAAGGATTATGGTAACTATACTGAAGGTTAGGAGTGCCTGACTCGTCTGGCGGCCAGACAAGCAAGCGCCCCTCATCATCCAAAGTCCACATCTCCTTTTTGTGCCGAAGGATCTTAATCACTTCCCTGCGGGAGGGATACGATCGTGACGTGACAATTGATTGGCTCGCGATATCAACCTCGTGAAGATCGCCCGCGCTTGTTCCAAGCCATAGTCGCTGCCCCTCGTCCTCCAAGCTCTTCCCCGGCTTGAAAGCCAACGATAAACATTTGACGGTTTCACCGTGGCTGAGAGTCATGATCAGGTCACCCGTCGTGAGGTCCCAAACACGTGTTAGGTATCCCGTCGTACATACGTACTTCCCACACACATCCATGAGCCGCGTATCATATCGTGTGGGAATCTCATAGGGGCCCTTCTTCAGGAGTGGCGGACGTCGGTTAGCAAAAGATGCATCCGGGTAATCCGTCCGTGGGGCCGGGGCCTCATCGAGCGGCTGCTCGTCTTCACTGGGAGCGGGAGCGGGAACCGGACGCACAAGCTGCCTCTCCACAACTGGGCGTTCGACAACGGGTCGCTCGGGGATGGCGGGAGGAGGCGCAGGTTTGGTCTCTCGCGAAAACGATGGCTGCCGCTGGAGCTGTCTTGGCGTGTGAACCTCCTCTGTATGGTGCGGGCGCGATTCAGGCCGAGGGGGCCACTCAGCCTGTGCCGGACTCCTCAAACGATCCAGCGCAGCCCCCGTACCCCGATGGCTTACCGATGGATTCCGCGGGGGCAACCCGGGAGGTTCTCTGGGGCTACCAACCGCCTGGAAACGAGGAGCCGTGTGTGGGATACTAGACATTACTTCTGGTTGAGCGGGTTGCCGCGGCGGAATTTGGACCATCAAGGGCCTCGTGTCTCGTGTAGGTGTGGGGGATGGCCGCCGAGGCGGTTGCGGCGGTGGCTCCGGCACCTCTCGCAAGCCAAGAGTACTCGGGAGGGGTCGCCTTTCATCGAATGATCTCCGAGCCGGCGGAGGTACGGGGCGAGAGGGTGACGGCGGAGGTTGCGGCCTTGTGGCAGACGGGGGGTTTGGCGGAGATTTGTCCGGACTCCCAGGGGGAGTGTTGAAGGGGGATATCCGATCTTCCATATTCGTATGCTCCTGGCGAGGGGTAAGGCCGTTCCCATCTTGGAATGAGAGAGCTGCGGGCTTAACAGGGATCTTGGGTTTCTCTGCTCGGTTGGCGGGCGGCGGTAAAGATGCACTCTTCAACCGTCGCTCCGAAGCATTGTCGCGCGTCGATACCGGGGAACCTTGATGATTGGGGGACAGGTGAGCCACCCTGTGTTCGGTTGGCACAGATGACGGATAGGTGGGAGTTGTTGGTCGGGGAAAATAGCTCCCCTGAGCAATTGGCCTAGGCGGCAATGATTCCCGCGCAGCGTTCGGTGGCGTACGAGACGTCCGGATATCTTCCGTGTGGTCGGGGTGCGTCCCAAACCCCCGTGGGGGAGATCGCGGTGAGTCTACTGTGAGCGTGGGCGCAAGTTGCGGCGAGGAATGTAGGTTCATCGACATGGGTCTGCTTTGCCGTCCGCCTGGCGACCGTCCGGGGGAGACCCCGCGTCGAAGCGGAGCCCCGTTGGTGTACTCGGCCCGCTGGCTATTCTGAAGGTCTGTTGAGGGGACCCAAGGAGACCGCGGACGAGACATGTCCAAAGAGGCGCGGACTGAGCGGAAGTCATCGACGGGTTCGGGTGATTTCAGATTCAAGGACGAGTCGCGGGGGCCGTTTGGTGACGCGGATGGTGCTCGGCGATGGGATAGGTTCTCAAAATGAGACAGAAGGGAAGATACCGGTCTCTATAGAGGTGAGTGGTGTGTGAGTAGAAAATCCATCGTTGAAGTTGGAGGACGAGAAGAGAAGATGCGCCAGACATACTATGGGGGCATTATCGGTGCCGTCCCTCGCTCTACCGTTTCCCTCCATGGCCACTACGATCGATCCGGCACAGTGACGATCTGGAAAGATAGATCATAGGCTTCAATGGGGTTGTGTATACGATAAGGAGAAGATTGACAAAAAAAAAGCATGTATGAACAATGAATGAATGCGAAGGTAACGGTGCGGTTAACAGATCCGAGGGGTCGAGACTGTGGCGGAGTTGCGGGCAGTTCGTCAGGCGGAAACGAATCGGCTGGCTATAAATACAGTCGGAGCGGAGAGGGAGAGCGGAATGGGGGTCTTCGAGCGGGAATAGTTTCGAACGACAAGAGGGGTCTAAAGCAAGAGAAGGGGGGGGAGTGAGTGACAGAGTAAAAGGGTTGAAAGAGAGAGGATAGAGAGAGGGAAAAAGAGGAAAAAGAGGAGAGAGAAGGGAGAGAAAGAGAGGAAAGGAAAAGTGACGATCGAAAGGGGAATATGTGAACTTAAAGGAGAAAACAGAATGACGAGTAACGAACCGGCCTGTCTATGGGATTTAAATATACCTAATATATTAGTTTACCTGTCGATCATTTTATATTTTCTTATATTTCTTATTATCCAGATTTATTTTCTTATTTTATTCACTTCTTAAAATAAAGAACAAAGAGATCGTTTATACCGAGTAAATCAATATAACCCAGTATTTAATTGATTGACTCCAATAAATACATGTATTCCATAAATTCCCTTTTATTTTTAGTTTCCGCCCTGCCAATAATTTAAATTAAATTTATTCCTTTCCCCAAGTCAATAAATCGTCATCCGCGATTTTATTGATATTTCAATTTTCCTCACTTTTAACAAAACTCCACCGAAAACCTCGTCCCCTGACCCAAATCCATCATGTGGTATGTCTGGTGTCCCATCCTTTCTTTTAACTCACAAAACAAGAAAAAGAAAGACGGAAAGAAAGAAAAAGTAAAAGCCAATCCGCTGGTCAACTGACGCGCCGCCCAGTAAACATATCCTCAACGCCCAAGTGTCTATTCGATCGGCATGCTGTGAGTCTACTACAAGTCTACCTCAAGCCAACTTACTTCCTAATCGTGGGGGAGCACAGGTCGGAAATGGTTCGACTGCGCCGAATGTCATCAGGAACAAGAAACCCATCCGCTCATGAAAAACACCGAAATGGTATCCCTCCGCACATACAGCCTTCCCCCGACTCTCTCAATCAGTCAGACATTCTAAGACAGGTCCGCGCAGGTGTTCGCCTGTAAAAAGTGCAAGAAGTGTTTCCGCAAAGACTCGACCGAGTTTGAAGAGAGGTAGGTCAACGCCGTGGGGATAAGATACAGAGGCACGGGGCACAACGTGGCTAATGGGAGACACGTCGATACGAAGTGACGAATACTGCCCGCATTGCGATAACCACTTTGTGATCGAGGCGGTGACGCCGAAGCCGGCATTGCAGGTGGAGGGCGAAGATGCTCGTATTGACAACAGGTACGTCGCCTTTCCTATCATTCTCTGCCGTTATGACAAGATTCGGGTGCTGATGTGGGGGGAAGAATGCTCAAGGATGACCGAGTCCGTGGCCACCAGGAGCGCTCGATCTTCAGCATCACAGATGACGCGGATCGCCTGGGATAAAGGGAGTCGACCAGCTGTGGGTTACGATGATTACGATATTATGCTTTCTACTTCCTGCCGACGTGGTGACTACAAATCTTTAGACGACGATATTCCTATAGAGATCCCGCAGGGGGACCTGTGTATAAACGACGGGAAAAGAGTTCTTTATTGTCGTAAAAGTCGCTTCGGCCAGATCTCCAGTATTATAAAAAGGGTGGGAAAGGAAAAGCGTGTAGGACGTCAACTAGAGGCATGTAGCTCTAATTCGCTAAACCAGCCTACTCCCGGGTCTCGCTAGACTCTCCACCTCTTGTTAGGATGGCCGCTGTCGTGGTGCCGGTCCGAGCTGTCTTCTTCTTCGCTGCCTCCTCTTGCTTCTCCGTCTCTATACTCTTAACGTAAGCCTCGATCTGATCTTCTGGCAGCATCTCAATCATCTTCCCAGGCGACATGATGGCCACCTCGATGTTCTTGGCACCGGTCTGCACGACCTCCAACAACGACTTGATGGTGAGCTGAATTGTCTGCTCGCGGTCCATTTCATCCTGGTGGTTGCGCTCGAGGAATTCGCGGACGGTCTTGCTGGAACGGCCGATAGCATTGGCTTTCCTATATCACCCACATACCCATTAGTCCCTCTCCTCTCCTCGCCATGTCCCAGTGAATCAACCACCTACCAAGCAGAGTAGATACCCGAAGGTTCAGTCTGATATAATCTCGGCACCTGGTCATTTGGATCAAATCCCACAACCAGGGTACTAATACCGAAGGGCCGGACACCTCCACTCTGCGTGTACCGCTGCTGCACACCGGCAATATATTTGGTGATGTATTCGATAGTGACGGGGTCTTCAACGGTCAAACGGTGGGACTGGGCTTCTAGCCTGGCCTTATCGATGAGAATACGGGCATCGGCATTCAATCCAGCGAAAGCGAGAACGGCATGGTTGTCCAGCATGGCGATCTTCGATGGTGTAATGCGGGTATCTTGGAGCTTCAAGGCCGAACGCTTTTCGCATCCCAGCACGACAATGTCTTTACCTTTTACTCCGACGGCACAGGTTCCTACATGGAAAAAGAGGCGGTGGTGAGAAAGACGGCTATGATCCAACCTGGTCGGCGGTGACGTACCTCTCTTAACAGCTTCCATGGCATACTCCACCTGGAAGACGTGCCCATCAGGGCTGAAAAAGAGTCAGAGAGCTGTATAGTAGATGGTGTAAGACGCTTCTCATACCTAAACACTACAGGTGGATTAGATTCAGCTCATCATCCCACTAAAGAACGCAGGAAACCAAGGTCCTGAGCTATCTTACCTGAAAGAGCTCGGTCATATCCGGACATTATGGGCAACAAGGAATCAGTCGAAACAAAGCGGAAAGTAGAGGAACAAGGTCACAGATATAAGGACGAGTAAGATAGCGGAGAAGGCAATTCGTGGGAATCAGATCGTAGAAAGCTGGGATGGGGGAGCCGTCTTAGGCGATGACAGGTAGAGGTGGACGCGAGTCCCGCGGTTGCCTCCAGACAATCCAGAGCTCCCCTCTTTAACGCCGTAGCCGCGCGGTTACCCATTTCCCACTTCCCTTCACTTGACCAGAAGACATCAATGAGCTAAATTAAACAACCCCGAATGTTTTTATTCTTATTTGTTTGTTAGTTTTTCTTCTTGTATGGTAGAGTGTTTACTACTCCATTGATCTCCAACAAAAGCCGATATACTTACATATATAATCATATATAAAATATGAACAAGATATATATACCTCCCTGCAAACACACATGCCGACGCCGGAGGACGCAATAGAAATCACGGAAAGTACATATACCCGGGATTAAGCATATTACACACTCTACAGGGCACAATAATAGAATAGACAAGGCAGACATGGAAGACGCAAGGAATACGTGCTCTGGTTGTCCCAAATGCCGCACCCTCAATCACGATTCCCCATAGATTCCTATACAAAATGGTAGACAATATACTGTCTCTAAGTCTGTACTGCGCGGATCCAGAATGATGACACATCGACTTTTCTTGCAGAAAAAAGCATAGGTACCAATAGAAGACAAGAGATCAAAGAAAGAAGGGAGAAAAAGAATATGAAAATGAAACAAAACATCATTTATGGACATTCAGAACAACCCTGTTGCACTCACGATTCCCTACCCATTGCTTCACATATCTGAAATCCGCCGTTGGCTAAAAATCTTCATGGCTCAAAAGGAATATCCCCAACACCCCAACAGAGTCCGTTCCAGTGTATCCCATCCGTGATCAATACCGTGATTCTCCAATGATTCCTGTTGCCGAAGAGTGCAGAGATGAACTGGGAAAAAAAAAATAAAACAAGACAAGCGCGAAGATAGAACAAATATCTAGAATGCAATGCCATGATAGAGCCTCCACGTCTGGTCACACTGCGATCGAAACAAGCAATGTCTTTCATCAGATGCACAACGACGAAAGAGGAAAAGTGCGAAAGCTCATGCCGATCGAAGGAAAATAAGAACGAGAAGCCCCAGTGACTCGCGAATGGATGTATGAAACCAACCGGGCCCATCGCGCCAGGACGGTCTTCTATACCCTTAAACATCGCTCCAAAAGACGCAATAGTAAAACATACCGAAAAAAGGGTCAACGTGAAGGCTGCGAGAGACGAGACAAAATGAAAACAAAAGGATCCAATCCGATGAAACGACGACACGCTACCGGCCTGCTCCTCCCAACCGAATGCACCAGAACTGCTGAATTCCCTATACAAACGCGCATCAACGAGTATCAACCGTCACATATACCAACAATCTAGATGACCATATTCACAAACACAAATGGGTGGGTTCTGTCACAGAAAAAGGTAAATAGTACAACCACCCCGCCCTAGCAATGCACCGCTGCGGCTTTATGCAGGGGACTTGCTGGCACCGGCACCGTTGCGGCGGGAGTGGCCATCATCCCCAACCGACAGGCCACCCAATCCGGTGGACAGGAAGGCAAACGGATCGTTGGATCCGTCCGCCCCGTAGAAGGCGCCGTTAGAAGCGCTCGTGGAGGTCGCGTGGTCGGCTCCGGTAAAAGCGGCCTGCGTGGCAGGGTTGGCAAACGAAGCGGCGGAGTGAGACGTATTTGTCGAACCGTAGCCGGCGTTCATCTGACCCATGGGAGGATATCCTCCAGGGCCACTGCCCAATGCGGAGGGCAGAGCGTAGTTGTTCGGGGGCGCTCCAAATTGCTGGCTGAATCCTCCAAAGCCACCCGCTGTCGAGGTAAAGGGGCCGGGAGCAGGGGTGCTGGCCATGGAATTAGGGCCCATTCCGAAGCCTGAGGGAGGGTCCATGGGAGATGGGAAAGCGGAGTCCGCAACCACCGCAGCTCCCGAGCGGGGAGCGCCACAGCGCAAGCAGTTGATGTTCTTGGCAAAGTTGTGGTAACCACAACCTTCAGAGCCGCACTTCCAGTCTCCGGCACGGAAGGGAACCACACCACCGTTACCGCCGCCCATACCTCGGGAATGGCCCATGCCGTGACCGTGACCCATGTGAGGGGGCATCATGGATGGCGGGCCGTAGCCAAAGGCGCCGTAGCCCATCGGATCCGGGGCGGCAGCCATGGCGGGGAAAGAGCAGCGGAAACAAGCGGTACGGCGCTGGAAGTTGGAGAATCCGCATGACGGGCAGGTCCAGTCACCGGGGCGGGGACGGTTCTTCGAGGGAGGGAACGGGGTCAAGATCTCTGCTGCACGGTCGAGTACACGGCTAGAGGAAGGGGAGACCTCAATGGCCTTCTCGTTGAGAGCACGGCCATTCATGCAGAGGCTTTCCGCAGCCTGTGAAAGGAGTTAGTCGTCATTCAAGAGCTCCTGTTGGGAGTGAGTGAAGCCGTTCCATACCTCTTCATGGGATGAGAAGACAGCAAAACCAGTGCCAGTAGGCTTGTGCTGATCCGGAGTCCGAAGGGTCCAGAAGGCGATCGGACGGCCACCAAACTGAGTAAACCAGCTCTCGAGTTCCGACTGGGTCGTGTCATGGGGAAGACCGCTCAAATGAAGCACCTTGCTCCGCTCGGCCAGGAAGGCACGAACATCCGCTCTGGCATCCATGGGGCGGGTCAAGATCTCAGGGTGCTCGTGTGGGGGTTGAGACTTGCGAATCAGGCCGCGGAGGACGCGAGCCAACGTGATAGCTTCTTCCATGGCCCGTCGTGGCGATGCGGGGGCCAAAGCCTGCAAGTGGAAGGGGAGGTTGTGTTTAATCGGGGCGGAGGTTTGAACGGGTTCGACTTCGAGAGCGGCACAGATGTTGGAGAGGGAGCTGGGGCCGAAGGGTAGAGACTCGGGGTGATGAGTCTGCCATCTCTGATACTCGGTACGAAGATCGAAGGTCCGGGAGTGCTGGAGATATGGGGGAAGAACGACCGCCTTATCTCGAGCTTCACGGGGTAGCTGTACACGAAGGTCCCACGAATCCAACGTCACGAAAGCAAACTCCAAATTCTTGCTGAGAAGGTGTTCCTGGGCGAAAGCGTCGAAGCGGTTGATAGCATCGCGGAAGGTACCTGCCGAGCGGACGTGCTCCCATGTCAGAGTTGTCAGGCTCGCTTTCGGAGACCGTCAGCCATTGAACCAGCAGACCGATACATCCGGGGGGGATGGTTTGGGAGGAAATGGCTAGGAACTGGTCGGGTTGACGATAGATTGGGTGCACTTACTGCAAAGCGGCGTGATAGGAGTGTTGACGGGCTTGACGAGCACACTCTCACGGTGCAACTAGGGGGGGAAAGCCATGTTAGCGATCTGTCATGGGGATCCATTTCTGGGGGTGGTGGCTCGGGCCACCAGGAATGGGAGGGGAGAGTCAGGAGGGGGTTGAGTCTGATTGATTCTCCGATTAAATCCAATAAACGCTTACCTCCTCACAGGTTTTGGTATCCAACAGAATCCACCCCAATTCAATCACCTCTGCTGAATCCTTAGTGACGTAGACGCCATGTTCATCGCAGGTGGTTGCGACGTGGATGACAATATAGCGATCCAGCTTAGGGGTGGGAGCTGAAACAGTTGCCATCGCTCAGGATTGAGTTGCACTGGGTTAAGTGTACTCTTTCTCTTCTCACGCCAAAAAGGAAAAGGGACAACGGGACGGAAAATAGTGTCTCAGAGCGGAGACACAGAACGACCGAACAGAGACCGTCGTGAATCGAAAAGAATCACGGGGAAGGGGAGGGGAGGTAAAAAGGAGGGAGGGAGGAGGGAGAAAGGAGGGAAGAAAGAAGACTTGTTGGCCCAGTCCAGGATGGGAGTCAGTAAGAGAGAAGAGATGATGGTGGAGCGTCGAGATTAAAAAAGAAATGTTTCGGGGGGTTTGAGGGGAAATTCGAAAAAAAAAAATATTCAATCACGGGGTTTATTATAAGAGAAACCAAAAAAAAAAAATTTCGAGAACAGTCAGTAGATCAGTTTAGAGTATACGACTATATATTATCAAAGAAAGGAATCTTTTCTAGAAATTCTTATTATCTAGAAAGAATTGATTTACAATTCATTCAGACTCTTTTGCTCTCTCTTGTTTTCTCTTGAGAGAGAGGTGGTGATTACAGAAACTTAATCGCTAGTGTCCTTTTATTTTCCTTCCTTTACCGTACTTACCATACAATGTCGTACCGGAGAACCTCAAGGTTAACCCCGATTCATAACCGTGGCTATGGTGCATGCTGCTTCTATTCTGAGCATTATTTATTTTAACGTCTAATTCTTCCTCTCTCTCTCTGTATAAATATTGTTATAATATATATATATATATATATACGATGTTCCTACACCCTTTGATATACTTATCATCATTATCTTTCTATCCTGATAAAGCACTCTAATCATACGGTGATCCATACATTGTATTGTATGGATGTACCATTGTTGTTATCAAGCTATGAGTCCTGATTTTCTGACCAAATTTATAATAGGGAACAATTAATGGAATGGGAGGTGTCAAAAAAGAAATAATAGGGGACAGGAATTCAAGATAAATAAAAGAATGAATGAATCCATCCATGTCCCATAACTGCGGTGCTGTAAGGTACTTCTGTCATCGGTATCACATTGATAGTCCCAAAGAAGGTTACACCTATGAGAACATCACAGGAGATTAATTCCATCTGGACAACCGATGAATAGCCCAATGGTCTTCCCCGTCCATCCAATGGATGCCTCATCCGCCGGTCTCGCTGGATCCGAGGGAGGTAATAATCATTCGATACAGGTAATTTTCAATTGTATTCCATTCAAACCATACAAACCGTGGAATAAATATATATAGTATATATACTTTACCTTAGTCTATGATCCTGTATTCTGTACAGAGGGGATTAATCCAGAATTGACATATAATATATCACTGTTCTCCATACCAAAGTTGAATACTCTGGGTTATTTTCCTTGGTTGCCCGTTCGGATCACCACCAACGGGTGAGAACGAAGGCTGACTGGCCCGTCTCACAACACGATGTCAGGCCATGACAACAATAATAAACGCAAGCTAAACCACCACTAGTGGCCCTCCTACATCAACTAGATACATAATCCACCTGGACCACCGATTTTCTCTCTCGCCTTTCTCTTTCCCCATGCACGTGCCCATTTGCCTTGAACTAGTTATGGAGAGCTATAATACGCCAGCATATCCTTTGAAATCTGTTTCCTCTTTCCTTATTTCCTTGCATTTCTTTCTCTCTTTCTCTCTGTTTTAAACTTCCAATTGACTGACTCAAATTCTTCGTACCTGAAGCCAGAGGAATTCAAAAAGAATGACTAATGCCAATCTCCAATGACTCCTTCCTAGATGAAACCAGGCCAACCTCTGGCCTCACGAACACGTAATTGCCGATAGATCACCTTGACTACGGGTGATCGGTTGAAGGCTCCCCAGCTAGTGAATGCCTGACATGTACGCAGTACACGGAGTATTGATGCTGCACTTCTCTGATATTCAGCACATGACACATGTAAAGTATAGTTTTCCCTTGAACTAAACGGTTATGCATAAATTAGCTCTGCATGCCATTTAAGTCACATTCACTATATATGGCACTCATCATCATATGAAGTCTTTAGCCATGTGGGAATATGAAAGCAATTTTACACTATAACATGGGCAGAAAATGGAAAACGAAGAACCTTAATGCTGGCCTATTATATATATAACTACGTTGTTACACGATAAGATAGAGCTAGAGACGTAAATAGGGCATATACAAATAAACCACAAAATGTATGAACAGAGAATTAGTTACATGACAATCCAACCGGCGCGCAGCCCCGAGACCGTATCCGAACATGACCCAGCCAACGCCAACCCAGAAAAGGAACACATTTGCCAATTACTCGTAGTCGCGTGCTTCTGACTTGATCGTGGTCCGGCTGTCGTCGTTCTCATCTTCCTCCATAATGCTGGGCTCGATGGATATCCCTTGGCGATAAGCACCAGGCTCAATGGAAGGGCGGACGCTGCCGGACCGGCCGGAACGAAGACTTTGAATATCACTGTCTCCTTCTTCGGTACCCTCACGTGCTCTGGAGCTACCTGGCCGGCCTTGGGCTACGGCCAGAAGCTTGAGGACCGAGTTCTTGACCTTGACAAGGGCATTCCGGCTAGCCGCTTCGGCAGCTAGTCCCTCCTCAATGGTCTCATCCAGAAGCTCTTTCACTTCTTGTGCAAGGGCGGTATTCTCCGGGCTAATTTCACCCTGATTACTGCGAACACTCGACTGGAACGGGTCCTCACCTTCCGGATTACGAGAACCGGCCCTGGATGGCGCAGCAGGAGGGGCTATGTAGAGCTTGCTTAGCAAAGAGAAAAGGAGCTTTTTCTCTTCCTTAGAACAGCGGTTAGGGCCTTCACTAATCCCCAAAACGCGCTCCAGGATATCCTTCACTAGAGCCAGATGGACCCAACCGCATACGTTGGAACTGGCGGTACCACCCGCGAGAACTTTCTCTCCGCCCAGTCCAACAACTCTCCGCTCATCAGTCCACTCCGCCAGCATACCCAAGACGCCATTCATTAGCGCCTTTAATTCCCGCTGTCCAACGCTCTCGTCGATTTCGCCATCGCTGTCCTCTTCCGCTTCGAGCGAGAAGTATTCCTCCGCTGCGTTGAGAATTGCCCGGGTAACTGGTACGGCCACCCTGCGCATATGCTGGGTATTCGACAGCTTGGAGTGGCAGTACACAGGAAGGAAGTAGGCCATGGACTGCCGGAGTGCGGGATTCTCACGAGTACGGGGGTGGAAGAAGGAAACCACAAGGGATTGTAAGAGGGTTTCGATTGATGCTTGGTTGTATTCTTGAATAGCTGGAGGGATATTCGCCCCCGACGGGGTGAACGTGTTTGTGAGCAACAGCTTGGCGAGAGACGTGGCAGCATTTGCCTGAACGCTGTTTGGAGAGCTGGACTTGAGCGACCTCGCGAAAACCTTCAATAGTGGCTTTTGGAACACCGGTGGCGTCACAGTCTCTCCATCAGGTTGAGTAACAGGTGCCAGTAATGAGGGATGCGTCGTCAGCATGTCACAGAGGATGTGCAAGGCTGTCACCTGCAAAGCCTCGTGGCCCTTGCTGTAGCAGTGGATAAATAGCGTCATATTCTCCTCAGCTAGGGTCTGCAGCAGGAAGTTAGCATATAATAGGGGAGTGGCATGAAGGGGTACAAACGAACCTTGTCCAGCAAGCAGCAGAGACCGAGACACTCAAGGCCCCTCTCTCTGATAGGTGCTTCATGACTACGAACTGCAGGTACAACCAGGTTATTCAACATTGTAACCAAGTTCATGTTCTCTTGTAGATTGCCCTCCACGTTTTGCAACATACAAAGAGCAATATGAAGACATTTCATGTTGATCACGATCTCCTTCAGGATCTTCGCCTTGGCTTCCTCTTTGTTAAAAGGCTTTTCCTCCGGTGTTTCGGACCGCTGACGGCTGGAAGATTCACTGATTTCAGACCTCGCCGACACGAAGCTATCTTCAGTTGCGATAGTGTCGTGAACTTCCGCAATGGCTTCTAAAACAACACTGCAGAACTCATTCTCGGCGGCAGCGTTTGGCCCACAAACAAATCTCAATGTCTCGATCGCGAGTTTAGTGCACTCTTCAGGTAGCTCGGGGACCGCCAACGACTCGCGGAGCAATGAGAACATCTTGCGTCGTCCCACTTCGTCACTGTAGTCAAGGGTCATGGCAATGTGCAGCAACTGCTCAACAACAAACTCATGCTCAACGGAGTCATCGTCGTTGTCCGCCCCGGCTTCCCTGGCCAACTTTCTGCGCTGCAATAGATCGGTCATGTATTTATTTAAGAAGTAGGCGAGGGCTGTGACTTCGGGCATCTTTTCATCAGCTAAGTTGTCGTACTTCCCTTCGTTCTCCACGCGACAAAAATCGTTGAAGGACCGAACGAGGAAAGCAGATTCGGCCGTTAGAGACTCCCAGAACGGTTCATCGAAAACAACCGCTTCACGATAATCCGGACGCCCTTCCCAGAAGCTACGCATGGCCTCATGAGCGATACCAGTTTCAATGCCGGAATTCAGTACATCAATTCTCTCGAGCAGTTCCAAAACGGCCGGAATATTTGGTGGAGAGCGTTGGTTAGTTGGGCCTTCCTCGGAGTCATTATTTGTACCGGCAACATCCTCAACCCACCGATCGTAAAAGAGTTTTCCTGTTGCCTTCCGAACGCTCTCATCTCGATCTCTCAGGCCCCATCGGAGCAACTTTTCTCTCATCGATAGTGATAAATGACGGAAGTCGCCCAATGTAGGAAGGAGACGCGCGTACAATGCTCGTCGCGTGGCAGCGTCCAGATCGCGAGCTCGTTCAAGAAGGTATGGGAGTGTTTTGCGGAGAAGTGGTAGGTTGAGAAGGAGAGTTTTCCGCACCTCGGCGCTTGTATCATTCTGCATAATGTCAACAAGCTTCTCCACCAGAGCTGCGCTATCCTCATCGTCTTCGTCTTCGTTGCCTGCCAAGCGGCCAAGACCCATCACCGCTTGCACTCTCACAGCTGGTTCTTTATCTCTGATCCGCTTCAAAAGGCCCTGTCGGATAGTATGGTAGAGATCGTCGTCGATAGACTCAAGTGAGTTCACAATGTGCGCAGTGATTTGTGTTGCACGGAAACGAACGGTCCTATCTTTAGCAGCGAGCAGCGGAATAATGAGGGCAACCAGGCTGGATGCCAAACGGGAGGTGGGTGTTTCGGCGCTAACTTCTTCTTCATCCGTTGAGAAAAGCTCGGTATCCTTCTCGGATGCATGGGTCAAGAAGGTACCGACGAAGCGTATGATACGGTCGCCGACGGGCTCGGATTTCTTGATGGGCAAGATGCGCAAAAGGCAACGTCCCACCTCCACATTGAATTCAGTTTCGGGGAGTGTTTCTTCCGGTGGGGTCAAGGTCTCCTGCTGAGTTTCTTTACCATTCTTCTTAGATATCTTTGGCGATATTCCGCAGCATGACTCCTGGAGCTTCCTGAGTCGCACAACGAGTTTTCGATGCCCAGTTGTGGAGCGTTGAGCATCAGCGAAGATTGAACACACATCCCGGCGCAAAGTAGGAATGGCCTCGGGCAAAGCGGGTTCCTCCGGAAGGGCAACAGAAGGGGTCACAGATCCAGCGCGTCCACCTGAGGTCGATGGTTGAGCGGACGGTCTACGCGACGTCGTCGCAGAGGTCGAACGGGCGGAAGATCGACCAGGCATGGTGTCTGGTTATGGAGGGGTAGAGATTTCAGGGAAATGTATCGGTCAGTAAGGGGGTGTCGCATAGGTCAGAAAGACAACATCTCAAGGCGGTTTCATATATCGGATCTGGGCGGTACCGTAGATACTAGAGTCGCGCGCTTGGTGTCGCTGGATTTAGGTGGGATGGTATTCATTAAGTTATCGCCAAAACACTGCGGGCGATAACCCGCAGTCACGGGGTGCAGAATAAACAAACAGCCCAAAACGGGAAGGGCTAAGATAAGGGTTAGGGTTGGTGGTAACGTTCTATGTACCTTATGTCATGTCATGTCTGAGGATCTTTAGCGGTATATAGCACAATTGGTCTGTAGACGCTTCGCCACCTTAACAATTCAAGTCTTTACGTGCATGTCTACTCCGTACTAACTATGTAATAATCGGAATAATACCAGTCCACTCTAATATGTTTGGTATCGAAATGAACTCGAAGTGAGGGTCTTAAGAGCTATCACGCCATCGATCACGTGATATGACATGGCTGACTAAGGCCGACCATCGGCATTTGGGAATCCGACCTGTAACCTGTCCGGGGAATGGAATGGACTTTCTCAATTAATTGCCTCTTGCTTAGCAGAGGGCGTTCTGGAGTAGCTGTGCTAGACTTTGAAGCTTTTTTGAAATAATGTTCCGGCAAAGCATCCGGCGTTTCGGCACCACTGCGCTTCGCGCAGCAGAAGGGTCGACCGCCTATAGTGTCCGAGTATCGCAAGCTCAGGGTTTCGTTAACGGTCTTACAGAAGGTACGCTCTGAAGAGGAAAATGAGAGTTAGGCCATACGAGCATCGGCTTCTGACGATTTGTCTTTAAGCAATCGGAAACACACCACTTATCCGACTGAAGCGCCTTTCCGAAGAGACCGGCTGCAACATCCTCGGTAAAGCCGAGTTTCAGAACCCCGGAGGCAGCGTGAAGGACCGTGCAGCATTGTTTGTTGTCAAGGATGCAGAGGAGAAGGGTCTCTTGAAACCTGGCGGTACGGTGGTTGAAGGAACAGCGGGTAATACTGGAATTGGGTTGGCGCATGTGTGCCGGTCAAAGGGATACAAACTTGTTATCTACATGCCCAACACGCAGTCCCAGGGTAAGATCGACCTTCTGCGGCTCTTAGGTGCGGAAGTCTACCCTGTGCCGGCGGTGGCTTTCGACAACCCACAGAACTACAATCACCAGGCGCGGAGACATGCGGAATCGCTGGATAATGCGGTGTGGACAAACCAGTTTGACAACACCGCCAATCGCCAGGCCCACATCGAAACGACTGGTCCTGAAATATGGGCCCAGACTGGCGGACAGGTCGACGCTTTCACTTGCGCTACCGGAACGGGAGGAACATTGGCTGGTATCACACGCCACCTTAAGACCGCCAGTGATGGACGTGTCAAGTGTTTCCTTGCTGATCCCCCGGGTAGCGTTCTTCACAGCTACATCCAGAGCGGTGGAAACCTAATCGAGCGCTCAGGAAGCAGTATTACTGAGGGTATTGGCCAGGGCCGTGTCACAGATAATCTCCAGCCCGACATCGACCTTGTGGATGGATCTCTCACGATTAGCGACGAGAAGTCAATCGAGATGGTCTACCGCTGTCTCGACGAGGAGGGCCTATATCTCGGAGCCAGCTCTGCGCTCAACGTTGTTGCTGCCAAGGAGGTTGCCGAGAAGCTCGGTAAGGGCAAGACCATCGTCACCATCCTGTGCGATGGTGCCTACCGTTATGCCGACCGTCTGTTCTCGAACACGTGGCTTCAGAGCAAGGGCCTGAGGACCGCTATTCCCAAGCACCTCGAGAAGTACATCGTGCTTCCATAATTGGTCATGTATGTATAATGTTGTATAGACCGGTGTCAATATAGTGATATCTGTTTAAAAAAACCCTACCATACCAAGACGACGTTAATGAACACCAAATGAGCACTGAACGCTATGTCAATACTCATATTACAGAATGAACTCCCTAAATGATAGTAAGATCCCTTGCCCTCCCATATCCATTATACCCAACCCCTCTCAGGTTCCACTGTGAATGCTCCTGCTGCACATTCCCGCCCCGATCAAACGCCCGACTAAGAACCTCTTTCCCAGCGCCCCTTTCAACCCTAACCCTGACCCTCCACAAAACCCAACACCATTTCCTCTCCACAGAAGAACCCTCAATCTCAGCATCCATCCATGCCTGCCCTCCATCCACCGAAACCTGGACCCGCGTAACCGGGCCATCAGCCCCATGGGGCACCGCATACCCCTTCACCTCCAGCGTCCCCGATCCAGACAGATGAACCGTATCTCCATCGCCCGGCACCCCCACCACCGAATTAATAGGCATATCGCACATCGCAGGGGTCCGGTCCCAAAATGGCTCAGCTGAGGCACTATCTACAGCCTCCGGCGGCAGTACCTTGTAGTCATGCCGTTGATAGAAATTCGACGACTCAGTATCCTGCACAGTGATCCGATCAAGCCACTTAACCCACCTGGCACCCGCCACACCGGGGAGAACAACCCGGACCGGATACCCATGGTTTGGCGTCAGAGGCGAACCGTTCATCTGCCGTTGATTTGGTCAGCTGTGCTGCAAACTCAACCCTATCTCAAATGTAGGAGTAACTCACCTCTAAAGCAAGAATAACATCCATATCCTCATCCAAGCACCTCTCTACCTCCACACTACTCCCAAACCAATCGTCCTCTTGGCACTGTACCGCATAGCACGAGAACGCGACATACAGGCCCTGACATGAGTCTTGGGTCAACCCGGCCCGATGGAGCACGTCCCTTAATCTTGGGCCTTTCCAGGTGCAGTTCATCACAGCCGCATCGCCCCAGTCGATGCCTTCGACTTCTTTGAGTAGTGTGCGCATTGTATGACGCCGGTTGCCGGCGCATTCTAGGGCGCAGTTTACTTCGTGCTGGGGAAAGTCGGTTTGGAGTTGGTGAACGGAGAGGGAGAGGGGGTTGGGAACTTGGCCGTCTATTTGGACGGTGTGGGTGTCTGCCGCGAGGTGGGGGATTGGGCCATGGTTGCGGTCATAAGAGATATTCTCTGGAGTGAAGAAGCTTTGTCGTTTAGCATCATACATCATAATCTCAGACGTATACATAGAGGAGATTACCTCGAGACAAGTGTCTGGACCGGTGGTTCCCGGTTCAAGGGGTTTTGGACGGAATATTCTGTGTACTTTGTTGGGTTATTACCATGATAATGGTGGGTATTGTGTATCAAAACATACTGTGTCGGTCATTTTCTTTGATCTAGGTGCTGATTTACATAGAGATGGAGGTTTGAAGATGTTCAAAGTTGGTGGTCGTTCCTCTGACGTCATCCCTATATGCAACTATATCTGTATCTTTTATACACTTTACGACAAGGTTGTAATATATTCGTCTTCTTGGGTCTCTCTCGACATTTCAACCTAATTCAGCTTGATTGCTCGATTCAAACAATGAGGGCCATATTTTCCATGCCGCTAATCAACATATCCGGTAATACTAGCCGCCCGGATGCACTGAGGGTTGCCTGAACTGTATGGGGGATAATTAAGAAAATTCTCAGTCTTCTCCGGCTGTTCCCTTTGTTTGGATATCAGTTTAAGGCTGGATAGAAAGGAAAACAGTAGGCTCTATCCCATCGACGTCACAAGGATCGGGATCGAGGAGGACATGGCTATAACTGAGCTCGGTCCCCACACTATCAACCAACAGTTGTGAGCGAAGGTTGGTGGAGTGGGAACTAGGCATGGTAGTACAACAACAAGAGAGAAGAGGTATGCCTTCGGCAATTTGTGCCAGAGCTCCCTGTGCAGGTTCGCTCGGTGTTTTAAAGTGTGATTGAAGGCATCCCTGTGTACAGGAGCTAGATCATCCATGGCAACCTAGTTTAATGTTGACATGACTCTGGGTAAGGTGTCAAGATTGCTTCTGTTGTTACGCAAGAGTGGAAAATGTCGAGGAACTATCTAATGCGGGGTAAGACATAAGTGGCCCTAGGTAGATTTATAAATGTGAAAGAAGCCCTGAGATATCGGTTTTCCTCTTTACTATAGACTAACTGTTAGTTATAGAGATATACCTTAGCTCCTGTCGATCGAGTATTCGTGCATCCAGCATATGCTGTCCTATTCTTCTGTTGCTCTATGATTATTTATACTCCATAGGCTGAGCTAAGCTTACGTACTAGTTAATAGACATAACCTGATTATAATGCTCGTTTTTCTCTCTTCATGTAAGTACATCATAACATAGTTGTTCTACCCTAAGAAGGCATCACGTTATGTCCTTAGCTGGAGGGCTGTTCAAAACAGTGATGGATATCGTATGACCGAAACCATTGACTCTGGGGATTTGATTAAAAACACCGAAAAGATTTAATAGAAGTAACTGGAAAACATAAAACAGTAAAAAAATTACTGATGAGGTGCTATTCAATTGGAAATTTGCTCGTGACTAAACGGCAGGTGGTAGATCGCGTATCTTTTCGCTGCTATACCTTGTGGTCTCACAAGGAAACACGACGCTGGATATAAGAATAACTCATTCAAAAAAGAAAATATTTAAGAGGAGGGTAGAAGCTACTATCATCTTAATCGTGACTGTCATAGTCATCGTTATACTTCAAAGCGCAGAAGTATCCACGACTAGCGTACCAGTCTCCGCAGGGGCGCTTTTAACAGCCGAAGCGACAACATCGGCAATTTCCTGATTGTCAAGCCTCATTGTGATCTTTGTAGGACATGAATTCGGACTCATTGAATGAGAAGTCTGGCCCTGCGTCTGCTGGAGCATCTTCATTAAAATAAAGTAACCTGTCACCTGCGTAACGGAAGGTGAGTTGAGAAATCCCCATAGCGCTCGACTTGCAGTAGCCACGGGATGGGCCTCTGGCAGGGAATTGATGTATGATAGAGCACATCGAAGAAAAAAGAAAATGAAAAATATGGCTCTGCCGGTGGCTCTGCCGGAATAGACCTGGCTGACACTGTGGTCGAAGGAGGCCGTGGGCATTGGTGGATGCTTTATGCTTGTACATACTCAGTGGCTACTCTTAGAAACCAGGGTCACAGATGTCGCAGTTGGTTATCGAGTGGAGACAAGGTTGCGCCTGATACTTGCGCCTTTAACTATTGCTAGGGAAAATTCTACCATCTATCAGACTCGGCTTTCCGTAGAAGTAAAATTCCCGTCATCCGCCTTTTAATAGCCCCAAAGTCTAACCACTCCACCGTGAGGCAGACGTTGTTCTAATATACTGTATCTTTAGGTTCTAGGCCACCATCTATAAGAAGGCCCTTGGATAAGTTGAATTGGTAGCGACGGATTGAGCCTCTTATGCTGGGTCTTGCGATGTCAGCAATATGGGTGTCAATAAGCCCGTGAATGGCCTTCTGCCCAGTATCGGAATTTATGGTTTGAAACTGCACCACCCGTTGACATTTGGGGAGAGTAAGAGACACAGAGTACATACAGTTATTGCGACGAGCCCACTCGGATCTCCCAATAGCTCAATATTGTGAATGCTGTTGTTCTGGTTAAGCTCTATAGATCGCGGGGTTTGGGATCCGGTTACATCGCCTATATCCCGGAAGGTACCAGATTGATATGGGAGTCTCAGCCCGCGGCTGAAGGTAGAGTGGGGAAAATCCCAAGCGTTATTAAATGCCCAGACGAGATACGACAGTACATTTATAGCAAGATTGGATGAAATATGCCGGAGAATTATGGCTAGAAGGTCTGCTTACCAGTTGCTCTAGACGACTCAAACCGCAGAATAATATGTTCATCCATTGATAATGGGCTGTCACTGGGGCACGTTTTAGTCCTTACCAACGTGGATATTGATACTTGAGTAAGACGACCAAGATATGTCGCACCCGAAGACAAGACATCCTTCGATATAAGTTTTGTTATTCCAATGACATATTCTCTTTCTTCAAGTGGGAAGGACTCTCCTTCGAAACCCACTGTCCAAAGACTGCTGGGCGCCGTGATCAATAATAATCAATCCAAAGACCGGAAATCTCACTAGAACGGTGGGGACGGCACTGGCCGCGTTTAGAAAAAGAAAGATTTCTGACTCCATTCAGGGCCGCAGATGTATATGCCGTGTACACGTTTGATCTTTCCTGTATCAGACCTGAGTCTGAAGGCAAGGCCAATTCTGCAGAAGTAGAGAAAGTAGATTCTGGCCAAAGCTTAGTATCATGATGCATACACGGCCTACGTTCTAGCTTTCGCACTGCAAATGAAAGGTCTCAAACTCGGAGTTGCTAGCCTTGACAAACACCGGTTATAGTGGGCTCCTACTGTAGGGTCGGGTTGAAAACTCACTGCTAAAAGGGCTGCGAACCCTGTTATCCCCTGGCCTTCCAGAGCTTGCAGCTTTTGGATGGTGCATTCGACGTTCGGCTTCGTCAGAGAAAATCAGGCTGGACGTTAGGTGTTGGAGGCAAAGGTTAGTCCAATGCTTGTTTTGAAGTTTGTCTAGCGTAAAAACAGCAACATTCCTATGACTTGTGTGGGTCTAACAGTGAAAATATCAGATTCATTTGAGGAGAAAGATTTACTAACATACACGAAAAGGAATACGTACAGAGGCTCATCTGTACGTCCGACAAGGAACCTGAAAGCCTCGCAGTCTTTCTTGACTACTCTTTACACAACCTAAACCTCACTTTCTTAGTTCATAGACAGACAGTAACACCCAGGGAGCTATTCTACTCTTAACTAGCCCTAAAATCACTGTTGTGTGTGTCTATTGTATTAGAACTAGCCTTGAAACGATTAGTGGCGGCACGCTCTATAATCCCCCGAATCATGGATATAATCTCAGCTTGATCGGTATCCCACTCGAGATAGCAGGATATGTACTATACAATTAGCCTAATTTTCACTATCTACCATGGTCCTGGACTCTTACCCGTGCATCATCACCTAGGCGGATAAACCCCCAAAGATCCCCATCTGTAGCAATCCCGTAAATGACAGTGTCAGCGTGACGAGCTATCCTTCGCCCATGATGCATCATGGCTGGATACCATAAGTCAGCAGATACAAAGCCAGCCTGTATCCCACATTTACCTGCATATATCAATGTTTTAGAAAAGTCAACCTCCCCGAGCGGTTCGACAAGCACCACGAGACCCGCTTCCTCTTGTTCCCGACCTCCAAACCATAGTGTATAATTAGCCATTCCAGATACTAGAAAGCCCCTGCTGCTGAGTAGACATGGGAAGCTAATCTTCTCGTTGAAGCGAAAACAAAGCGACTCGTAAGAGATAGTAGGTTCGGCTGATACCCGCTCCTCCCACTTCATCTGAGCAAGTGTCATGAGAAGGATGGGACCGATCCGTGCGCTGTTCAGTGCAGCATTTGGCATTGCATATCCTGTTGCTAGTGCATGATCTTTGATTATGGACGCTTGATTCGCAAATTAGCTTTTGCAAAGACATATATGGGAGTACAGCTGTTTACTCACTGAGAGTGTCAGAAACGGGTGGTATCTCTGTTTCTTTCTTTGTCCATACTCTTTCTGCCCTTTGGACCTTGAATACTGTGTCGACGTCCTGGGGCCGAATGTCGGTTACCGGAACGATTTTATATTCGGCCCACGCCGGTTTCAATGCGTCATCAACTTCGGCGTTGAGGCTCTGAACTAGGTCTTCTGTTGGAGTGGTCTTCGTTCTACGTTGCAGTTTCTTGAGCCACATGATTTGTGTTGTGCTTGGTGCTCTATATAAGGTCGGAGATGTGGCTGGTTGGTGGTCGGCAGGCCAATAGTTGAGAGGGCACTTTTGAGGAGATACGGCGTGATAATCAAGATACAGGTCGAGAAACAACAGAAGTGTAAAATTTGGGAGAGTTAGTATAGAACAGAAAGGAAGACATTGAAGAGGAAGGAAGAGAAAATTATATAACTGATTACGCACATCAAGTACGTCAGGATTGTGGAAAGCATCCATTGAACCACATTTCCAAGGAAGCAATGACTATATTATGAACAGCATATACGAGATTTTCCATCGCAAATCCCGCTTCTTCTCAGACTACTACTTTCCGCAGCCAAAACACAGAAGTTTCAGAAAAGCTGCAGGTTATCATATTCATACACCAGGACGCTATGGAGGAGAGATGTGATGCTGCTGCTGCATCTATTCTAGAAGCCTTTGAACCTCCAAAATACCGTGAGTGGCTTAGCAAACGACCTTGCCATCTACGCCGGGGCAAAAAGGGCAGCATGCCTGATTACTTCAGCAAGTATTTTGTGTCTAAGGAGAGGACAACATCACTAATATAGGACAAGAGAGTTTGCTGGAGGACTATTACCTCTCTGTTTATCCCTTGCACCCGGAAATATCCAACACTCTACGGGTTCCAACCCGTGTCGATGCGGTTCTTGCCGCTGTAATATCCACCGAAAAGAAGCGACAACGAATCAAGCACCCTAAAACCTTCGAGTGTTTCAAACCACTTTACTTGGACTATGATCAGGATGTTACCATGCCTTACCTTCCATGGGGATCGGCCGATGTCAAATGTAGCGCCGACAATATACTATGGTATGGTAATCGAGAGGATCTACAGACCAACTTGATTATTTCTCGAAAGAAAGGTGCCAATGCAGATGATGATTGGAAACCACCTGCAGCTCTATGTAAGTTTCGTCGACTTATATTGAAAGACTCCCAACTGTTGTCTAACACATGGCACATGCACTATCGCAGCTTTCGTTCACTACGCTAGGAAACGGTCTGGCAAGAACGTTAAAATCTATGCTATTGTCACTGATAGCTACCGATGGGAATTCATGCGTCTCAGCAAATATGGCGTGGTAAGAGGTTTCTCACTAGCCCTTTATGTGTATCTAGGATCACTAACTATTTGCGGAAGTTTTCCAAGTTGACATTATATTGGACACTCGAGCAGCAGGATGAAATCATATGCCAGGTTCGCAAGATTGTGCGTCAGGCATGCCGCCTCAATAGGAAAAAGCCTAGTCACCACTGGGGGATAGAAAACGCGCTAAAGAGGAGTGTATCTGACATGTCTAGATGTAAGATCTCGAACAGGCAGAATACAGGCGCTGAAATGAATGATTCTATAAGATGCCGATTTACAGCTGGATAATGAGTTGGAGATAGACCAGCATACTAATTGCTACTATAACTATGTGAATTAAATATATGGGTAGTCATTTGAACGATTCTGACCGAAGGCTATGGCCCTTGATCTTGAGTAATTTGCTATGCACTTAAAGCCACATGCGTATTCGACGGCATAACCCTCATCTTGTAGACTTGTATGCTCTTGTCCTCATCAGGACGAACAATGAGGACAGATATTTATACTGAATAAGCGGCTTCTGGTATCTTTCAAACCACTAACACGGACAGTTGCATCCTAGCTTGCCGATCCTCACCCAAAGAGCAAATATGAACCCTGCTTAGCTTCACACTATCTTCATTTTGGCCCACGCTGCATCCTCACCATCGACTCGTTGCCCGCAAGAGCGTCCTGATCTCGAAAGCTAGACTTGATGGTTTCCTTTCATCACAAGGACATGGACGGCACCCATCTCGTCGTCTCTGCCCTTACAAATTGATAGTTACATGACAACAGGCCTTGCTAGCTCTGAGAACCTTTGCCACTGGTCACTCTATTTGGATCGGCGCTACATAGCATTCTCTCACCACGTCTTGTTAAATGGATATGCTAGCGGAAACAGACGGGACAGCCCCAGCTACCGCGTCGATGTGCACTCGCATGTCGCACCAGATACCTGAGAGAATGCATTGCAATCAGCAGGTTCCCGGTCCAGAATGGGTCTCTGTATACGGATGCTTCTCAGTGCCGGATTGGATGCTGGTATCTCACCTAGCTAATATGTCCACTCTGGGTATCAACCACTCAACCGTCAGTGCCAGTGCCAGTGCCCCAGGAGTATATTTCTTGAGTAATACATGAATAAACAAAGCCTTACGATGGCAATGTCATGTAGGTTGCCAGACTAGGATTGAAAAAAAGCTGAGGTATTATCAGTTCCAAGAGATTAGGGATGCGCTTCTGTATATCCGGTTTCATTCTGGGCAATTAATTTACTCGCCTAACGAATGTTAACTTGTTAAGAAACAATTCTTTTTGAACCAATCATAAGGACCTTAGTATTGGAAGACTGGAGCTTTACGGCATAATATCTCACTGTACTTGCAACTAATACACCCGCAGTAGGACAGATGACAGTAAAAATTGACAAACAGAAGTATCCAGTATACACAGGCAGCGATAAGACTGTCAAAGAAAGCCAAAAAGAGTGTTTCCATCTCTCACTTAAGGCATAATACCAAAGTTGCGCAAATTACGCGATAACCCTCCTAGCCGATCCTCACTTTCCCGAACATTCTCCATCTCATCCCTATACTCCACACCTTTGGTCGAATACATAAATGTAAACTCAATGATACATGATATCAGAGTCACAAAGCTGCCGCATGGTGTCAGATATCATTACTACCTTGAATCGAAACTGGGAATACTTACAATGCAATAAAACTGAACGCTTCTGCAACATACTTGCGGCTACAAACAGTTTCGCCGTTCCATAGAACGACTCGACAACCGATATGGTTGAACTCGCGGGCTAGTAAAATGAAGGCTGTGAGCCAGCTACAAGCAGGAGTATTAGCACCAGTTAGGTAAAGTCTGAAAAGGAACTACTAGACTAACAGGTAGGAGAATGCCACGTCGAAAATCAGTACAGGAAGGAAATGACCCTTCCGGCGTCTTGTGATACAGCTTATTGTCAAGGCGATGGCATATATTGCCGGTGTCAGAACAGCCTGATGGATTGTTAAATTGGCAACTCCTATTGAAACAAGGGAATTGTCTCACAATCACTAGGGAATATATTACTGTCGTGGATTTGGTGTCCTGAACGGCCCACGCTGCGATTCCGAGCACGACGACTGCACTACTGCATTGCACTATGTGGATCAAAAGGGAGAGAACACTGAGAGCGTCATTTGTCACTCTACTACTTGCCATTTTGGATGACCGCGAAATATCCGGATTTATTACAAGGGGTAATCGGTTTCGAGGGTGCATTCTTGCCTTCAAAGACCCGAGAAGTAGAAGTAGTGATGTCACACCGTGGAGTCTTGGCTTTTGTCATGACTCTATTGTTCTCTTCCGGGTTCGAATAATTAACACATTGCATCTATTGTTATTTTGAACCTTCCGTTTTTCGGACATTATTCGCAGTCAAAGATGTCAGGATGGTTCGGTATATTCTGAAATGTGGGATGGGAAGGGTGGGGGGGTTGGGGGGGGGTCCAGGGTGCCAGACCTCAATTTTGTTCAATGTATCATATTATTGAGATGGTCTGTTGTTTACCATCCTTATCCTCTAATCACGTTTTTATTATTATTTGTATATATATTCAAAGGAAAAAAGGATCTACTTAGGGTATTGCTTAGGTAGTGAGGCTTAATATCTCATTCAAGCCTTTGCCTTTGCTAAATACCTAAAGTGCCACTAACCCCAAAAGGACAACATAACCCTCTCCCCAAGTTGTGATCTCTTCCTTCGGTTGCTCCAGTCTGTGTTTCCAGTCTTGAAGGGGCTGGATACTGTGCTGAGGACGGCGAAGAAATGCCACCAGTTGGGGGTTGCGACCTGGTTTTTGAAGTTGTGCAGGCACCAAGAAGCATTTAACATGAATTCCAACACACTGCCGAGTGTCCTTAACTAAATACAATTACACTCTCAGATTCGTGCTGAGTAGTTTTAATGAGGAGCACCTGGCCTATTTCGCGTACAGGGTTTGTGAATTAGAAGATTAGTATAGGGCAAGGCTGCGGGATATCGAGTGAACCAGCCGGGAACTAGAGTAAGGCTAGTTTTTAACATATATTTCAGCATATTCAAAATGTTGCAGCATTCATATTATCTAACTGAAGAGAGAACTGATGCTGCTTTGATAATTTGTGAAAATATGCAAAAAGGCACATATCCATAAATCCCCAACGAACGTAAGATTTTTCACCTATGTACACTGCATGGGTATAAAAACAAAAGGCTATGACAGCAGTCACCGCGATTTTAGAGGCGGGATAGAGTGTGCCTACCACATATGTTAATGAAAAGTAAAGCATATTGAATCTCCACAACTTAGGATAGATACCTTTTCTCCAGTAGGCACAATTCTATTGATCTCGATGATTCCCTCAGCACTCCTTAATCCTGAATGTATCAAACTTGACATTTTCCAAGACAGGAATGTCCGCGCGACAGCCTGTGATGCGGAAGCTCTTCATTTTGCTTCCTTCTTTGCTTACGGGGTACTTCTTCCAGCTATACCCGCGGCCACCATTTTGGCCGAGGCCCTTGCCCTTGCAGCCGATGTCGTCAAAGAACTTGATCTCACATCCGTACATCTGGACGGTACAGAAATGAAAGTCGTGCACGCCCTTCCTCTGGATTTCGGAAGAGATTTCATGGCATCCATTCTCCGCCTCACGGCTGTAGAATGTTTCAGTCACAGGGTTACCGGCATTGACCTCGTTGCCATTGACCTGCAGAACCCAAGCGTTGGAGAGGGGAACAGTTGCAGCAGCAAGAACGGTGGCGATGGAGAGGAACTTCATGGTGACAAGTGTACCGCGCGTGATATTAGGGTTGTATTGGGAGGAGGAGGAGAAGGATTGTGGTTCTAGAGTAGAGATTGGATAGTTGGTAGAATTGGTGGTGTTCAGCTTGACTTTATATCTCTCTTCACATGTTCTTGTCTATGAATTGCGCTCTTCTTCAGTGTCAATCGCTGTTCTATATTTGGAAGAAATCCGATTTCCATATCCACACTTCGTGTGCAATCTCAGATACGAAAGACACGAGTCTCGGTTCGTGTTTGAGTGTAACAAGGGTGTAGATCACTGGAGACTACCAAGAATACACTGTGGGGACTTCGTAGCTAGTCAACAAGATCGAGATATGAACCTCAAGAGCGATCTCTCTTTCTACTATCAGTCCCTTATTCACTTTTTAAGATACCTGGCAGGGCAATCGAGTATTCTCAAGGATCTCTGAATTGAATTAACAAGTATCTGTGTAATTGTTCGAAGATAATCTATCTGTTCTGCAGGGAATGGGAGGTGAAGATCCATACCCGTATTAAGGACACTAACGTCGGTATCCATTTTATTCCCGTATTCGCGGGAATTATTAGACGGAGAGTTTTAAGGTACATGCCGATCACACCCTGCCGAGTCTTCTTTGCTAGATTACTGGGGATGAGTCAAACCAATCAGGATATAGATAGATGACTTACTGTGGTAATTGGGATATCTATACATCTAGGCAATGGACCCAGAAATATCCTCATGCTAGAGCTGGCTGTACACACTGCCCCTCTTATACAGGAGCTATATTTGCTAACCACATGTTAGTTTATCGCAGCCTGAGACTAGCTGCTTTTTTAGTATACATCCAAGGTTACATTATTTAATAGAGTAAATTGTATTCTTCGATGTTTTCTATATTATCAAGTTGCAGCAGGAAAGGATGGTCTGTCATGTGCCACACAAAACCCAATCATTGACCCCTCAGGTCAACGTCCCATAGGAGTTGAACACTCACTCCACCGTGCCAACAATGGAAACAACAGCAAAGAGCCACCCCGTGGGCCCAGAGCCGCCGATACGAATCTTGGTCCAAACCTTGACCCATTTGGTTCCAAGGAATGACAATTTTGAGCGGACCAATTTCATATTGAACCACATGTGCCAGCACCACTGGAAGTGCGATTTCGATGTTCTGAAGTTCCGCTGGGCCTCCTACAATGATCGACTTGGGTCTCAAGAACCAGCGCTGCTTTTTTACTCGTTGACTATGGTCAGTATCAGAATGATGATGATGTGCCTGTTCTGTGCTACGAGGGGGTGGGAGAGTCCCTGTAAGGCCCCTCTCAACCCAATAAGGCACTTGTTTAGTCGCAACTACAGCAACTAGCCAAAGGATCCAAAGATCCAAGCCAAGCTGAGGGGTGAGGTTTCTTTTACCAGGAAATGACGACGAAAGCATGAAACGCCTCCAATACGCAGGCTCATAAATCAAGACTATACAGTGATGAGAGTATTCTGCCTGAAGACTTCGGATATGAGGGGGAGCATCTGGGGGATTTAGAGTGGCTCAAGTTGCATGTCAAACCTAGATTATGGGGGAAGTTTGTGGCTATCGCCAATGCTTACAAGCCTCCCAGAGCTTCAAAAATTTAAGAGTAGCCTTCCTAATGATACCTTTTTTTTTAAATGCCCTAGAAGTGATTTCTTCGTTGTAGTGATCGAAATCAGGTCCAAGGAGAGCGGCATCTTATTCAAAACTGTGTGCAAGTCTTAGCCTCGTCGGCGATACACCAGAGGCTCCCACGGCAATTAACATGACATTGAAGACATTACTAGTCATCTACATATTGTATTCTCCTTGTGGGTATTGTACCACAATGGACAATGCCACATTGCTATTATTCCGCTTCATAAACTATGGGTCAATGACGAGAAGGCCCAATCTAATAGCCGATGTGCAACAACAAAGGATCAGACTACGTGAGAATCTTCTTGATGAGCCCCATACATATGGTACCAAGTGCATTGCAGATGTTTACGTGATTATCTAAACTGTGGAACAACGACAAACCCTTCTTACATGGTTAGTTCTTTTGGAGGGTTTCCCTTTATACTGCAAGAGTCATACCTTTGTTCAATGAAATCTTATCCCAGACTCCATGAACTGCTAGATAGATTTATTCAATCAGACGACACATGCTTTAATAAAGAGGCTGCTACCAGTATATTCTTTCCTTAGACACCAATTTTGGGTTCACTGCATCTCTGAGTAGCATCATTCAATATAATATCCCATCCTTTGTTAAAGAAGCTGATAGCAATATGTTTGCTACATGAAGCCTTGTGCTAAGTTCCGTAGATCTTGGAATGGCATCATCTATTTAGGCTCTTATATCTCCTACCTTTTGATAGATCAGTAGCTTTCAAGTCATTTTAAACATCCCGTATCTGCAGAAGCCATCTACCCCTTTGTATATCGCGGCTGCTCTCTTGCACCAACCTCCAAATGCCTCTTCGTGAACTTCCTTCCTCCAGTCTCCCTTCAAGAAATCGCTAAGCTTCCCTTTGAGTAGGGACCTGGGTCAGACACTGCTTTTGAACTTTTGGACATCCAACATTCCTACCACGAGAACGACGCATTTTCTTCATTCCATGGTTGGCTATTTCTCTTCCCTCCTTATGCCATCCAAAATGGAGCATACGCAAAGTAACGAACATGAGACGTCAACTGAGTACATGGTAAGGATGAACACAGGCTATCCCCCTGCTTTGATATGTTCGAATCCAAACAGAGGGCTGAGAGTTCCTGTGCAGTATTATGAGCTGTTTCAAAACCCTCTTGGTAATCCCGCAGAGTCCGACAACACCAACACCCCTGGTCCACTGAAGAATTCCGTCGTCCCCGAAGTGTTCACTCGTAAACGTGCTGAGGAAATCCTTTCAGACGCTCCTTACCCGAACCGCAACAACAAGAAGGGCCGTCGACCGCATGCGCACTATGACATTGAAAAACTTTTCACGAAGGAGCGAACCAAGCTAAGACCTTTGGAGACTGTCGACAGATCCCCCAGCAAGGACCCACCGGTCCTATGGTCTTATCCGGCTGAGAGGTTCGACTATAGCTTGCAAAACCGTCTGGGAGAGGTCAAGAATAAATTTTTAACACGGCATCGAATCATCACCGACCGAGAGAAAAACATTAAAGGTATGGTGTCACACCCACCAAATAGTGGTAAGTTCTTCCGCGCTACAGAACGAGTAAAAGGTCAAGGCAAACGGGAGGATGCAGAGTAATAATCGATGGTGGCATGTCCTGTAGCATATTCGTTGGACTTGTTGGAATGGCCCCTTGTGTGTCTCTGTCTTTGATATACATTGTAAACGGTAGTGTTGCCTCATCATTTCTGCTGCTGCTGCTGCTGCTGCTGCTGCTGTTGTTGTTTAGATAGGTTTCGTTAATGGGAAGTAATAGAAGACTTGATAAGTTCGAAAGCACCAGGCTCACCAAACATGAAACTAAATCACAAAGCAGGGAAACCAAGCCTAGAAACGATAGTATTAAATAGAGCCTAGATCAATGTTCCTCTGTGTTCGGGTCTAACCTTTGATGCTCTTTAAATAAACAGACAAGGCCGCTCAAAGATCAGCCAAACTTAGGTTGGAACTCAACAATGCGAACACTCGTTGTGTAGGCCGCTCACTTCAAAGATAGTTTATGTTCATGTTTCTTGCATGTTTATTTGTATCCTCAAGAGTGTGCAGTGATGTGTATGGATGTCAAAGACGGCTCCCGCCATTTACCACCGATAATCACAGTTTTATTCAACATTGTGCCAGCCACGCCTCAAGGGTAAACATATGGATTGAGTATAAGAATTAGCACAGTACAGTTGATGTATATCCTGTATACAAGGCTTGTTCTAAGTGTTTTCAAATAATATCTCATTTCTTCGTCGCTCTGCGACTTTTCTCCGTTGAGTATTCAAACCCATCGTCCTGTCTAACATGTCATCCCTCAATCTCCACATAGATGAAAACGATCCAGACGTTAAAGATGTGTGCGGTCGCTACTCACGGTGGAAAGCTTTCTGCATCCTTAAACGGTATCTTGAACCTGATGGGGACCTTTCGCTAGAACAGGCCGCGCAATTGATTACAAGGATGCTTCCCACTTCAGCCGAAAGCAACAATTATTATATTAATGTTATACTTGGGCATGATGCTATAGACGTGGCCCAACAAATCCATTATTCCAATCCGGCTCAGGCCCGCCTAGTACGACTCCTAGAAAGGTTGCAAATATCGCAAAAATTGATAGGGCTCGACAATGGTGAACTGCATGAGGTAAGAGATAATCCTACGGAGAAACGGCCAATCTGCCACCACAGCATAGGACTAACATCTACATCAACTTAGCAATATGTCTCTCTCTCTGGCGTGGTTCAATTCTCAATCGTCTTATACGAGCGATACAACTGTACGTTCGCTGAAAGCCTTTGGATTTGGATTTGTTTTCCTACTGTTTCCTCTCCAATTTTACCTGATTCGAATTGCATTGAGAATTCTTGCGAATTCAGTTCCATATCACGCCGTCCGCTAACCTTCATGGCAATGAAGTTACAGAATCCATTACAGCTGACGAAGAGGGGCACTATGTCAACAGCCTAGCCTTCTTCGCCCGGCTTTGTACCAGTGGTCTATGGAACAGCGTACATCATGCAGTCTGGACCATGAGAGAGAATCTTGAAGAGGGCCGTTCGGAAGATATCTATAGTGAGTGTATTTGTGGGTCTGCCGTCTGGATCCTATGCGCTGGTCAATGGCTTTTTAATCAGGTTGTCCGGGAACCAATAGAGATCGATAATGGCGATAGATCCCTACAGGGTGGTCGCCTCTATACTGGTCCTGAACTGGGCATGGAGAGATGGAATTTCTGGCAAACGACCTTTGCAGCGGCCGTGGAGGGTGACAAAGCGAACGATGAAGCCAAGGCCCTGGCTCGCAAGTGTGTTAATGTTATGGAATGTCTTGCGCGGGATGCCATGTGGTGATTTTTTTTTTTTTTTGCCGTGCTCTGCTCGAGGATATGCGAGTTTCTGCATCTTATTCTATGGGTTGCTTCCTTGCTTTTGCTAAAAATATAAACTCCAGAAGATAGGAAACTTGATCCAAGATTGTGCTCTATGAACGATCCTAAACTGATCTCTATGCAAACGTACTCAACAGGACACATCCAACACATAACAACAGAATCAAACAAGTGAACCAGATCAGAATGCAAGAGTAAGTGTTGGCCTTGCCTAAATCTACATACAAAACCATATACACGCCCACTCCTGCAATCTACCTGACAGCTGTGCTCTTTAATCTCCTGCTGAAGAAGATTCAATGCCGCCTAATGCTCCTTAAACTTCGCATGCTCCAGCGCACCATCCCCATATTCATCTACAATCCCGATATCGGCACTGCGGTCAAGCATTCATCTTGTCTCTTCCAACAGGCCATGCTTAGCAGCAAAGGCGAGAGTCGTACCACCATACGCCAAGTCCACAGGCCACCCGAACCGATTAATGTCTGCACTACGCCGAACGAGATGCTCCATCATTAGAATCCTAGTATCTTTTCGAATCAGGGCGCAGTTTGTCGAGCAGCTGTTGTTAATACTGGCCCCGTATTCAATAAGAGTATCAACGATGATTGGGTCGCAGAGATGTGCCGCCACTTCTAGGGCCCAACCAGAGGTAGCCATCGAGGACGCATTAGCCTGTATAGCACCAACTGCCTACAGTCATTAGATGGAGCTAGATTAGGCCTTGTACCTTTTGAGAGGAACCAGCGCAGTAGGTATAGATTGTTCTTTTCGACGAAGGATTTTATTGCCGTTAAAGAGCTCATATTAGGGAAGGTACCTTGGTGGAGCGGAGCTGGCAGGTCAACTGCACTTACATCAAGGGTACATGAGCGAAGTGCACAGGGTGGTCGATATCGAGACCATGGTTCAGCAAAAGCTGAAAAGCCTCCGGTGACTTAGCGTAGTGAACGGTATACTCGTCCATGATCGCCCGGTGTTCGAGTAAGATTTGCATGTTCTCAACTTGATTCCAATATGTGGCTGCTTGCAGCGCCCAGATCTTCCTCAGCATTTGGCCGAACTAGGTCCAAGATTCTTCGGACCCACGAGAGATTCCCTTGCTTGCAAGCTTCCTCCAAATGGGGACAGATTAGCCTTGTCGAGTGCTCTGACATATGGCAAAATCGGCAATGACATGGTGAGATCGTAGATGTGGGTATAGCTCTGGGACAGTGAAAGAGAGTAAAAGGTGTGCAAAAGAGAATACACTGTAACAAAGGGCAGATAGTAGGTAATATAATTATAGAACTACACCATTGAGATGGCTACTGTGATGTTGTTCCGATCCGGCTTGGTTCATTCAGTTTCTTTTGTTCTTTTAGGCTGTGGTACATAGGAAGTCTATCAGAAAACAGTGACATACATTGCATGCCCAGTAACTGGATGAGGACTTGTGGATTCTTTGTCAGGTATTCACAATTAGATTAATTGCTTCACAAGCAATCGTGCGCTTCAAGGCATTTACTCATGAAGTATTTCGCAAAATCAAGCCCTACATTGATGACCTACAATCTGAGTCTCTCATACAAGATCATCTAATAAAAGTTCTTCATGTTGAGGTCTCTATAACATTTTAGACATACTAATAACAGGTAAGGAATGAGGAGAGACTACATACTAAGAGCATTAGAGCCACAGACCCATGCTAGGTTATGTTGAACTCAGCAACCTGTATTTAATGATTCTCTCATAAGAATGATTATTCAATTTTTCTGAGGTATGGAGAAAAAAAGAGCGCCTTACTCTCTTTACAAGTTCGAGTCAACTATGATTCAATTTAGATCGCAGGCCCAGGTTCATAAAGGAAGCCATACCAAAACCACTCCTAAATTAGAAGTATCAATTACGCTCTTCCTTCCATTGTGTGGGTCGTTGCAATGCACAGAAAGCCAGAAGCAGAAGTCTTTCAGTGTTCTGCTTTTCCCTTTTCCAGACGTGGGCAAGCCGCTACGACAGTGGCTGAGAGTGCTATGAGATCCAGCCCAGCCTGATGAAAGGATTCCGTTCAAATCCATTCAAAGATATAACGTAGTTAGACGGTATATCTCTGGACTTTAAAAGATCTACGAGGAGCAACGTATAACCAAGAAGCGAATATGAGACTATGTAGTACTTCATCGTAGAGGTGACATGCCACGAAGTCCAAAACGGGAAACATTTTGATTTCTTTCTAGGTTGAAGCCATTTAGCCGTATATTATGTCTTAGTAGACATAGACACATAAAAATCTAGGTAACTGACCCAGTTTTGTCATCTATTTCTAAAGATGTTCCATATTCATACTCCACACCAAGCCACTAAAACTATACCTCACACAATTGATCTGGCTGGCCCGTTCGTATCCAGGTACGATCGGACCCATAACCCTAACTCATCTCTCGGAGCTAGATCAAGATATAACCACAGCCTAATAAACATCAGATTTAAGTCTCCAAGACTAATGTCACCTGCGTCCACCTAAACAACCCACATCCAACCTCGTAGTCCATCTGCATATTTCTATCCAAACCCAAGTGGGTCGCATCATACAACAACTCCATCCTAGCGCTGACCAGACCTCATCCTCCCGTTCAGCACCACTACAACCCATTCAATCCAAAGAACAAGCCATACACAACGAATATAAAAACCACTTCACCCGCAACTCTCAACTCAGCCTCACGCCCCTCCAAATACACCACGCACAAACCAAAACCACAAACATCAACAAAACCATGCCCCAAACCAACCAGCCCAATCCCCCAGCTCTCCTCCTCATCCCCGGCTCCTGGCACACCCCCCAAAGCCTAAAATACCTGGAATCCCACCTCGAATCCCAAGGCTACCCCACAGAAACAATCTCCCACCCCTCTAACGGCTCCATCCCCCCCACAGAAACCCTCTCGGACGACACCACCTACCTCCGCACCACCCTCACCCGCCTCATCGAAGAAGAACACAAATCCGTCGTCCTGATATCCCACTCTTACGGCGGCCTCGTGATGTCCAACGCCAGCGCCGGATTCGGGAAACCAGATCGCGAGGCCCGGGGCCTGGACGGGGGGATCATTCTCCTGGTCTACATGGCCGCGATGGTGGTGGGGGAGGGGCAGAGCCTGTTTGGACGTTTTGGGGAGTGGAGGCCTGAGTGGATGGGTGTTGAGGTATGTATTTATTATCTACTGATGGTCTTCCTTGGGGCAAGGGGTGTATTTGTATTCTGCTTGTTTTAGCGGGGTATTTCGGCTGATTATGTATTTTCTATGCTGGGGTGTACAGGGCGACTACTGCCGTGCGCTTTCGCCCCTCACAACGTTTTATCATGATCTTACGCCACAGATGCAGGAGGAGGCGGTGGCGCAGTTGACGCATAGTTCGCTTGGGGCTTATACAGAGGTTGTGGGGTATGAGCCGTGGCGGGCGATGCGGTGTGCTTATATTCTTTGTGAGGAGGATCGGGCGATGCCGGTTGCCGTGCAGGAGATGTTAGTTGGGATGATGAGGGCTGGGGCGGTGTTTCCGGTGCTTACGGGGAGGTTGCCGGCGTCGCATTCGCCGTTTTATAGTATGCCGGGGAGGACAGCCGGGGTTATTGGGGGTTTTATTGCGGAGGTTTTGGGGGAGAGGGTTTGAGTGAGTGTCTACGGAGTATTTAGATTACAGCGTTGTTATGGCTTGCTGCCCGGGGCTAATTTGATTTGATATGTTGGTTTAGCTAGTTTGTGTTTAATATATACTTTTGTTGTTATGTTATTATGTCTAGGGATGTTCTGGTTAGTGGTGCTTTTGGGTATGGGTGATCGTGGGACTGAGATAGGTGGGTTTGCTTTGCTTTGTACTTTATGTGCTAGGTTAGTAGACTGTTTAGTTTAGTCAAGACATCGACGGATTTATCGTCGATCCAAAGGCACATCTATTCAGGACAGAATCAGGTCGGCCACTATAAAAGTAGTTGTCAGCTTTAACTGTCATATGTTACTAAAGAACAGGATCAGTCGGTCCCGATCTTGTGCGAAGAAAGAGACACAACTGAGAAGGATATCATCTGAACGGATCCAGAAAGTCTTGGTATAGATCACAGAAACAAAAAAACGGTCCGAGATGCAGTCAACTGCAGAACCCAACCCAACTCCACTCGCATCCAATGCTAAGACAAATGGTGTACGTCATCATCATAAATAAAGAAAAGAAATAAGAAAACTATAGGTCACGCAGCAGGCTGCCCTCTGCAAAAGGGTTCTCTGGGGAAAGGTCCAGCATTGGCTTCGTGGCATTCCGATCTCCAGTAGCGACGCCGTGGCCTTTAGGCATTCCGCTCACAGCAGCTACCTGGGCGGAACGAGCCAGAAGACTATTCGGGAAGAACATTTCCTCTCGGGGCTGCAAAGGATCGACAGGGGTGGTTGGAGATGCGGGCACCGTACGTGAGTACTGGGGACGTTGCTGGCTACTGGTACTGCGGGTTGTATTGGAGCGCTTCCGGGTCCGGACGTCTGGGACTGCGGCTGCGGCTGCGGCTGGCGATGGTATCTCCGGTCGTCTCCAGGTCGTCGCGGACGGGATTACAATGCCGCCAGGAGCTTCAGGTCCTGTCGCAGCGTCAACAAGTAGCACTCCGGGCTCAACGGCGACCCCTCGGCCTTTGCGGGTGTGCTGCGGAGGCTCTTGATACACGGGAGTCAGGTCGACAAGAGGTTTAGCCTTCACTGACTGTGACCGTCTAACAAGGCTGCTGGGGTCGGGCGCGTGCATCGATGTCATCGTGTTGGAGCGACTGTTTGGGCGGCTATTGGAGCGACTACGGGGGCCAGGATACTGGCGACGCGAATCCAGGCCACCGATAAGACCATTGGTGAATGGTTCTTCAGTAGCCTTCTTGTCCCTTTCTTCTCTCTCCTTCATCGCGCGTTGGCGTTGAGTATAGGTTCGACCTAAAAGGCCGCCAGAGGCGAATGGGGACTCATCAGAAGACTGCGCAGCAGACAAGTCGCTGTCATCGGAGAGCATTTTTGGGAATGACGAAGGTGGGGGAGCGTGCTCTCGCGTGCTCTTCTTCATAGAAAACAGCTCCTTGGCTTTAGACGCCTTTGGACGATCGATGTCACTGCTCTCCGCGCCAGAATTTATAGGGGAATCGAGATTGAGCAAAGGCTTGAAGGGCATCTTCGGACCGGGCAAGGCATCGCCAGTGTCCCCTAGGAACTCGGCCTTGTCCTCTGGGCTGCTTGCGCCAAGCTTGGTCACCAGATACCAACTGCGCCAGGATTGCACGGCTCTGTACCAACTATCGGCAGCTTCTCTATCGTTGGTAGAGAAGAAATGGACAAAGTTCTCGGTGGACAGGAACATGCTCGACTTTTGCTGGCTTTTGATGGCCTGGCAGATCTTCTTTGGCGGTTTCACATTGTTTGACAGATAACTGGATGTGGGCGAGTAAATATCAAAGTCGGACAGATGGCACACGTTCACTTGATCCTGGCCTTGTTCCTTCTTAGACAGGGTGATCTGCCCGTCCGCTCGCAAGGTAACGTAACGCTTGTCCCATTTCCGCGGACGCTGGGAGTAATACATGAGCAATGTCAGATCCGCCGGTGGCTCGGCGGGAGCGTGTCGCGGGTCCAGGGAAGAGAGCGCGTCGAGGCTGGCTGCTGGCACAATGATCAACGTATTTTCCTGGTCATGTGCCCATGAATTCATGACCTCCCGGATACATTCGTATGTGCGTAACGGCCGCTCCAGCCCCAGTTCCCCAAAGGATTCCATCAGGATGAACTTGGGAGGGTCAATTTGGCCTTCCAGGCAACCTGCAGCAAGAAACAAGAGGTCTTGGGCTGTGGTTGATGGAGTCACACGGAGATCCAGTGACGTCTTCCGATACTGGACAACGACCCTGCGCTCACCAGCATTGACTGCGGAGACCGGTGCGTCAATTCCAGGGAAATGGTTTCCGACACTCGTATCGATCGCTGTGACCTCCTTGTTCGCCTTTTCGGTTGGTCGCGACGGCATGGCCATTTCCTTGTTCGACAGACGCTTCGGTTCATGGCTCGCACGCCGGCTGGCGACCCCTTCTGCGTCCCTGCGCGGATACCGCTCCTCTGGCTTTTTGACGTCTCGGTCCCGTGTCGTGGGTCTCCGTTGTGGAGCTGCTCCTGGCGGTCTCCTATCCTCCCCGGTCAAGCGATTCATCGCGTCCCGTCGGTGCTTTTCACGTACCTCCTCATCCTCGCTATCCGTCAGGAAGGGGTTCACCGCTGTGGCTCCATCCACGTTGAACGCCCTCCGTCGGTTCTCGGGCCTCCTCGCCGTGGCGGTTTTCGATCCCTCCGCGCGTCTGGCGTCGTCCGGGCTGCCTCGCGAGCGCTGCTGGGCTACACCACCATTCGCGTCTCCTTGCGGTTTGGCGCGGTGGGCCAAGACTCGGTCTCCGGGGACCGGAACCAGGGGCTGTGGCAGCGCGTGAGGGGACGATTCCGTCGCAGCCCGCTGGCGCCGGTAACGCGACATACTCCGCTTAGTCGCAGGGTTCACACCGTTAGCTGCGACTGCGCCATCAGGTAGCATCGGCCGCGATGCGCTGGGGGGACTCGGTAAGGTCGTCACCGGTGGCTGGTATGGCTTTTGCGACGCGGCCTTCCTGACAGACCGGTAGCGGGAAAATTTCATGGGCACTGGGCCTTGGCCCGCAGCCACCACATTTTCGGGCTTTTCCATCGCCATCGCTGTTGTTATGCGCAGAAGATCTTGAGTCCTAACCAAGTCGCATAGACACGGCAAGCATTGCACGTAAGGCCCCCGCGATCAATTGCAGCAGTGAAATGAGAGTTGCGACTCGTCCGGGTAATCGACGCTGAAATGCGCTTTAGCGAAATTAAGTAAACAAGAAGGAACAAGTAAAGAGAGAGAGGTTTAAAAAAAAAATTAATAAAAAATAAAATTAAAAAAAATTAAAAAAAAAAAGGGCAAAAGAGAAAGTTTGATAGTGCCTTGAGTTTATCCTGCACAAATCAAGGCGGTCTCTGGAAAGAATTAACACAGTGGGATCGACAAACGGAGGGGATGTTCGAGTGAAATAACAATGGGTCTTCTTCTCGCTGGCCGCCCCCTAAACGTTACATGTGTCGTGTCTATGTTTCACAGGACGTTTGACCAGCTCATTCTCCTCCAGACAATATGCACGGTGGATAAATTTAAGAAAAGGGGGCAGGATGCATCAGGATAGGAAACAGAATCTGAATCGGGGCTGGAATGTGCGGAGATATAGTGCAAATCACCAGTGGGGGGGAATTGTGGATGGGAAAGTGGAGAGAAGACGAAACTGTGTGGAAAAAAAAGGCGCGATCAGGTGGCAAGCTGCAGGCACGACACTGCGCGCGGTAAGGAGGCTGGGGGTTTATTCAGGTACGGATCTCCTTTTGCAGTGCTAAGAATATCAGGAATGTGATATGAGTCTGGAAACGGGGGGGAAGAAGGATATTTCTAGGTTCTAGGGGAAAAGAGAAGAAATAAGAAGCAGGGGAAAAACGAAAAGGATTGATGACGGCGGAATGTGTGTACCTGTTTTTTTTTTTTTTTTTTTTTGCTTTTCCTGGCCCTACTATTTTTAATTTTGAATTTCTCTTAAATCGAGAAACTAAAGCAGGCAGGTTTGAATAAAATGAGAGAAAAAGAAATAAAATCAAATCCAAATCCCAGCGTAACGGTTTTCGTGGAAGAGTCCAGCCTGGGACCCTTTCGAGTTTAGCACGCCCAGGCTGAGATTAACCCTTGCCCAATAGGGCCTAGTGTGCGCTGGGGGACATCCGGGCAGCCAATTGGGTCGGATCGCGTACTAGGGGCTAAAAGCGCAACCGATTCACTTTCATCTAATTTGATCCCATCACCTGGATTCGGTGTGACCTCCAAGAAACTAGTCCTGTTGCGTTTCCAAGTTTTGACCACGAAAGGAAAAAAAAAAGAAGGAAGACAATGGAGAAAAACAGGAGAAGAAAATGAAAAATTCAAATCTTGACTGATGTCATATTTGTCCCCTTCCTATTATGCAATCGAGACATTATGAACTCCCTTAAGGCATCACATCACATCCACTAACACGCACTATCCATACAGACAGACGCTCCAGCACCCAACACGCAGAAAGGAATCACCTTGAACTTTTATTGTTGATTTTATTGGTCGTATTTATTCATTTCTTTTCTTCCTTCTTTCTGCTACTATTACTCATAGCATCATCCGCTCCCCGTTGGAGTTGTTCCACGCCCCATTCAACCACGTATTTTTTTTTTCTCCCTCCCCCAAACAAGTAGGCAGTGTCATCAAATGACGCCTGGCGCACAGTGGCTTATTTCTTGTATGCGCCCAGATGTTTCCGCCTAGTTTCGCTGCATTAGCTCCATGCATCACCGACGATCTTAATCTAAACTTACCACCATGCAACAAAGTCAGTAGTGCGGACATCAATTCCGAGTTCCTGGAGTCCTTTGGTGGACAGATGACAATCGTAGGGTCTCTGCACCGATGAATTCGGGTCATTCCCTTGCGTGTCTCTGATCATCCGATTCAGGGGTAACCCGAGCACCTCCGCGAATTTCTCGCAAATCTCATACTTGGTCATGCGGTCTTCCGAGCTGAATTGGAGGATATGGGGCTGTTCCGGCAACCGCGTCCGCTCCTTGATATACTTGATGACAATGTCACGACACACGCGCGCCACGTCTTCAGTGTTGGTGGGATACCGCAGAGCCCAGTCATCCATCTTCACACTGGACTCGGGGGCTTGAGACTTCCACACCGCATCGATCAGGGTGTTGACCGCACTCTCCGAGTTCTTCTCAGAGGGACCGTATAACACGGGCACACGAAGGACCAGACCAAGCCCGGTCTCCTTGGTCGCCTCCAGAACAACCCGCTCGCCATCCAGCTTCAGCTGGCCATACAAGTTGGGAGGGTTTGGTGTCGCATCGGCCTCATAAGGAGCATCGCCTTCCTTGCCGGGAAAGACGTAGTCCGTAGAGATGTAGATCAGGAATGCGCCCCGGGTCGAGGCCTCCTCTGCAAGGGTTCGGGTGGCATCGACGTTGACCCGACGTGCTTGCTCGGGGTTTTGTTCGCAGAGATCGGGAGATCGATTGGCGGCGCCTATGCGTTACGCGTATCAGTCTCGTGCTCCAGAAGCTCTACGAAATGTTCTGTGTAGCTTACAATGGACGATAATTTGAGGTCTGTCATACACAAATATCCGGGGTCAGCTCTGTTCAAGCACATATATACGCCCACCATGGCAATTGCCCGTTGGGAGGGGTCTTCTCACATCGCATCTCCCCGACAGACTTACTTGGCTTCGTCCAAGATGCGCTTGATGTCCTCCGGGTCTTCCAAATCGGCTTTCAGGATGGTAGGAGGGGCAGCTCTTGAAAAACCTTGACCGACAACAAAGCACCCGGAGTGCTTAAAGGTGTGGAATACTTGGCGGCCAAGCAGGCCGGTAGCTCCAGTAACAAGGACCACGCTCGACATATTCTCAGAAGGCGACTCTGTAGTGGACATGATGAAGGGAAGTTTCGGGAACTTCAGGTGTTCAGCAATGTTGTTTGTGATTCTGCGGGGCACCAATAGTAGTGACGTAACCTGAACCGCTTTTCCGCGTTTCAGAAGGGCGATGACGATGGAGTGGGAATCTATGTAATCTGAGTCAATGATAAATCCATCGCCTGTGTGGTACAGTTTGTACCTCAATGACTAGTTATGGTGTGGTGCAATTTGGCCAATTCACCGGGGCCATTCCTCATTCAGTTCCTTGCTGCCCAATGGCTGTCCTTGACTTGCAAATAACCACGAAGAATAGTTTGCTTCTCATGCAAAGTACCTTTATTTCCCTGAGTCAGCTAGAAAGTCACATTTTTACCATAAACCCAACCACTTGTATTGAATTGATCGATTGTACTCCAACTAGTGTACAAAGTACTATACAGCCACCATTCAATGTAGAGCCACTAGGTTACATTACAAGAATTCTACTTCAGTTCAATAATCCGCATGAATTGACAGCTGCGGTCTGCAGAAAAATAAAGTCAAGAAAATAAAACAACTGCTGTAGCTTTTGCTTTTTCCGTCATTCTTTAATTCTTTTTTCTAGTGTTTTTACTCTCTTGGGTTCAAATGCTGCATAGCCACTCACCGTTGTGTCAGTAGAGATTGGTGGTTTTTATTTTTTATTTTTTATTTCTTTTCTATTTTCCCATCTGTTTTGTCGTGGGTTTATTATTAATTGGATTTGGGCCAGACGAAACAAAGAATTGAAGAATCGATTGTTTCAGATTATGGGATTAAAGGGATGAGGAAACTCGCGTGACTTGGTTTCATTTTTGAAGCTAAAATATATAGTTGTGGGTTTATACTGTGTCGCTCGATAAACAAGCTCAAAATAAGAATTAAACTAAGAAGAATAGTTATAATCATAAAGAGAATATACCAGTAAATGTATCAGCAATCTCTTCATTTTTCCCTCTTAAGATTCTATCCAGTCCATCCTATTTAAGTCCCGTTAAAAGGTTCAGCCGATATTTTTCCATGCTCTAGCGTTTCGCACTCCGGAGTCGGCGCCAACTCCGGTTCGGTGTCAGCTTTTTAGTTCCACCGCCCGGTTCGACAACGGTTGCTTTTTATTGCCAACCACCACATCATGTCGAGTGCAAGGAATGTTTCCGCCGTCCTGCGGAGGGCTCGACTGCCCAGACCGCGCTGTTTCGTCCAGCCCATTGTCTCTCGTGCCCCATCTCGCGTCGCCACCCGTACATTTAGCGTCACCTCCACCGTGAATGCGACCAAGGAGATCAAGTACACCAGCAACGCCTACCCCAACCTCAAGCGGGACCCCAAGTTTGCAGAGATCACTGCCGATGATGTCAAGTTTTTCCAGGAGCTGCTGGGTTCTCAGTCTGCCGTGATCGACGGTGTGACGACCGATGCCGCCGATGACATCGAGTCATTCAACAGCGACTGGATGCGCAAGTACCGGGGCCACACAAGGCTTGTGTTGAAGCCTCAGAACAAGGAAGAAGTCAGCAAGGTGTTGAAATACTGCAATGACAAGAAGTTGGCGGTGGTCCCTCAGGGCGGCAACACTGGATTGGTGGGAGGTTCTGTGCCCGTGTTCGACGAGATTGTCATCAACATGTCGCGGATGAACCAGATTCGCTCCTTCGACGAGGGCTCAGGAGTCCTGGTCGCTGATGCGGGTGTGATTCTGGAGGTGGCTGATCAGTACCTGGCGGAGCGGGACCATCTGTTCCCCCTGGATTTGGGTGCCAAGGGTTCATGCCATATTGGAGGAAACGCTGCTACGAATGCCGGAGGTCTGCGTCTGCTTCGCTACGGAAGTCTTCATGGCAATATCCTCGGTGTTGAGGCGGTGTTGGCGGATGGAACCACCGTCAACTCACTTTCTACTCTGCGGAAGAATAACACCGGCTACGACCTGAAGCAGCTGTTCATTGGTGCCGAGGGTACGATTGGTATCATCACTGGACTTTCTATCCTGTGTCCTCCCCGGCCGAAGGCGGTTAACGTGGCTTACTTCGGTGTCGAGAGCTATGAACAGGTGCGTCAGGCACACAAGGAGGCGAAGTCTCATCTCTCTGAGATTCTCTCCGCGTTCGAGCTCATGGATGGCCGCAGTCAGCAGCTTGTCCACCAGTCCACCGGCAACAAGTATCCTTTGGAGGGCGAATACCCCTTCTACTGTGTGGTTGAGACTAGCGGGTCGAACGGTGAGCATGACATGGCTAAGTTGGAAGCATTCTTGGAACACATCATGGGCGAGGGCATCGTTGCCGACGGTGTCTTGGCGCAGGATGAAACCCAGTTCCACGGTATCTGGCGCTGGAGAGAAGGTATCACCGAGGCTCTGAGCCACCTGGGCGGTACTTACAAGTACGATGTCTCGATCCCTCTCCCCGAACTGTACCAGCTCGTCGAAGACTGCCGTGAGCGTCTGACCAAGCTTGGATTTGTCGGCGATGATGACTCCTTCCCTGTCCGTGCTGTTGTTGGATATGGTCACATGGGAGACTCGAACCTGCACTTGAACATTTCTGTCCGGGAGTACAACAAGGAGGTCGAGAAGGCCATTGAGCCCTGGGTGTACGAGTGGATTCAGAAGCGCAATGGTAGCATCAGCGCCGAGCATGGACTGGGCATTGCCAAGAAGGAGTTCATCGGTTACAGCCAAGACGAGACTATGGTGAAGTTGATGAAGCAGTTGAAGGATTTGTATGATCCAGTGAGTACTCTCGTCTTCGTCTCCGGCTATACATATGCTAACAAAAAGTTTTTTAGAACGGTATCATGAATCCGTACAAGTACATTTAGAGTATTTTAGAAAAGCATTTGCATACTGTATGTCTATAAGAAGTTATTATACCACCGTGTGTGTGAATTTGATTTGGATTAAAGATATAATCTTCTTGATTTCGCTTTGTATGCTTATAAGTACACACCCGAATGTAATATGATAGCCGATAGCGATCCTACACCACATTCTTCAAGAGATAAGCATGCACTACTACAAGACGTGGGTATTAGTTCCGCGGCTGCAGCCTGAGGCAAGGATGCGGGGCATTATCTAATCAGTGCAGAAACCTTGGGGCCCACCCGGTGCCTCAGGCGGCGGTTGCCATGCGCTACCGCCTGTTGTTTTCCGCGAACCATGGAAAAGTACGGCAGCCGACCATTGGATGCGCCGGGAGCAACCAATTTACTCTAATCTCCATTTCCCTCTCCGCTCCTCTTCGATAACCCTCGATCCATTGAGCTCAACTCCAAGGTCTTGCCGGACGAAATTAGCTGGCTGGCTGTATGAGTTGCTCATTGTGTCTATTTATCCCGCTGTCTTTGTTTTTCCGTTTTCAATTTTTTTTTTCTCTTTGTGGCCTCGCCCCTGAGCCACGGGAAAATTCGACGTGAAACATGGCGGACGATATGGCGAGCCATTACCAAATGATGGAGGAGCTGGGGAGTAAGCTGAACCCATCTTCCCGGATCAATGGCTGTGGCTGATTTTCTCTGCGTGCGTAGGTGGCAGTTTTGGAACCGTGTACAAGGCAATTGAAAAGTCGACTGGAGAGATCGTTGCAGTCAAACACGTAGGTCCACGGGAATATTTTTTCCGCGTCTTTGAATGGTTCGATATTGACATTGCTTGCCACGTTCCAGATTGACCTTGAATCAAGCGAAGATGATATCCAGGAAATCCAGCAAGAGATTTCCGTCCTGGCGACGTGCGCGAGCCCCTACGTGACGCAATACAAAGCGAGTTTTCTCCGCGGGCATAAGTTATGGATTGTAATGGAATACTTGGGTGGAGGGTCCTGTCTTGATCTGGTACTTTAATTTTCGACTATCTCATCCTAAAGGTTCTTCGCTAATAGGTGGTAGCTGAAACCCGGCGTATTCAATGAAGCCCACGTCGCTATTATCTGTCAACAGCTGTTGCAAGGGTTGGACTACTTGCACAGTGAGGGGAAGATACATCGCGACATTAAAGCTGCCAATGTGCTCCTTTCACATACGGGGAAAGTGAAATTGGCGGATTTCGGCGTGGCTGCACAGCTGATCAATATTAAATCGCAACGGAACACGTTCGTCGGGACCCCGTTTTGGATGGCTCCTGAGGTGATTCAGCAGGCGGGATACGACTACAAGGCAGATATTTGGTCTTTGGGAATCACGGCTATCGAGATGATTAACGGGGAGCCTCCACACGCCAGCACGCATCCGATGAAAGTACTCTTCCTGATTCCCAAGGAGCCGGCTCCCCGACTGGAAGGCAGCGAATACAGTAATACTTTTAAGGACTTCATTGCGCAGTGTTTGACGAAGGACCCGGACCGTCGACCGAGCGCGAAAGACCTTTTACGACATAAGTTTATTCGGAATGCAGGGAAGACCGAGGCGTTGCAAGAGCTTATTCATCGAAAGCAGGATTTTGATGCTGGTAGGGGAGTGGCGCGGAATGTTAAGTACTATGCCGAGTCGCTGTAAGTGTCTGTGGCATAAATTTACAACCTGACCTCCACTGACCTTTGTGTGCTAGCAATACCATCACGCACTTGAAGGACGACGACGGCTGGGTGTTCGACACCGTTAAAGCACCCACTATGAAGATCCCCGAAGACCCGTACGAGGAAGAGAACGATTTGGACGCTCAAGATTTCCTCTATGATGAAACATCAGAGATGATGGACACCCTACACATCTCTAGCCCGCCGCCTCCCCCCAAGCACGCTCCCAACAGCGCGGTGAATACCGCCGTGAGACGAACCCCCGCCCCTGCCCCCGCCCCCGCCCCCGAGCACAGCCCTACCACGCGACGGAGCTATAAAAAGCGACGATCCAGTGGAATTAAGCAACCCCTGGGCGTGGACCTGACCTTTGGCAATAGTCCATCTACGGTCCGGCAGTTCCGTCGCGTCTCGGATAAGGTCCCGGCGGAGAATTCGTATAGCTCCCAGTACTCGTTTGGGCCAGATGAGAACAGTAGCCCGAAAACATTGTTTTCCGAACCAAACAGCAAGGAAGCGCAACTGGGGCGACGGGCCTACAGCAAAGCTGTCGGACTGGCCTGCCAGGAGGTTCTCGGGACCACGGGGGACCAGGAAAAGCGGGAGGCAATTTCTCGCCTGGCAGAGGCCTGGAGTGACCTTGAAATGGCGGATCCCGAGGGACTATACCACATTCTCAAGATCATGAATGAAAAGCTTCAAGGGTGAGTCGCGAGCAGGTCGTCCGCGTGAAGTACGGAACCATTGTTAGCTAACGGAGCTTTGTGAAACAGTGATCCAAAGCTGTCAGGTCTCGTCCCACCAGCTCCACCACCGGAATCCCCACAGAGGCCACGACTAGTATTGGCACAAAACAACCCGCACCTCAAAAGCCACCGACGGCGGCAGTCCACGGCGGTGACGGAGCCCAGTTTGCAACCGGCTCAACTCGCCAATCTTCCGGGTCAGCAGGTTTCCGGGATGGAACACACCAAACAGCTGTCGGACGTGCTCTACCAGCGATGGTCCGAAGGGTTGCGCAGTCGCTGGCCCGGGATCTAACAGCATATTCCTCTTTTTCTTTCTTTCTTCCTTCTTTTCTTTTCTTTCCTTTTTTTTTTTTTTTTTTTTTTTTTTTTTTTTTTTTTTTTTTTTTTTTTTTTTTTTTTTTTTTTTTTTTTTTTTTTGATATACTCTCTGGGATGATTTCCCTTTCTTTGCGCTGTACAAAACGAATGGTCTTACAAGGCGTTTACATATCCGGTTTTCTCATTCGGCCTGGTTTCCGTTCCGTTCTTAATTTGGTGCGCTCGTTCGGTCTGGATTCTACCATGGCCACTTCATTCGTTATTGTTATTTTCTTTTTGCCATTTATTTATACTCCCTCGGTTCTGGCTTGGGGTTCGCTGCTGGCCAATGACGCCCCGGATAGAGTGCTGTGTCTGTCCAGCCATGCCTGCGGCTCTTTTGTGCAAGTCGGAAGATGGGGGAGAGAGAGGCGTTTCCAGCAAGTGCACACCTCGGCGCTGATATTCTTTTCCTACTTTGCTTTCCCATTGAGATTACGGACTGGACTCTGGAGTTTTCGTATGTGGGGTTTCATTTCTGGTGAATTTTTTGAGGACCTGTGATTTTATCGGACTTTCCTTTCTTGTTTTGATACTCTTTATTTCCTCCCCCCTTCATAAAAGAATCCCAAGGAGACCCGTAGTAGGGTTTCCCCTATGTGAGAGATACCTTCGCCTGGCGTGAAATTGTGTGTTAAGTAATTGTGGATATAGTAGCAATTCGAGTCGAAAATAGGTGCAAGGAGAGGCAGATCGATATTAAAAAATTCTAGACCGGGAATTAAGCTGAAGTGGATCGGACCCCCGTGCCGATTGCTAAATATGTGGCCTGTAATGGCAATCAACGATCATTTCACCAAAGAAATTGGCTTGACAGGTCTCACTCCTGCAGCCTGTCAACCACATGCTGCATAAATCCTAATAAGCTCATTCATGTAGGACGCACGGGGGATCCCAACATGATCTACTTTATTACATAGACACAAAGTTGTCCCAACAACTGACAATACGGTATCAGAGGCCCGTCCAGTCCACTCTCTCTGAAAAGGACACTTACTACTATATTTAATGCCACGATGAAACGGCCAATCAAGCCACGGTGAGGGCGACCAATGCCCCCCCTGACCGCACTGGAGAAGGAAGGGATGCGCGTTCGACCCGCCTCGAGGACACTCTTAATGAATAATGATCCCTCTTCTTCCCTCAGGAGAACAACTGAACGGTCATTTCAAAACATTCCTTTCATTGACACTAATTTCATTCGTCCCCAGTCTAGGGACTTGGCCAGACCTTTTAACTAACTCCTACCTCTGTTTGTTTTTTTTCCGTCGTGGACTTTTCGTTCTCTCTTTCTCTTCGTCTCTTGGATCTCGTGCGTGGATTGACACTCTCTTCCGCTCGTTCTTTTTAACGATTTGCTTGTTTGTCTTCTTTTTTTGCTTGTTTTTGCTGGCCATCCATCCCACGACGTTGCTTTTGGACATTGAACATTGTATACTACGTATTGATCTGTCCTTTATGTCATGATCCAGTCCTTTCCCCGGTTCTTCCTCTGATTCAATCCTCTACGTCATGGAAGACAACAATATCACGGGAACCGAGTCAGCTGCGCCGGAAGCGTCCCATGGGTTGCAACGCTCGTCGTCCGACCACTTCGACGACCCGCAACAGCTTCAACTCCGTCAGCAGAAACGCGCCTCTCTTCCCGCCCGACCCCATGGAGCCGCTCGTCACAAGAAACGGTTGACCTTGAACTTCCCCATTAACGTACCTCCCCTGACGACGGAGTTGGATTCGAACGTTGCATCTCCCAGTTCCATGACGCCGGTGACTCGGCCGTCGACCCGACACTCGCATATCCCCGCTATCAGCACGCCCGTAGGCTTTGACGACCAAGACGATGGGGCCGGCCTCTTGACCGCCATTGCGTCCCAGGAACGAAAAGTGCTGGAGCTCCGCGAGGAGCTCCAACGGGCTGAAACTGAGCTGGACTCGTTGAAGCGGCAGTGGGAGACATCGCAGAAGACCAAGAAACGCATCGATATCAGCCATCGTGCCGAACCGCTGATCCCGCTGCGATCCCCCGACAGGCCAGGTGCCGACGAGACGATCGGTCATAGTAGGGAACACAGCGTGGCCAGCTCGGAGAGCCCGTCCGTCACGCAACCACGTTTCAGCCGGGAGCTGGAGCGTCGTCACAGCGTGCGCGCTGCGGCCGCGAAGGGTACAAAAATCTCCGCGAATGGACGACGGGTGTTCCAAGGTTCCCATACTCGGACCTTGTCCTTGTTGTCGCCTTCCGTGGGCCCTGGCAGCACCCTGCCGGGATTGGAGGCCGAAATGGGCCAGCCAGATCAGGATCGCATGGGTCGATCGCCACGGTCTGCGACCTTGCCGTCGGCGGAGCGGAGCCCCATGGTTACGAGTCCGACCGAAGACGTGATCGCGCAGTGGCGGAAGACGATGCCTCCCCCATCGCGGGAGGCGCTGATGCGTACGGGTAAACAGATGGCATCCGATTTGCGCGAAGGTCTCTGGACTTTCTTAGAAGATATCAGACAGGCAACGGTGGGAGAAGAAGGAATCAGCGCCACCGAATCGAGAGCGGTGCCGCCCCGGAGCTCAAGTTCGCGCGACCGGTTATCGATGCAAGGAGGCATATCCTCGCGATCCGCCTCCTCGTCGCGGGGCAAAGGTGCGGGAGCAAAATTATCTGGTAAAGACTCTAAATCGGCGGACATAGACGCGTCGTTCTGGAGTGAATTCGGCATTGATACAAGTGGGCAGACGTCCAGGAATGCTCACAGAGCCTCCACTACCCCAAGCGGGCCGAACGAACAAAACGCGTCCCATCATCTCGACACTGAGGACAACTGGGACGAGTGGGACACCCCTCAACCGAAAAAGATGCATACCCCCTCGTCGAGTCAGTCTACGTGGGAATCGAAGCAAGATCAGTCACCGGTGACTCAGGCCAGCAGTCCCCGCACGAGTACTAGGTGAGTTTGTCTTTCTTTGAATCCTTCCCTGCTGTAAATTTCGGCCTTCGTTTGCTTCGTGACAGTGTATGCGCTGACCGCGACAAGTTTTGGTGATTGGCGCCCACAGCATGACTCTTCTGTCCCTGACCCCAGCGTCTCTGATGGTATTCCCTGGCCTGCCCTGACCGACCTGCCGTCCCCGAAGCTGCCCCGAACTGCAACCAACCTGATGGCTGAATGGGAGCGTAGCCTCTCCCCCTCGCTGAATTCCCCCACCTTCGACAAGGAGGACAAGAAAGACTAAGTCTGTCACTTTCCTCTTTTACCTTTCTCTTCTGGGCCTTCCAATCCCCCTTTTTTTTTAATTTTCCGGGATGCTACTGTAAATATGGACATGAACATGCACGATCTAGCCTTCGTGGAGGCGTGACTGATATATTAGATCTTGAGCATGAGACAAGAAACGGATAACGCAGGGTTATGATTGATCCCAATGCCTTTTACGACCAGCGTTCTATTTCTCGACGTTCCTTTTCGATTTTATCTTTCTTGACATTCTTTCTTCCCTCATTATATTTGTTTGTTTTCGTGTACAACTTCTTTGACGAACCGAAGGATTATTTTATACAGATACATGCCAGAAGCAAAAATGTGACAATACAAATCAAATCAAATCAACTCAACTCAATCTCTTATTAAATAAACCCATCTATACTACTAGGAGGTACTGGCAGTAGTAATTGCGTGGGTTCAACCTAGCCCGCACTGACCAATAACAAGTCATATATCACGTGATATTTTGGCACACTTAGTCCATCAGGGCTACCGTAAATAAATTTGCGAATCGCCATCTCATCTCCGCAAAAAAGTCCGGGGGCATCGCATCCTCACCTTCCAGTCTTCCTCGAGCTACACCACTCCCTCCTAGCTCTGGAAAACTTCCAAGTCCCCGCGGACTGACCGATCCAACCTCTCAACCACCCTGAAAACCACCCACTCCAACCAACCTCACATAACTCAACACCACAATGAACATCCCAGGAATGACCGGCATAGGCGGTGCGGCCGCCGGCATGGGAGCCGGTCTCCCAGGCGCAGCCGCAGGAACACAAGGAATGAGCGAGCAAGAACAGGCGATGGTAAAAGCGGTTAGTTCTACGCTCCACTGCAGTTCCGGACCAGATACTGGACACAGGTAGAACAAATGGTAGACGAGGATAGGTATGCTAACAGCAAGCTAGATGCAAGCTGCTATGGAATCATGTCCCATAAAAACGGTTATCTCGGGTACGATGGGATTCGGTCTAGGTGGTGTTTTTGGGTTGTTTATGGCTAGTGTATGGCTTCCCATTTCGTTACCCTTACTACCTACCTCCAAACATTCCTTAACCTTAATGCCACGATACTGATATGGAAATTGATTGTGGAATAGATGTCCTACGACTCAACCTTCACCCCGCAAGGAAAAGCAATCATGGACCTCCCCTGGCGCGAACAAGTCCGCCGCGGCTTCAAAGACATGGGTTCTCGGTCTTGGTCTAGCGCCAAGAACTTCGGTATAGTGGGTGCTTTGTACTCAGGTACGGAGTGCTGTGTTGAGGGTCTGCGCGCCAAGAACGATCTCACGAATAGTGTTATCTCGGGGTGTATTACGGGGGGCATTTTGGGTGCTAAGGCTGGTCCGCAGGCGGCTGCGGCTGGGTGTGCGGGTTTTGCGGCGTTTAGTGCGGCGATTGATGCTTATATGCGGATGCCGGAGGGGGATGATTAGATTGGATTTGGGGTTGGAATGGTGGTTGTGGTTGTGGTTGTAATGGGAGGGCGTTTTTTGCTTTTTTTTTTTTTTACTGCTTGGGATAGAGCGGGCATTTTGTTTTGGCGTTTGTGGGTTTGTGATGAACCACTGCTCTTGGGTTGTATTATAGTGTGTGGATGTATGGATAGAGGTGTATAAATTCGACTATCTACGCTTTTATGGTGTTGAGTGTGTAATGTATGTTCTACAAGGGAGTTTGGGGTTTACTATGAGGATTCAAGATGTGGTTGGAGGTTGCGCTAGATGTCTTGACTATACTCATGAAACGGCGAATTATTATTGCTATTATTAAATCAAGTTTAACGTCCGTATCGAGCCGTTGGCTATGACGGCGAATTAATTACGCATATCAGAAATCTAACAAGTGGCATATAGATTCTGTAAGCTTCTAGGCAATGTCCACGGCAGTAAAAGTTTCAGAAATATATATCACTTGAACCTTTAGAATATACGGAAACACCACTCAACCATGGGTTTACTCCAACGCATGTTCTACCCACCTATTGGCATTCCCAGTGCATCATACGATATACTAGAACCGTGCAGATATGCAGCCACCCTGTAAACAAGGCATGCTTTTTGTTCGTATAGGGCTTACCAGACACGCCTCTCGATCGGTCGAGACCCTACGTACGCATGATCTTACCATATGAACATGTAATAGAATCTGGATAGAAGGCTGAGCACAATATGAAGGCTAGGTAAAGTCGTCCAACACACATCTTTCCTACAGAAAAGACCGAAGATATGTAGATGGCCAGGCTAAAGCTAATTATTAACAGCCACGACAACCTGGACGAATAAACGCTATCCCACCTTCCATGATCAAGTACCTAAAGCAAGACACAAAGAACCAGCCCAAATGAGCTCAGTCAAACAACTCAACAGCATCATCCTCTCCCACAGACACCCATATCATCCTCCAGGTGGGAGAGGGCCGCTTCACGACCACCGGACAAACCTTGACAGACCGCAGCACATACTTTGCCTCTGCTATCCGGGCGTGGGAATACCCAGCAGCTGGACGGCCCATATTTCATTTACGCTGATCCGGGCCTGTTCAAGTATATCGTCTGATACTTCCGCTACGGCGTGTGCCGGGTCTTCTACGACCACGCCCACGGGCCACAACTATGGCGAGTATCTTGCGCTCCTGCAGGAAGCGCGGTATTTTGGGATCGACGGGCTGCAGAAGTGGTTGGAGGACAAGTGGTATCTGCTCACGGTGAAGATCAAGAGATCTGTGAGGCTGGAGGACGAGATCGATCTGTATATCTCGACTATACAGCCTGCGAATATTGTGGAGGAGATTCATCCGCCGTGGGGGACGAGGATGGTTTATATCTGCCCTCGGGGGATTGGGGCGCATAGGGGAAGCCCTAGGGTGTGTGGGAGGAAGCGATTGAATGTTCAAGATGGTGAGGATGATCTGTATACTGATGAACCGTGGTTGACCGGTCTTGCGGTTGTACGAAGGACGACTGTTTTCGATATGGAGCAGTGCTTTGCGGGTTCTGTCTCTGGTGTTTGAATTGTTGCTTGCGGGACTGACAGGATCCTTGATGACTATCCTTTGATTTGTGACCTGTGGGTCTGTTATCATGTTTGATTAAAGGGGATATTGAGTATACTTCTAGTCTATCATATTATGTATTTATTAGCTTTAGGAATCGAAGCAGGAGTATACATAACAGATGCATTTCTTCTAGTGAAAGAAATCTAATTTCGCATTGTTTTTCTCGGATCAACGGAGACACGGTCACTGAACATAGGCTTTCGACTCGTAGGTTAGACCAAGCTTTCTGCTGTATAACATATGCTCCATGGAATATTTCAAAACAGTGTGCCCACGGCGTTTAGGTGGTTGATGAAGACAGGGGAAGATTGAGGTAATGTGGAATCAGCTATAGAGCCTAACTATAGGAGAGCGATTATTAAAGGATGTTTAGATATGTACGGAGTATTGATGGAGACTAGATAATAGCGAAATGATAGCATAAGGGTCTGTTGAATATAACAATGCACATAGATATGAGATACACTAATTGCCCGATGCATTGCTATTAGGAAAGCAACAGTATACATACGTATTGATCAGACTGTCATGACATTCTACCCAGCCCCTCCAACCAAACTTTGAAGTGTAAACACAAAAGGGTTTGTGATGGTGATTTGCGGCTTTTGGTTTGTATCATAATGTGTGGATGTACGGGCTAAGGTGTACAGATTAGACTATCTACGTTGTATAAGAATAGAGATCTCAGCTATAGATAGATGGGTTAAGGCCCTCGGATAATCTAGCTTCTGTTCCACAGGGATAGGACTTACGGATCTTAAACCATATATTTAACAGCCTTTCGACGTACCAGAAGGCTATACATGGGCTCACCATCTAGGAATGAATTCGGACATAAACCCCGAGGAATATACTTCCTACATCCGAACCAACTCATACATTCGTAATAATATCTCTTCCAGTAACCTCCCTGAAATGATGACAGACATTCGCTCGTACACAATCAGTGCAAGCATCTCTCCATTCGCTCAAAACCCCCAATCGCCCAACAACCTTGTCATTCATGAAGCAGTATACCAGCACTCAATACCAAAACCACCCACAGATAGACCGTCAAAGAACCCTATGCAAACCGCAATGTCCTCAACCTGTACCAACCAATCCACGCCCCTCCCCTCATCCCCTGAAGATACAGACACAACCATAATAACCCTCCAAGTGCGAGACAAATCAATCCCAACAACCCACTACACCCTAACCCACAAAAGCCCCTACTTCAAAGCCCTCCTCTCCGAACAATGGAACTCCGCTCTCCCAGACGGCTCCTACTTCATCGACGCTGACCCCAAGATTTTCAAACACGTCCTCGAATATCTCAGTCGCGGCACCCTGCCCCTCTTCTACGACCGCGTCAATGGACATGACTACGGCAAATACCATGCTCTGCTAAGCCAAGCGAGCTACTTTGGGATCAGTGAGTTGGAGACCTGGTTATGGGAGCAAAGGTATCTGCAGGCCGTTAGTGTAGAGACAAAGGTCAAGTTATGGGAGGGGTCTGTTGCGAAGAATTATGCGTCGACAGGGTCGAGTGATGTGGTGGAGGAGGTGTATCCGCAGTGGGGGTGTCGGAGGAGTTGGGTTTGTCCAAGGGGGATTATGGTTCATGATGGTAAGCCTGAGGCGTGTGGGATAAAGTGTAAGAAGGTGGGCTGTGGGGATAGTTATGAGGAGGTGCCGGATTTGCTTGGGGTTATGGTTGTGCAGAAGAAGGTTGTTTTTGATAGGACGAAGTGCGTTTGACTTGAGGGGCCTTATGGGGTAAGCTGAGGCTGTTGTGGTATGGGCAATTAGTAGTGGTTTATAGGGTTTTTGGGTTCTGAGGTTGGTTCTGCATTACGCTGTTCATTTAAGTGGTTTAGTAATTTGGTTCCCCAACGGGGGATGCTAGTGAGATGCAAAAGTCCTCACCTTTTAGATGCTTAAAGTGTTCTCTGGGAGTATTACCAATGAGGGTTTACATACACCATCACTCACTCCGTGGCTATAGTCCGAGACGAGGCTAGTTCGGGATTACCAGTTGCTTTTGGCCAAGTAGGCTGCATGGTGGCAGAGTGCTGTGTCTCGGTATGCAAGAATCGATATTCGTGTCATATCTGGTTTCCCGCGCTTAATTTCCACAATATGGCCCCTTGTTACAACTTTATATTGGAGGAATTGGTTTTGTAGGCGCTCTTCTACCCATCATATTGAGGAAGTCCCAAATATACTGCAGGTGCTTAGTAGTCAGTTACGTTAACCCCTGTCCCTTATCCCCTAAGGATACGTAGCGAAACCTCCTAAGAGGATGTCCAGGCCGAGCTTTCCTACCGTTCCACCTATACCACCTGATGTATGACAGCAAGTTCGAGAATGAAAGGTTGCGAACGGGTCGGTAACGCGACACTAATACTTAGAATCTTCCCTTAACTCCCCGCCTTGGATATAAAGCCCATTAGTATACATATAAAACCACACAAAATCCAACCTCTACTCCTCCTCAATAGGGGTGTATCTCTCATTCCTCCGATCCAACCACCCCCGAATCGGCCCCCAAGCCCGACAAGTATGCGTCTGCCCCACGCCCAAGAAAAGCGGCACCCCCTCCCACGAAAACATCGGCACAGGCGACAAGTCTGCATGGCAAAGTACCGACTGCATGAGCTGATCCAGGCAATGATCCAGATGAATCCGGCCCCAGTCATCCGGAAGATGAGGTGAGTTCCGCGCAAGGCTCTCCATGTGTTCCAGATGGCTGGAATAGTGCTCTCTGTCTAGCGATTTGCGGACGTAGTTTAAGCAGTGGAGCGAGTGGAAGACGTCTAGTCTGGTTTGGTCGTGAGTATCAGAGCCTTGAGGGAGTAAGGGCAGGTGTTATTGACTTACTCGAAGTGGTAGTGGCCTGTATTTGGGAGTTTTCGGAGGCGGGGGACGTATGGTTCTGCTTCGGGGTCTGTCATTGCGGGGAATTCGCCTGAATTTTGTTAGATTTGGAGGCTATAAAAATTGGGAAGGGGTGTTACCTCGCAGAAGGTCGGCCCAGGCGGCATCAATTTCGGGGCTTGGTGGGCCGAAGTATTGGGGGGATGTTGGGTCTATTTCTCGCTCTATCTTTTGTGTTTCTTTATTGTATTGGAATTTTCCCGTGAAGGTACGTTCTTCGTATGAGATGAATGGTTGAACGTCTAGGAAGTCGGTCTTGTATGCCCCATGGGTGATTTGAGGTTGATGAAGGAGAAGATAGGTTGAAAAGAGAGCTAGGATTGCAGAGAAGATCCATGGGACACCTAGTTGCCAGTTGAACGGTGCTTTTGGCCGGTGGGGTAAGTCGGTGTCTAGTTGTTGATATGCATGAGGCTTTAGGCGTTCGAGAGATATTGCCATCTTGAACTCGAAATGAGGGGAGACTCCGGCTGAAAGTTGAAGTCGAACAGTGTTATCTCGGTAAGAAGATTCAATTCAAGTTTATATGAGGAGTTCTCAATATAAAAATTGTCTTGGGCGGTCCCTGAACTAATTCCTAGCCTATAGAAATCCCTTGTGGGGAAGACATATGGAAATGTACAAGGCACGGAAGACCTCCAGCTGATACGAGGCTAGTGAAGTAGATCAGGAATTCCCAGATCAAGGAGCGTAAGACAGCGAGGAAAAGGATCTATGGACTGCATTGGGGTTCAGTCTTGTGTGCGGCTGAGAATCAGCGGTCAAGGCTGCATGAAAATGACAAATCACTCTTCGACGCCTTTGCACATGGATATCCGCCGGAATCGGGCATACGTGCATAATAGCAAACAAATACTTGTACCAAAACAAGTAAACAGACCAGGAGCGACATATGCAGTTGGACAAGGAGAGGGCGAGCTTGATCATGAACTATTCCTTTCTGTCAAAACAGTGGGTGTTTATGTGAAGCTATACTCTAATGAGGGTATTCATCGTTGGCTAACGTATGATGTTAAATGGGGTTTAGAGTTCTGCCCCTTTGAATACAGGGGCATAGGAGATGCTTTTATGGTTTGCCCTAGCCAATGAGACACGCCACACAGGATCTACCGACGATCAGACTGTAGTACATGCGTAGGTACATATGTAGTAGATCTTATGATCTCAATTAGATGACCAACAATAGGTGAGGTAGATGTAGTGAGGGCGAGTCACGCCAAGATAGTTTGTAGATCATTGATTGTACAGAGTAGTTCGGGTGAGTTGACCATATCATCCTCATGAGACCAGCGGATAAAAGATATCGGGTTCTCTCCATGAGGTGTTAGCCAAAGCCACTCCATTTATAGAGATCTGGGGGCTAAATTCCATGGATTTGTAGCAATGCAGGCTATACGCTTACAAGACTTGATCCAAGATTTGCTACGTTAATATGCATGAAACCCCATTCACAATATCTGGTTTGCGTGATAAAAGAGGACATGCACGAAGCAGGTATAGTTTGGATCTTCTTGGCTCTTATGTAGGCGTGCAGTATAGATCAACCGAGTAGACTAATGAAACGGAAGGATACTCTTGTTCCATGCTTAGCCCACATCTGTGGCTTTCCAAGAATGCCCAAGAAACCATTCAGCGTATATAAAAGGGAATTGAAGGTGAGAGAAGCAGCGGGTCATGCTCCTGGTTTTCGTGGCATGAGTTGGACATGCAACTATCTATTAAACATTAGTTGGGTTGACTTTTCAGTAATCGAACCCCCTGAATTAATGGCAGCTGTAATGTATAAAGGTTAACATATCCTCGGCGATAGTGACCTATATTCTATCTCCCTTAATGTCAAGTTCGGTAAATATTTATCATCACTTGTTGACATCCCTACATTCTCATAATCAACAAATTTCAAAACCCAAAATGCAGCTCTCTGCGATTCTGATTGCACTCATGGCTGGGGCCGCCATGGCAGCCCCGGTTAGGGAAAACTCGCTCCAGGAGCGGGTAGGACACCCGAAACACACCTACTTGCTTGGAGGCTAACAAACGCAGGGAGCGGGCGCTGTTCTGGATAAAGTGGAAGTTATGGAACAGGTAAGGAAGCCCGAGTATTACATGCTTGTGAGCACTAGACTAACGGGGAGTACGAAAAGGGCCATATTGAGCTAAATGATAGAGTTGTAGAGCGGGTAAGGCTCTTTGACACTTGCGCCTTCCGAGAAACGAGGCTAATCGATGCATGCAAAGGGGGTTGCTGTTCTGCCCGAGGACAGAATTGCAGCGCGAGTAGGGCTATTCGAGACTGATACACTGTGAGAAATATGGCTAATGGAAGCATACAAAGGGGGCTGTTGCTGCACCAGAGGATGGAAGTACAGAGCGGGTAGGGCTAATACAAGACTGATACACAGTGAAAAAGGTGGCTAATGGAAGTATGTCAAGGGTGCTCTTGTTGAGTCTAAGGTTGTTGTTGTTACAGGGTAGGTAAGTCTGATCCCTTAACATTTTTGCATAGGATATCAACTAACACGTCGAAGAGTGTGAGTAGTATTCCCTAAAATGAATCTGGGCTGCCTTTTATGGAATGCTGATAGGGTATGAATCAACAGAGGAGAGTGATTTGGCCGTCAAAAACGCATGGCTGTCCTATCAATGGAAGGCAAGCTGCATCGAGTCTTTATACCTGGACTAACGAACTGATATTACAAGACAGTCCTGCGTTTAGGCTAGATGCTCAACAATTCGTCCAAGTCAATTGGTTGCAGATTCTGAGCATACATTTTGTTCGTAGTATAGTGGGTTATCAGTTCATCTTGTGTTGATATAAGTGTTTCTATCCATACCCAGTAGAATGCTTCAAAATGAATCTTCGGAGTTTACAATAATAGATAAAATATACAGTAAATTATATAACAGAGAATATAACAATATTGAAAACAATCAAAACGTTGATAACTCATAACGTATCGTATCCACTAAACCACAAACCATTAGCTGCCCGCACCGCCAATAACCATAGCCTGAATAAACCTCCGACGATCTCTTTCCCGGCGTAGCATCACCAAGCAAGTCGCGAGGACGAGGGCCTCTTCAACCATACTCAAGCCCACATCAGGACTGAGAACAAGTTGCCCGCCATTCCCAGCAGAGCAACAAGATGAACCCGTCGCCCGAGTATCAGGACTCCGCAACAGATGCGCGACCCGGGTAGCTTTCCCTGATTCCACACCATCTACCTTCTCTAAACATAGCGCTTTAACCTTCCCTCCACCAGGGAAATCAATAGTCTCATACTTCCACTCCCACTGACACCCTCCCTCCGGAGGTGTAAACGACATAGTCCGAGTAGTCAACTTCCCCTGCAGCGAAATCGCCCGAATGATATCACCTTCTACGGGTTGCAGAAAGCGGATCCAGGGACGACCTCCGGGCTTGAAGTCAATGGAGAAGAGGTCTCCGTGCTTAGGTGATGAGAGGATGGAGTGACTTGATAAGGCCTTGGTTTTGGTTGCTGTGTATGCTAGGGTACCGTCGGCGGTGTAGATGGGAATCTCATTCTGTCTCATGGGCATGGGCGGGCGGAAGGCACGGATTCCTTTAGCTTCGATGTGGAATCGCTTGCCTTCGAGGAAGTTGGCTTGTGGTGTATCGAGGAGGGTACTGGTTGTAGAGACGCTGTGGATGCTGGTGGCATATTGTTTGGATTCATGTTTGGAATCCATGATTTAAGGTAGAGTTGGGGTTGTGGATTAGGAAATCGGCGTGGTTCTGGTAGTATATCCAAAGTATAACAAGAGATGCGAATGACAATGTAGCGAGTCAGTCATGCTTCTATGACCCCCATTATATAGAGGATGGTATACCACTACTACGTACAAGATGCTTCGCCCTGCTCGTACTCGCTTGTCAACCCTATGGGCAGTGGCGATCGCTGATTGGAGGATGCAAATACGAGCTACCGTTTACGGCCTAGCGGATATGCATCCATGGATGATCGTCGGACTTGAGAATACGATATCTTCGGAGGAAGATGGCCACTTGGATTAACTGGGTCCGTGATGTTTAGGATTCCAATGCCTGTTATCAATGACATAGCATATGTTGTAGAAATTCCCCAAGTTCGAGGCAAAACTAAATCCGTAAGCGGGCTACGCAAATAGCCCCAAGATGTTACCCATGGCCTGTAGGACCCAGATGATTTCTAGACTCTGGCAATGCCCGTTTCTTCATCCAATCGCATTGCAGGATTTCCCTCATAGTAGCATGTTTCTCTGATCAGAAAGACATCATGGACGCAACATATCCAGAACGGCACCTTTCTCCTCGAAGTCAAACCTGGAATTCCACTTTCATATTGTGGACGTTGAATTTGCGATTCGAAGCGGTTACCCCACGATTCAACACGTAAGGCTTGGCTAGGCTCACTGTCTTTAGTGGTATACTTGTGTTTTATCCGCCATCTGTCTCACCACTCCGGAGGCAGTCTCCCCAGGACGTCGACCTGTTCTACCACAATGTCACACTGGGTGCCAAGGATGCCAAGGATGTCCTTGAATATACTGCTTTCCAAGTATCGATCGTATAGCAAATGCAAGAGACCATATATCTGATAGAAATAAAAGAGATCATTCTGGTTCAAACAGGGCTTTCAGTGGTACGAAGGAGATGGGTACGTGGGACTCATACTGGTCCTCTGCCGAAGGTGCGAACAATGCCCTGAAATCCGCGAGTAGAATATTGACCTCTGAAGGAACCAAGTCTTTGGAAGACTTCCCGAACCATAGTGGAAGGGTGGCGGCGCTTGGAACGGTGGGCCTAACTGATTAGCCGTCATGGCGGATAATAGGCTCTGGAATAGGTGTGCTGTATTTACCGTATATCTGTGGAATTGGAAGCTTATTAAAGTGGGCTGGCAGACGCAGAACGACACTACAGAGATGTAGGTCTACGTGTAAGTAATATATTAGTGATATATGATTATCGAAGCGTAAGACGCGTAGACACACCTCCATGGTCAACCCCGTTGGAATGGATACAGTCGACAGACATCACGCGCCGTGCGATAACAGAGCGAGCCATTCTGGCTTGAACATTTCGGCTGTAAGATCCTCTCGAAACCCGCTTTCTCCTGTCCTAACCTTTCTGGCGATATACTTACTGTACTGATCTTCTCGACAGAGCCATGTCGCAGAAAGTTCCCATAACCTAGCTTGTAAACTACTCAATATCGAAATTGGAAGATATTCCATATCACTGTTGGGTGATATCCCAGGCTGGTATATTTCGAGCTCTAGCACCTCTCTGGGAATATTCTAGTGCATGGCAACTGGCTCAATCGAACCGCAGAAGGTTGATGTAAGCCCAGCCAGCTTCACAGAAGGGCACTAGCGCTGGTAGCATACACATACACATGTACACCCTTTCCTGCCGCTGGCGACCAACGGCCGGGTGCAGACCGTCACACGGCGGTAGTTATTTATGGCGATAATGATGACCACCTACTGGATGCCATGGCGGACTATAAGTTCAAGTATGCTTCATCGGAGATGTAGGTACGGAGTACAACGGACGGGTAAGAATTCCCTTGGTTGGAACACTATCCGCGTGGCTTTTTTAATTGTATGTCTTGAGTATCACAGCGACAACTGAGAAGACAAAAGGAAAGTATACGGTTTTCGAAAGAATTAGGCACTGTGGTATGTATAGTGTACCAAACAATCAAGGTAGTATAAATACTCCCTTTATTCACAATCTGGAAGGTGAATGAAACCTTGACAGTTAATCTTTGATATGGTCGAAGCAGCAGCGGCTTCCATTAATTAATCTACGATGATGCGTAATTGCATGCAAGGATTGGCTTATTACCTAAAAATAGATAGTATGGTAGCCCAGCAATCAGAGTTAGGGCAGGTGAAACAACAAAGAGCAATAGGAGCACACCTTCGTATCCTGTGATATACCTAAGAAGTCACTAAAGGCCACACAAGGGATAGTATTCTGACAGCCTGATCATTGCCCAGGTATTTAATAGGCTATATGTACAGCTACTTCTCTTTATCCTATCGATCACCCGCACCTAATACCAGTTTCTTGTAAGAATCCCGTACATTTCTACTCTGCTGTCGTTTTATCTCTCCCCATTCAGCCTAAATCATGGATAGCAGTCAAGTCGAACCGAGCCAATTGATGGAATCTGGATCCAAGCCCAAAAGTTCAGCGAGAACCCGAACCAAATTGTGAAGAGGCAATGGAGAAGGAAGATAGTGAGGACGATGGTATTTGGTTCTTGGGCTCAGAAGCTGACATTAATATTATATGTCCAAGGCGGAATTAGATGAGATCTCAGTGACCGATCCGAGTGACGACCTTCCAGATTTACTACCTAAGCCTGGGGAGGTTGAGAACTGGATTGACAACCTCATGTCACGGATGAAGGAACGATATGACAAGTTTATGTTGCTTGCCTGGCCCTGAGATAAGGCTTACAACTTTCTCACAAATATTGGGAAAGACCAGTTCTTCTATTGCTGGCCGAATGGAAGGAATGAACGAAGAAAAAAAAGTTAAGGAACCGATTGAGATCTGTGAGCAAGGTATGCTCGACTTCTCACACCTTGACCTTCCGAGTACACGACTCTCGTACGGTATGTCTTGATATGCAGACTGAATATGATTCTGCAAGAGATAAACGACGTTTGAAGGTTATTGTTATTATTATTAATCTAATTTAACATCCATATGGAGCCTTTGGCTATGACAGACACATGTTCCTCAAGCGGCAGTAGGCCTCTCCCTCCAGGTGGTCCCTAGGGGCACTGTCAGCTCCCTCTATCCTTTGTATGGTCATTCTAGTCCTTTTCCTCGCCCGACCCACCTATTTACGCCAGCGCCTTGGGGCCATGCCCTCCTCAGTATTCATCACTTGCTGGGTGTCATCTAGGTTGTGCCTAGATTGCCCTTTATACTACTCCTTGCCTCTCCTTTCTGCTTCCTCCACTAGCTCTAAGTATTCCTAGAGGCTCTATATATCTCCCTAGTCGCTTCTTCTGGGAAGCACCCGATATTTGTCGTTGCAAGAAAGGTTATTAGGGCCCTCGTGGCCCTCTGGCTCTCAAAGAGGAGATAGACAAACCAATGTTCCCAAAACGTCTCCCCATTTTGGTAAGCTTGTTCGAGAAGAGTCAGGTGGTCGGCTTCCGACAAAGGTATATTGTATACTCCGCTCGCACTCATCCACCCTAATCCCAGGCGAGGAACCAGAGATCCATTTCTACGCAGCTGGCGTAAAGGAAGGTTTCTCAGTGCGGCCATTGTTTTGAAGTGTAGTTGAGAAAGTGGGTGTTGGAATTTCAAGTTCTGCTCAGCTCTGTCAAGAAAAGAAGCTCGATGTTCTTATGTTGGAATTAACGGCGAAGTCCATCGCATAGTAAGATATAATTTTACTTTAAAGAGTAAGCCTGTATAGGACCCTTCCTGCTAGTTGTTTTCTTCCACCGAGCTGTTGTTAGCTCCACCGGTGTCTCTGATGAACCTGAACGGTCAGATTGCTATTGATATCCGGCACAAGGACCGTATGGAGAAGGGCCTAATGATGCATCTAGGGTACTGTTGAGGTAGGCAATAGGAGCAGCTTCCTCTGTCAGGGTTCTTGTTGCACTGTGAGGCATCGTATTGTTTGCAACTAGTTTACCACGTAGACCAGCTGTCCCCATCTGCACGGTACCGAACCCTGTCTTCGTGGCGATAGACACATTAAAGATATTCATATTTGCTCCTCACTAAAGCAGATCCTTAGACTTGTAGAACAGGGAATACATGAGTTAATACTAATATCAACTACCCTACCCTACCCATAGACCCTCCAACAAAACATAAAACACAGAATGAATAGAGGAAATACTAAATAGATCCCCATAAACCCCGATAAAGGCATAAAATAATTTTAAAAAGATCCCCTAACTAAACTCCCCTAACTGCATCGCATCCCCTAACTCCGGCCACCACCCAACCCGATGCTTCACAAAAAACTCCGCCTCAGGCTTCGCCTTCTCGAACTCCTCCTCATCATCTAACGTCCCCGCCAGAACAATAACTGCTCCCTTGAATTCTTCCCGATCGCCCACCTTGTACAAGAGGCTGCCGCAGTTCTCGCAAAAATGCGTCGTCAATTTCATGCCGCTTTCGTGGGTCATGGAGTAGGTTTTAGGGAATCCCGATGTGACCCGAAAATTGGTGTTTGGAATCAACAGGTTGGCGGAGCTGCCGCTGCTGAGCTTGTGGCAGGTTAGGCAGTGGCAAACGGCCTAGGTGGTTTTCTTTTGTGAGTTTTGCTTGAGGGTTATTTGGTTTGGAGAAAGGATGGGGTTGGCATGTATATACTACCTTTGCTGAAGGTTCGCCGTCGTACTGGTATTTGACTATGTGGCAGAGGCAGGATCCGGTAGGCATTTTTATGGGATAAATATGATAACTACGTGTGATTATTTAGATGTGAGGGATTGTACAGCGATGGTGACTTTTGGGAGTGGAAAGTATTGCTATATAGTTTTTACACTTAGCCTAGACTGACCTTTTTGAGTTACGACGGGCTAGACTCGATAGGTGAAAGTTCATGACTAGCGCTCTAGTGGAAGATAGTGTTTATCAATGCTAAATATGGTTGTCGCAAGATCCACTTAATAGTATTTGGTTCATCGCCTCAGCCTGTGTGGGAAAACTGAAGCGAGGTCGTCACCAGCCCACAATGAAAACGAGTGATTTGAACTACCTCTGGCAATGTCAGCCCACTGGCGAATGTGTTAAGTTAGATCCAATGTATATTTCCGGTGGGGCTATAATGGTTAACCCCACTCAATGGTGGAACCGCAGCATTGCTGGCCGGAACCATGGCACTGTTTCCCAACCAGGGTCGATTAAGTTGGGCGAAGAATCCGCACCTGACTCTGAGAGGACATACTAGAAACTCTGTAGGCATGCCCAGATCAGAGGCCTAAGCAATAGCCAATAAAGGGTTGTTGATTATCCCCTGGAAGGTTTGCATGCAACTGCGCCTGATAATCTCGCCGGCCAAAGCTGACATCAACAATTAGTATCTTCCAGAGTCATTACCTCACGGTAGTAATGCAGATGGAGGCAATCTATGAACTTTTGGAGATGAACACTGCCCAACGTTGTCACACTAGAAAGGCTTTCTACGGTTCTTATCATCAGAATGAATGGCTCCCTGAGCCCCTTCATCTGTTAAACTTCCATGCTAGGTCATACTATATATCGCAGATGATCCCATTTTCTGCGTCATTAGGTATTGACCAGGCCTCGTTGCACTAGGCCAGGCATGCTGTAGTTATAGCCTTGTGCCTCCAACTAACCCTCGCAATGCCACGTAGTCTACTTCAGGCGGTTTCGATCAAAGTCTCACTTTCCTTAAATTTCAAACGGCCCCATGGTATTCGTTCAATCAATTCATAGCCCCATAGCTTGGGGAATACCTGCCAGAGCATTCTCAATATCTTGACTCGACGTTTGTGCTGATAATCTGGCTCGTAACTCTCTTTTTCCATGTCCATAATAGGAACCTTTAAAAGTAGCCCATTATTACACCCGAACTCTACCGATGCTCCAGCTGAGAGTAATGCCTTGACGCCCTTTTCATTCTAATTGCAGGTTGCATAACTTAGTGGATTGGCATATGGCCTGTACAGGTGTCGAGCATCCACTTCTGCGTTCGTCTGGTAGACCAAATTCTCAAGCTCATTGGACAAAGCTTCGTCGCTTCCAACAAGTGCCAGAGCACTGCCATATTTGATGCAGCTTCCGATACGAAATTGCACATTTACATATGCGTTGCCTTTTTCCATCAGGTATTGCACGACGCCCTTTGCCTTCCCTAAGATAGCAGCGCTGAGTGCGTTGGTAAAGCGACCGTATTGCACCTGCATGCTCACATCAGCATCTACCTACATTGGGGGTTTGTCACTGGTAACATGCCCTTTATAGGGGGATATAGGGGATCATACTCTGGTTCTATAGAACCTCACAGTATTCAGATTCCGTACTCTTCTCATCATTCACCAGATCTCAAACTCTAAACATAGCCTCATTATACAATCCGCCCCATCCAAGTCCCTCTGACCTCTAAAACCACCCATCATAAGGCTCCATTAACGTATTATTCTCAATCCCGAGAAGAAACCCCTCCCCATCAGCAGTACTATGATAGCAAGCAATGCTTCAACCCAATCTCCTCCCTCAACTTACCCGAGAAACACTTCGACCACAACCGACGATGGTAATGCTTATTAACATCCTCCCTAGTATCAGGATGGACATACTCATCATGGGCGCCCAAATTATCTGGACATCGTCAACAGAGAAATGATACCATCAAAAATAGTGCCTATGCTCTATAGCTCACCAAACTGCGTAGAAAGCTGAATAAGCAACCCAATAGAATGGATCGTCCCAACTCAAACCGGGTCCTTGGTGACAAATGGTTGCCTCCGCGACGCTCTCAGCTTGAGGCGCGGGAGCGTCCTTCTCCTTAGGGATTCTAACGCGTAGATGCCACTCTAGATGTCGAAGGACATGAAGGTCTCCTTAACGTATTTGTCGATAGTGCCGAGAAGTGTTGTCTGGCGATTACGAGGCCCGGGGAGGTAAGGGTTATGTATGGAATACTTAGGGAGGAGAGTTAAGGTGGGATGTGTTTGTACCGTAGTAGGAGACGCGCATGCTGTGGTCGAATGTGTGCGCCGGGAGCTCAGTCTTGACGTACTCAAGGGCGGTTTGGGCGAGAGGGCTATCGGGGAGAGGGACATCTTTGAGGAGCTGTTGAAATGAAGGCTTAGTAGCTGCCTTTGCGGGTGTGCGTTGTTAGGGGTCGGTGGGGACGGCCGTCCAGCCGTATTATTCGATTTGGGCTGCTCTGGAGGATATTGTTCGAATCTGAGGGCAGGCTGTAGTAGACTTGACTAGGACTTGGGGAGATGTGGAGGGGCACTGAGCAGTACTTAGAAGCTATATCCAGTATATTATGAGGTTTATAGATGCATGACATACTTCTATGCTTATCAGTGGGGCTTCAAATTCTCAAAAGGCTAGTTAGTATATATGCATGGGGCAACTATGGGCACCAATCACAGACTATGATAAATATCATCTCGGATTGTTAATGAACCATAGAAAGTGACCCCATCTGCTTGGCTGCATGGTTGAAAACACCACGCAACTTTATTGCCCTTTCGGGAAATGCGTCGAAGGCTAACTCGGCCCATTCGGCCTCATATTGTTCTCTTCCTTTCGGTCCTATAATACACGTCAGACGCATGCTTATCAAACAGATTGTTGCGATGATCATCCGAGGGGAAGGATAAATAAAATATGGCGGAGGCCCGATGTGCAAGACTATTCTACCCGCATGCTTGATCAAGTATGTATTCTGATCCCTTTTGCCAAATATGTTTTGGGGTGATAAGCTAGGCTATACCTTAGAAAATGAGGTATAAACAGCAACAACCTTAAGTGACACGAGTCAATCATCTTTCACCTCTTTCACCCTTAGACTGTATGGCCACACCTTCTATATAAGAAGCCAGTCGCGCCCCAGCTGCCCAATACTAAATATCCACTGTGATGATGACCCCTCCTGGCTATCTTCTTTCCAGAACTTTTTTAGGAGATTGGCGCCATTAACCACGTTGATACATTTTGTTTCGAACCAGAATTTCTCGAGGCAACAGATCACAAAGTCACGTTGATCCTGTTGTCGAGACTCTAAACCCGCCACAAACATAGGCCAGAGTATACATTTGAACAGAGCCTCATCGCTCCTCATGGTGTCGATGCTAGAGATCAATTCTTGGACCAGGCCATCTAGGGATGTAGTATCCCCAGTAAGAGCGCTAAGAACACGCCTGCCGTATATTAAAGTACCGACTTTATATGATTCAGCCAATATAGAAAGCATGTGTCTATCAGCTTTTGAGTGTGGCAGGGAAAGGCCTGTGGCCCAAGCTTGGCAGTCGAAAGCCTGCGTTGAGTCAAGAAAAGTCATGATTTCATATGTATAGGAGTATATAGTAGCGTCATCCAGAGGTTCGGAGCTTGCAAGACAGTCCCTACAAAGTGCAAACGACCGCAGAGTATCTAATAGGTATTCAGGACACCCTAGATAGGACTTGTCAACACTCATTTGCAGAGGCGTTAATGACTGCCGCAAAGCAGCCGATTTAGATAGTAGCCTAGGGCGTGTATACGTTGTCCCCAAAGTGTCAATTCTACAATTGGGATAAGGGTCAGCATGAAGCATCTACAAATCTGTGAGAAACTCCCAAGAGATGCTTACAAGTAAACCTGTCTAATAATAAAGTCCCGTATCCCTTGAATAGTATCCCCCAGATCTTGCTGGGGTCCTGCCTGTGACCCAGCGGGCGATTGAATCTGATTGATCAAACTTTTTACGCCTTCTAGGTGGAAGTTCCACTTATCACTTCCCAGTTCCAGAAGATCCAGGAATATTAATAAGAAAGCGCTCGCAATTATCGTATCTTGCTTGTAAAATGCTTCATCATTGAGAGCCTCTGAGAGTTCTTTGATGGCTTTGTGTTTGAACCAAAGAGCATTATGGTGGGCATCAGTTAATCCCGGAAATGTTGGTGTCCCCGCTTCATAGAATGATTGATCTCCATTAGCCATATGGCGCGCTGAAAGAGCGACAATGGATGCTAATAAGACCGAGTTGTCTAAGGCGGCTGGGATTAATTTTCTTAAGGGGTTCCTGTTACTGTCATACATAACGAAGAGTTTGCAAACACATTTGCTATCTGCATTTGGCGTCAAAAGCCTACTCAGGATATTAAACTAGGAAGGAAGAATGCTTACAGTAATATAAATAGTATTTAGATACCTTGTCTAGACTAGACGAGCAAGGATCATCTAGGGGTAGTGGTACAGTGTCTCCAAGATAGTCTAGCCTTCCTGCATGACGGAGATATAGTTAGCCAGTAGGACACATATAGCTACAGCTCGCCTCTAACATGCGCCCAGAGAGTTGATATCATTCAACCGGGACATCCTTACCATTATCCGAATTGCAACTGACCAATATTGGCTCCGAACAGTTTTTATCCTCGGGACATGCCTCACCCGTTCTTGTCGGGGTTCGGCTGAGCTTCGCTGACGCCGTAGGAGCAAAAGACGTGGCCTTGGCAGATGCAGCTTTCTTCTTACCCCGAAAAGCAGCCCCTTGGACCCATCTGAAAGGCCGTTTCTGAAAGCACTCTATCCCAGCCTTCTTACATTTCTTGCAGGGCGGCTCTGACATTTCGCATTCAATGCGCCTGCGGCGGCAGGTATAACAAGAACCATCCATGATGGTTATCCATTCCGCAGGATGACTGACTGGTAGCAACTCAGTAGTATGGTTTTCACTAGAAGGGGAATAGTTATTATCCAGTCAGTCATATAGAGTATGATATATGGCTCATTACTCATGGCCGGTGGAATGTTCCGGGCGGGGATATCGGAAAGCTAGGGTCAGGTGACTTGTGGTCAAATTAACATGGGTTTCGTCCACGTGGTGTCACCAAGCCCGCGTTACCAGCGGGTAGACCATTCCCTTTCCAGCCTTTTGCATATCGGACTGAGCCCAACACTGTTAATTGCCAATTGCTTCTCCATACATTGATTAGTGATAAAGTCTCCATGAGTACTCTTTTTACTCCCTTTTTGTCTAGCAAAGACCTCTGGCTTGACACGGGATTCGAATAGACTTCATTGGCGTGATGGGAAGACCAATTCTACAAAAGGAGTTTCATGCCAGCTGCTAGCGTCCTGCAAGTTGCTCGGAAGAGTTCTGGAGACCGTGACTGTAAGGTCAACGGTTCCCATGTCGCCGGTGACCTTTACCGAGACAGGTAAAGCTCACCGTGTTTTCCGACAAGCCAGTCCACCAGATCACCATCTCTCCTTACCAATTTGGACTAGTCATGAAGAACCGGGATTCATGGATATTCCCCCTCAAACTCCTTTCAACAACATGTGCCTCTCATCTCATTATCTTTCTGATATCCCCATCACCAAGTTAACCCGACCGCTCAGACTGTTCCCGAAACATGACCGAACAACAACACCCTGCGAACACCACAGCAGCAACCCCTGTAAGCAATGATCGGCAAACAGAGGACACCCTCCCAATCTTAGAAGTCGAAGAAGAGGTACCCTCCTCACCAGAAGATTCCGCGCTCGGAAGTGCCGGTAGCTCAAGCTACGCCACTTCCCTGCTCTCCGAAGCAAGGAACTACAAATACGAGAACGGCCGTCGATATCACTCTTATCGCGAAGGGCAATGTGTCTTGCCCAACGATGAACAAGAACAGGACCGCGAAGATCTATTACACCATGTCCGAAATCTGCACTTCAACGGCGATCTCTTCCACGCCCCTATTCCGGATAACGTTGAACACGTTTTCGATATCGGCACGGGAACAGGTCCGGCTTGCACCTTATCTGGGCCCCGCGAATACTTTTGTTCACCGCTAATTTGATTCAACAGGCATATGGGCCATCGACTTCGCCGACGCCTATCCCAACGCAAGAGTCATCGGCAGCGATCTCAGTCCGATCCAACCAGCCTGGGTTCCTCCCAACCTTGAATTCTTCGTGGATGATGTAGAAGCCGACTGGACCTTTAAAAGAAATTACTTCGACTTCATCCGCTCATGTGACCTCGGTGGCTCGATCGCCGATTGGCCCAAGCTTCTACGCCAAGCCTATGCACATATGAAGCCTGGGGGATGGTTGGAATTGTCCGACTTTGAGATGGAGCATTTCTCCGACGATGACACGCTTACTCTTGCGCCTTCGCTAGGCGAGTTCTTCAGGCTGCTCATCGAAGGCAGTACAAAGTTTAACAGGCCCATGAATGTGGCATCGGAGCATAAGAAAAACATGGAAGATGCAGGCTTTGGGGATGTTACGGAGATGGTTTATAAGGTAGGCATTTACTGATAAGGCCGGGTGGCTTAATCGTTAATATGATTTATACAGTTTCCAATGGGTCCATGGGCTAAAGACCCACGGTTGAAAGAGGCGGGCCGCTACCATCGGGAGGTCATGATAATGAGCCTCGAGTCGTACGCCCTTGCTCTGTGCACAAGAGTCCTCGGCTGGTCTACGGTGGAAGTTGGGGTATTATTGGCTGCTGTGCGGAAGGAGCTGAGAGATCCCAAGGTGCACGTCTATGGCAAATTTCACGTAGTCTGGGGAAGGAAACCCAGCGACTGAGGTATTGGGAGACCAGCACTGCCGCAGACCCTGCTACCCAGCAGGCTTGCCATTTACCTATCTTGGCATTGTCCTAGAATCCTTTCCCCACTATTTAATGGTGCTTTGACAAGGCACTCTTGTTTAATGCATGCCCCACATCTGTCAAAAAGTATGTCGTCAAGCAGAGAGCTGGGTTCACCCTAGGCTGCGGTCTTCATGATCCGGTGTTGGTTTCTTTGGTTTTGCTTTCCAATGCTCAAAACCTTTCATATGATATTTATCTATATATTTATGAGACAAATAGAATGATAAAGTGACGAATTCTACACTCATCAATTTGAATTGTTCCGATGGATGCAATCTGCAAACGAGCATCCTACCTTTTTTGAGCTCTTCCAAATGATGATTTGTAACTATGCCAGGGAGTATGAAGTAAAACGTATGAGCACAGGAGCCAACGCACTTAAAAACATATCCCTCCCAAATGCCAGCAAGGAAAAAGGCCAAGAGCAAAAATGGAAAAGCTCTTCTGGGCATGATAAATCAAGTAGCAACAGACCATAGTGCATGGCGCACCCGGATTATATCACAATATTAGTGTCGAATGAAATCATCATTCATAACAGGCAGGAAGTCATAAGGACAAGGCAAAAGAACAGTGATCAATAAAGACCAACAACGACACGCCCACAAGCCCCACATAAACGCAAAAACCAACATTATATGCAGCGCTTGTAGAGAATGTAAATCCTATCAAAAAAAAAAAAATACATACTCCTTAAATTTCCTCAATAGCCCTACCACAACACCATCCCTCAAGGCCAGTGTATTCAGCCCCGCCAAAACCATCTCCACTGGCAACACAAAGTTGGCCCCGCATTTAAACATCATCCTATGTTTCAGAAGTCTCTCTGGATTTGTAGAGGGAGTCGATAGATGGGAACCAGTAACGGGCGTCCAATGAGGGGAACCACCTTGGCACATACTTGCCCCAGCCCCAGTAGTTCTGTGCGCTCATAGGATGCGCTTCGCACTTGCGTACGTCTTCGGGTTTGACACCTTCGGGAAGGTCATAGGGATCGTAATGCATGACTCCGAGACGGCCACATTCTTCGTCGGTCGCGCCGGGGGCGGGTAGAAGGTCGGCCTGGGCGATAGTAGCAGTGCCGACGATGAGAAGGAGGGTGTGAGTCAGCTTCATATTGGGCCTCCTTTCTAGCGGGGATATAGTCAGTGTATTAGAACCAAATGTGAGGGGAGAAGAGGGTCAGACTTGTTTTATGTGAGGATAGTGGTGGATTGATATTGATTGAGGTAAAAAGATGGCATAGGAGTTTGTATGGAGAATATATATGAACAAGGTATAGTAGCTAAAAATTATGTTTTAAAATTTGTACGTGATAAGGCAAATCTTTCGTACGTGGCATTTACTAGTTTTGGTGTGGTGTCAGGGTCGTATACAAGCCTCTAAGGTACTCTGACAGGATGTAACCAGCCGGGGTCAGATCCTCAGCAGGCAGACAGATTTTAACTCGCGCGCCAATTACCTAAAACCCCCACACAGGCAGACCTATCATACGTTGTACGAAATCTGTGAACTAGGTCATTGAAGGGCGATGATCAACCAAGATCAGTGGCTAAGCCTCCCCCCTTGCCCATTAGGGTAGCTGTATTGCTTGACCTCGGAGGGCTTACTAATTATGGAGAATATAGACGAAAACAAGCTAGCGGTAGATGCCGACTGAATACGGAGTGGAACTCCGCCGTCTATATTACCGTTACGCAAAATTATACACTCACTGTAGTCGTTGATGTTTAAGCGTGTCTTGCCTGAGATACGAGATAGGGCGTGGAGGTGTATATCGTGTTGTCTTCAGATAACACTTGGCGTCTGCGTGGTCCTTGTGCTGGCTGAACGCTAGGCCCTGTTGTTAGCGTGCGTCCTGAATTTAGGGTTTATTTTCTATATTGGTCTGTCAGAGTCTTGGGAGCTGGAAAAGAAGTGGGTCATTTGACTGTCATAGACTCATAACTAGGTTTAGCACTTTACTAGGATTTAAGATAATTATGACCCACGATGATTACTCTATTTTCCTCGGCATTAACGCTTACAGCGTTGACCTCTATGTAGAGAAACTCCACTTTCAGGGGAGAGGTTCCTGGCTTAATGCAGAGAAGATCGATGACACTGTACAGACGCCGATTTAAATATAGCAGTCAACATGGCATGTAGGCGTTCTTAAAAATTAATCTTTTTGTGCGAATAGTAATACGTACTCAGAGTTGTTGAACTTGATCTGGGAAGCTGCCCTGTGTGATGTTAAGTTTCCGTGAGGTTGGGGATCAATCCCATAACATATGAGGCTGAAATGAAATCACTGTGCTGCCTCCTGGCGCTTCCTGGAGTTTGTCCTTCGCAACGAGTTGAAGATGTTGGAGGATCTCGAGCTATTATAACTTTTAGCTATGGGTACACTAAGCACAGATATGATCAATATCCGGCTGGAAACATACCTTTTGAGAAACAAGTGGCCATGTAGTCGAAATACGGCTTAAGAACCTCGCGCAACTCTTGAGGTCTTCATTTGCTTTTTTAGAAACGTTGGAGTCTCGCGCGAACTGGAAACCCATGGTATAGTAGCCGTTGCTGCGACAGCATACCCAATCAATGGATCGTTCACTTCAATTGAAGGTCCTCAACGAATTGTATCAGTTTGGATACCCAGCCAGAGATGAATAACGCTAGGTCGACTGTCTGTTGAAGGAACGAACATGGTTGAGGAACACCCCGATTGTTACGAAGTGCAATTAAATGAATAAAGGGATGGTTTAAGATGACGGGTGATATATGAGAAAGGATTTGCATAGCCAGCCAGGGATTACAGTATTCTTGGTGCTGCGGGATTTCAGCTGCGGATCGCCTTGAGAAATAAGTATTCCTGAGCTGGTGCTTCTGCGGGGTTTGGGCCTCGGTCACATAAAACTTCACACTCAGCTTTGTGTGCATTGACTCAGGTAACCAAGGGGTTTTCAATGGTACCAGCTTGTATCTCTCGCATATACCGCATAAAATCCCCCCAAACACAAATCATCTGAATGAGGTGTGCATTGATGCCAAGGTCCTTTTTGACTTCCTCTGGGGTGTGAAGATCAAAAGGACGATCACCATCCTTACAAGCAGGTGATGGGGTGGGACAGGGAGCACTCTTTGGGTATTCTGATTTTCTTTGTGATGTTGAAAGGCCAAAACTTGAGGAGAACATACCCTCTCAAGTATGAATACACTTCAACGGCATCGAGAGCTTCTATCTTCAATTTGCTCGTCGGAATTACATTGGCGAACCAAGGCTTCGTAGAGTTTCTAGCCGAGAGACTGTTCCAACTGTCATCCGAACCCGAGCTGGCCTTTGACCTAACTCGGCGATTTAACACAGGCAATGCCAACATGGTATAGAGAGAAATCCACCTACCAATGAGGTCCCTTAGTGCCAGTAATCATAATGATTCTAAGACCCCTAGTCGCGGTATGCCTTCTGCAGCTGTGTCCTCGGCGGAGCGAGCATAAAATTGGATAGCCTGCGGCTCCATCCCACTGTAAAATTCATGGCTAGAGAAACAAAAGGCAAGTGCTAGGAAACTATGGACAAGGAATTAAGGGGAGCTCGCCAAGCGTGCTTTTAAACCCTCCTGGTTGAACATCGGTACAGGTTGCAAATGTATCCTCGTGCGGTATACTTCCACCAGATGGTCGAAACCTTTCTAATGGCGGCTTGGAGTTCGAGATTGTTAGCTAGTTTCGGCCATACCAAACCGCTGAAAATGTGAACTAAGGACCTACTATGATTGTGTGAATGATGTATTATTACTAGACCCTACTATGCGAGGTAGCATGTCCGTTACATTGTGAGAGGTGTCTTCTAAGTCGCTCCCCCGGATTGTTAAGGGTGCGGTGGTGACACGGCATTACGGTTTGAGAACGATCTTAAAACACCACCGTTGTTGCAGCCTACCAGACAAGCGTATGACAAAGCAAGATATAGAAAATAAACTGTAATGTTTGGTAGATGCCATTGACTTGTGCTTCAAGTGGTTGAAATCGATCTTTTGAAGACTTTCTGTGTATCCACATTATGAGACAGGGAGTATATTACAACCGAGAGCTCTGAGAGCTCTGAGAAAGCTCACGTCTTTGTCCCTCTCGTTGCTTGTCCACACGCGTTAGATTGCTCCCTAGGGAGATATACCAACTGTAGATTTAGACACTGGCAAAACGAGCATATGGGTCTTTCAGCGGTGCATTTGGAATCTTTCCGTCGGGCTAGGTAGCTAGCATTCAGTTCTCATAAGAAAGTCGAGGACCCACTGACAGGGCTCACAGGCTTGTTGCCTCCGTTGTTCCCTGTCGGAACTCCGCGGGGTTTTAAGAAGTTTCGGAATCCCTGACTTACGTGAGCGGAGTACTGATATACATCCGTATTTCCTGAAAAGTCAGAACATCGTTTTAGACCCTATAGGCACATGCCACCTGTGTGTTGATATATGGAGATTTCATTATGTAGTAGAGTGGTTAACAAATCCAGGTTCCCGATGGATCCGCCTCAGCCATCTCCCGAGTCATCCGCTTCGATTACGCCGATGAAGACTATCTAACCATCGCATACGAAGCCTACCTCAAACGGTCCAAATTACCGAAGTATAACGGGATTTTCTTTCCCACATCATACATTCTTACGGGTAATGCAAGTGCTCACGGCTGGACATTGATCGAAAAGACGACGGCGGCGCTAACAAAGAAGCAATTGCCTTGGACACCGCTGGGCAATGCTGCCGCCGCGAAGGCCAGCTATCCGGTGTTAAGTGGGCCCCTAGCAAGTCCCAACTTCACCGGTTATTGTAATGACCAGGCAGGATGGGTCGATTCAAGCAAGGCTGTCAGCCAGCTTCATGACGACTGTCTTGAACTGGGAGTCTCGTTTATATGCGGCCGGGCTGAAATACTTGTCGGGCTTGACACTGACTCACAAAACTACATCAAAGCAGTCCAGACTCTCGCTGGAACTTCGATTCTAGGCGATCACTCCGTCCTTGCCTCCGGCGCTTGGACCTCGGGGCTAGTAAACATGCCCAACTCAGCACTGTCAACAGCTCAAGTAATAGGTTCTACCCCCTCACAAATACTGAGGTGAAGAAGTACAAAAACGTACCGATTTACGCCAATTTCTCAACGGGCTGGTTCAACATCCCTCCCCATGAAGAATACCGAGACACCGGAAATGGCGGTTCATGGTTGGGCATATACACGTGCACCCACCCTGGAAGATCATCAGACTATTGTAATATATCGTCCCCTCCGCTGATTGCTCCTCGGCAACGTGCCAATTTCTCCCCAGCAGATGGGGAAGAATCGACTTAGGCAAGGATTGCGCGAGATACTACCTGAGCTAGCCGATCGTCCGTTTGAACGGGTAGCGCTGTGCTGGTATACGTGAAGGCGATTTCATTACGGATTTCCATCCTGGTTACAAGAATTTGTTCGTCGGTAGTGGTGGCAGTGGGCAGTAAGTCTATCCCGTACTCGACAGCCACGCAGGTACTAAGGTAGACTTTTCAGTGCATTCAAGTTCCTACCAGTCTTGGGCGACTACATATTTCTTGCGCTAACAAAGCGTCTTCCTCAGCATCTCGCACAGAAGTGGCGGTTCCAGACAGAGTATCAAAATCAGAAAGACACCTTTTTGGGCGACGGAAGCCGTGGAGCCGTGGAGGGCCTGCCAGACGAGAACTGTACGCCCAGGAGAAGGCAAAGTTGTAGAGCTGGTGGAACCATTTTATATTCCATTTATGAGTAGTTGAAATGCCGTTGCTTAGGGTTAACCCAGGATAATTGTTGATAGGCACATTGAACTTCGCTGTATCTTTTGCAGCTAGCACAGTTGATATCGGGCGGTGTCGGCACCAAGGCTTACAACCATAGTGACCACCAAGGCAGGGAGGTAGCATAACTCTTGGTTGCTATACACACACCTGAAACAAGTGTGGCTTCATGACGCCGCACAGAATCCCTCGGTGCCCTTAACTTAGTCTCTAAACTAGTGCCGCCTGCAGCAACTATCATCACACCTAGGGTCGATTGATATGGCACAAAGGGGAGAACCCCATGGAGTCCTAATCTCCCCACCGACTTCTAAAGGCTATGTAGTCTGCTGGATGAAAGTCTCAAGCCTGAACAAAAGAGGACCTTTCTGCTTCCGTCTAAGATTCACTCGTCAAAGGGCTCCATGGAGGATTTAAAACCCAGTCAACTTCGCTGAGTACAGCAAAGCCGAACCCCAATCACCCTCAGTGAGTCGGATCTTTCCATCTGTCGATTCTTTCTTAGCCTTGAAGATTCCAACGCTCGAACCAATCAGTGTACGCATCCTGGACTCCATTCCAGGGAAGGCTCGCCTTAACAACAAGGACTGTTTTCTGTACTCCGTTCACATCCACCACCTCCTCAGTAATACCACCGTACCGAGTCACATACCGGTTGTTGTGGACACGACCATTTGGCGACTCTGCGCCGGTTCTCAGAGTTTGTCTCCCAACCTCCAGATCCAATAAGTTATTCCCGTGCTTTGCCAAGTATAACCTAGTGTTTTGTCTATATCCTTTTTCGAACCTGTCTTGCAATTCCTTCCTAACGATCGCGATGAATATGCGACAAGCCTACATTACGTATACATAAGCTTCAGCGCAAGATTACCCAGGGCCACCGGTGGTGCCGGAAACATACTTGGGCAAGTAACGCAATAGCACATACTGAGAGGACGACAAAACAGAGAGTCAACAGGTATTCGTCACAAGGAGTCAATGGATGATTTAAGTCGCGAAGATGCCCATTCTTGCCTCTGTGTCTGTGTGTCAAACTGGTCTTTTTAAGAGTTGCTGAGGCCGTATGAGTAAAACAAATGTCCCAGAGGAAGAGTAGCCTTAGTAGTGCTAGGGTGACTTGTTGACAAAGTCCCAGGCCACAGACTGCGGATAAATTCATAACGAACTCGAAATGACCGGGCAAAGTAGCATCGACAGTAGAAACAAAACATTAGCAATGAGGGGTACTTTTAGAAGTGCGTGAATTGGTTCCCCTTCGGTGGCTTCTGGTATTAATTGCAGCCCTAAGGGAGGCTAGTGAAGTCGGGACGATATCAGTTTAGTCGCAAATTACTGCAGGGAAATCCCAACCGGGAAGTATAGTTTCTATAAATTAAGCTGCCGATTGTTTGCTGCCACTATTTTAGAACTAACTTAAATAGTAAAACTTATGGAAACCTGTAGGTATATGGCTCATATTGTGAAGACCCGCTCACTTACCTGTCTCTTTTTTGCTTGTTTAGCACGTGTCTCTTAGCCCGATAAGTTGACAAGTATACCGAGGCTACTACCATTATATGAATTGAATATTAATTGCTGCCAATTGGCTTCGTTATTTACGTATTTACATACCACATCACGTATAAAAGTATATACGCCCTCTAGGGACATGGCTCGCCTTGATCCACGAGCAAGGATGACTACAAGGTCTTTTGGAAATCCGTCCCCGTCTGATCAGTAGGAACGGAATGAGGTTCCTTTTTGATTTGCTCCGGCCGGGCAACACAACTCTGGAAATTAGTGCGGATAATTCAAAATCACAACGGGAAAAGAGCTTACAGAGTCGCGATGCTCAGAAAAAATAGGTACCTATCCAATTATCTGCACTCTCCTTTTGTATCTACTATGTTGCTATCTGGTTACAGAATTATTCGAGCCTTTTAGAAGCGATATTTCCATCACTGATTCTTCTATTTAGTGTATTGTAGAATAACTAGAGAGTACTGTCTAAGATATATGTTTTCTATAGCCGTAATGAGCTCTGTTACATTCTCTCAAGCACTCTAACTGCTCTAATATAGGTTACTCGATGTTTACAATTCAAAGTTCTGACTTGAAAGTTTGAGTATTGGTAAGCCCTAAAAGGCTCTTAATATAAAATTTTGGGGGGAACGAAGAAAAAGTTAGGAAGAAGCAGACAGGAAGGAAAGAAAAGAAATGTGGGGATCCACCCCGAATCAGTAATTTCTGAATCATTATTCGTAGCTGCGAGCCTGCGACCCTCTCCAGCCGTCGCACCGGAACGGTATGCATGGACGGGTGGGTATACAGTATGTCTGGACCCTTTTTGGTAATATACTCAGCGGTCGAGTATCCGCTTTCCGCCCATCAATTCGGAATGTACTTTAAGTTAAGCTATTCCAACGCACCTATCTCTGGCCACATATTGTTTTACAAATTTGGCCTCCCGTGTGGCAAACTCAAATGTAAATCCTATTACCCATTTGGAGAGCTCTGTTGAACCATAGAGAATAGGACAAGAACAACCGGGGAGAAGGACTCAAACGGAGACCCCCTGGAACCCCATATAATGTTTGACAGCAAACCTTGACACGAGGCGATAAAGGGCTGAACAAATCAGATGTGAGAAGATAATGGATATGTTACCGAGTTCGACCCAGACCCAATCCATAAATCACGACATCTACGGCCGAAAATACCTTCGGATCTCCCGAGTCCCGACCTAGGCTGTTTGCCGGGGTCCCACTCCATCTCTGCGGCGAGTCAAGAGGCGGGAACTCAGGCCAATATCAGTCCACATCTGCAGTTCCAAGGGTTATAATCATTCCGACCCCCAGAGTGACCCTAGACAAAAAAAGGGAAGTTGTCGTGTGTGAGAACCTCGCTGCTGTCACCATGCTGTACCTAGCCTATATTTTTCTTTTTTTCTCGTATTTTGTGTGACTTCTTTTGCTGCATGTGCCTGTCGTCCCTGTTACTATTGGCCGGTATGAGCTTAACTTACGTAAAAGAATAATCGGTCCTAAGATTTAATGTGAAGGCCTCTAGGCCTTGAGATGCACGTTGAAGGTGATCCTACCAGAGGCAAAACTAATTAACCTCCCGGGGGGAAGTTTGAATGCATCGACCTGTCAACCGGTCCTCGCGAGAATCTAGACTACTCTGTAGTTGGAACTTAATCATGTTGCATTCCTTAGTGGCGGTACCTCTGGTTAAAAGTGCGAGAAGGATGCCCGTCCTCTGGAATATAAAAGACCGAATATCACACCTCGTGTTAGCTCATCTACGAATTTTTCTTCACTTTTTGGAAAGTCAAATAGCCAGTACTGCCCATAATAATGGATTCCAAGATGCTCTTTCTCCGTGCTGCCGCTGCCGGCGATGTGGCAGGCATCCAAACCGAATACCTAAAGAATAATACTGTGCTCACTGCCAAAGATTCGGCAGGCCGAACAGCCCTCCATCTAGCTGCCCTTCACAGCCACGCGAACGTTCTTGAACTTTTGCTGGACTACGGGTCCGATACCTCTGCCCAAGACAATCAGGGCCAAACTGCATTACATATTGCAGCCCAGCTCTCCTCCCAAACAATTGTCAAAACCCTGCTCCAACGATCTGCGAATTGTTGTATTCGAGACCACGCTGGCAGAATACCTCTTTTTTACGCCTACCAAAACTATCCCACTGACCTCGTCGGCTGTTTTCTAGAATGCACAATAGCAAGCGGCACGGAATTGCAGTGCGGCCTTACCCCGGAGATCATTCTTGGGGCTGGCCCGTGCAGGAAATGGACCCCCCTTCATGCCAATGTGAGCGTGCGCGGCCCTTGAGAGTTCGACAGCTCTCTCGGAATTCATTTGCATCTTTTCATCCACATCTTATCCCAAGTTATCGGTTGGGGGGGTGGAGGGGGGGGTTCCAAAAGCCCAAAAAGGAAACGGAAAATCCAAAGAAAAGGGAAAAAAAGAAGACAAAAGAAAAGAAAAGAAAAAGAAAAAGAAAAAGAATCGGATTCTGGTTACGACTTTCCAAGCGCTGGCTCGCTTCAACCGAACAATCGATCAGCTCCGCATCCAACCATCTCCACCCGGACGCATCACGAAGTCTCTGGACCACAACCAACCACACAACGGAATTCGTCTCTCTGGCACATCCTTGCTACAACACCACAATTAGCTCGTTCTGGCTACGGGATGAACGCTCTTTCGGTGGACCTACAGTAATGAACTCGCTAAGGAGTCTGGGACATCTATCCACCAGCCAACAGGATCAACAGAAGGCACCTCGTGGCCGACTAGACATGGTGGTCACTTTAGCGTCGCTTTAGTTAGAAGCAGTAGTGCTTACAAGCCGATACGTACTTGTCCTTAATTAGTCTAGCTGGGTAATATTTCCTCATACAAGCTTCCCGAGAGTGGCCTAGCGAGTCCTTGGCATTAGCCCTTGCAAAAGTAATCTCTTCCTAGATCATAATTAATGACATGCCGGAAAGCTTCCGAATCCTCTTCTAAATAACCGAAAGGGAAAGCGGGGAGCGTCGCTACATATCCCGATCCGTGATGATCTCGAGGAGGTCTTTTATGTACTCGAGTCATAAATTACTGGTGGTGGTATACAGGCATGTTTATGCGTTGGAAGGTATTCTCTAATGTGGTGCTATAATTAATTAATATTTCATAATCACTTTAAATACCTAACACGTAAGATCTGATATGTAAGGGTAATTAGGGTTAGTTTTCGTAACTACCCTAGTTATTGAGAATAAAACATGTAAATGTAGGAAAGTAGAAATAAGAAAAGCATAGAAAAGCATAGAAAAGGAAGAGGAAAAGAGAGGATGTTCCATTCGATTTCTCTGCTCCCTTCGTATGTATCTTGATTTCCTTTCACGGTTTGAATGAGGTGACTACAAACGGCTGAAGTTGCTATGGCATCTCTAGAGCTCCTCCATTGAAGGCAATGCGCATGGGTTGGTCTAATAAAACTCATATCTGTATTGACAATCCGTTAAGACCGACTGATGACAGACTTAGCGCGGTAAATATCTCCTGCCGAGGTTCATTCAAAGCAGATACTTCAATGCTTTTCGTCATACCAAAATACTACTATGAGAATACTGGTTAAAGATTAGTTATCATTAATGGTTGCGTTTAAGCTATGTGGTATTAAATTAAGCTTTTGTTGTCAATATGGGTTATCTTGGCCCATTTATAACTCGGCTAATAAGATATTATTTTCAACAGTCAACTACGGGCTGATTTTGTGCACGATCTAGACATGAACGCTTCTACCTTATATAAATTGAGCATATACTGACTGTATCAAGGAACTTGTCCTCCCAGATCTGCATAAGCACCATTGACCAGACTATCAATGGGTAGACCTGCCTCGGGACGCTCGATCCCTTAACGTTTCCCCCGCCTGCAGCGCATTAGATCTCCAATAATTCTCGCACCCAAGAAAACAACCTGACTGCGCTTGGACACCGAATACCAAACCCAGTCCCCAATCTAGAAGTGCTATACCGTTTTCAATATCCACCAAGCCTAGCCCCTAGTTCTAACCGTCATACGCCACACTCCTTAAATCCCCCCCGATACCTAGCAAGACCCAGGTCACAGTCACTTAACGTCTTCTTCCTCCATAAGGGTGCTTTGGTATTTCTGCTGTAATGCCAATTCTGACTATGCATGAACTTTATGATCGCCTGCATACCGGAACCTCTCTACCTAAGCCTAAAAATCGTTATTAATACCTAACTACATTGCTGCAACAAACACACCAACCATTTTTCTACTCTGAAACCTACCAGCACTGGCCACACCGTTATTATATATTCAAGACGATGCTTAAATATCCTTCCTTTCGAACACAAGGAACTGCGGAAAGAAGTCAACGGTCTTATTTACCACACATCATCAATATATGAAGGTAAATTGAAAAAAAAGGTGCTTCGCGGAATACGTATCTAATACGATTTTAAAACCACAAAAAAAAAGCACTACCCAACGATTAGAATATCAACTTTTTAGACACATCGCGTAGTGAGTACTCGTCTTTGTTAATAATGACTCGATGATTGACGATATGGAAAGGCTAGTCGACGAGCCCTTGCGACGTAGAGGTGGCAAAGCAAAGACACACCGTACCGTGTGACTACGTCGAGTCAAATACGAATACTTCTGAGGAACCGGACAGACGTGAAGTAACAAGCCGTAACCTTGTACAGAACCTTATGTCCGACAAAGTACTAGAAGCCGGGAAGAAGCTGATGAAGGCTGGGTTCGAAAGGATAGGAGGCTATAATCGTCAAAGTTAGAACCGCTACCTCAGACTTAAGTGCAGCAGGGATCAATCCGTTACCGTCTGACGAGCTTCAATCATAGAAATACGGCCACAAGGCAAGTCTCATATTGCTGTAAAATGGCTTGGGGCCTGCCCGTTGCTCCAAAATAGACAATCTCATCCTTGGCTAGGAAGCTCGGTCAAGCCCTCCACTATTATGGAGTGTTATCTCGTGTGCGATTGACGGCTATGCGTATCTTGCTTATGATCTGGGGACTAGGTATCTGCGAAGATATAGACGCCTATTATAAGCAAGGCTATCGTGGATTCATTCTTGACGTTGATACTTTGAGCAAATTCTAAAATCTGCTTCGGGGAGTTGAAGCGCGGGGAGTTGCTAAGCGTCAACATGCCACGGGCGTTGGCCTCAGGTATGTTACTGTCAAAGTCCATCTGTACGCAAATTGAGAAGAATTTACTTACAATGATGCAGACCAGACCCTTGATATGACATTCTACGCGTCCAGCACACTGGGGAAAGACTGCTGTTCACGTCGTACAAGATTTTGTTTTATCTGGTGTCGTGAGCGACGATTTTTTCGGAGCAGGAATGTCATCACTGAGAACGACACCATCAAAATAGGGCTCTTGGGACAGATGTACGACCCCTATGCGCAAAGTGATATCAGGGTATATACTGCACGGCTATGTAGGACGGAACGCACGTCTGTTCTAAATTGTATTCATAACATATGGCGAATCCCAGGTATCGACGCTTGAGACAATGGAGGGAGGCAAATTATGATAAGGCTTTAACAAGGCCAACATTTGACAGGAATGAGTCGGCCGACCAATAATAGTTATGGTGGAGGTGAGGTATGTATGCGTCTTAAGTGCGTGACCGCTTGAGCCAGTTGCATGGGATTCACATGCTGACCATCCTTTGGCATGTCTTTTCTAAAACACCGCTGGAGAAGGTTTGAGGATGTGGTAGACGGGATCAAAGAGCAGAATATCGGCCAGTTCTGACAGGTTCTTAGCGGAAGAACATATTATAACATCCCAGTGGATGAGATGGCTTGCTACGCTAACTAGCATTGCATGCGTTTCAGGTGAATTTTCTTTTTGAGGTTGCTATGCTTGAGAGCCTACATGATAGCTTGAATAGTAAATTGATCGTATTGAGTAAATCCGATGCCCATTTCCATTGATAGAGGCAAAATACGGCTTCACCACCGATATGACTTTCGAGTTGCGAAAAGCTTCTAAGGAGGGGGAACTCATATAACACTTTCCTTGGTAGTTAGCAACACAACCAAAGTGAGTGAAGAAGTGATTGGCTGAGGACGGAATGAACGAGTCGTAAGTTAGAATTCTAGACAAAACATTATAAGGCCTCGTATGATCAGCACCCAAGCTTACACCATATTCATTCCCATAACTAGGATAGCCGATTGAGGAGAAACATGAGCTTTCCCCCTGTAGGCCTTTGATCGCTTTGCTCAATCAATGCGGTTGGCCCAGACTCATCACAGTGAGCGATCTGAAATCTTTCAATGTTTTACTAGCTATCGTACATTATGATTGTTCTCTGAACCATTGAGATGACTCTGACTCTCAAGCTGTATGATATAATCTCTCTGACAGGAGTTCCTCTGCATTAATTCATTATCCCACCTGCCAGACAATATCCAGGCCAACCGGAAACAACAAGAATGGTTCATGACCGGGATTGTCCAAAGGGAGAGGCAGCTAGAACTTAGCCGAACAAAAACCTCGGCTGCCAGCTTACTAGCACTCGCTGGCTTAGTAGCAGCAGGGCATACCCTGCTTACTGAGGGGTATATCTTCGAATTGCGCATGGTATTAATTATAGAACTAGACATGAGCCCGACAAACCTCCTACATATGTCAATTTGAAAAGAAAATATTTGCATTATGAATCATGTCCTGTTCTACGTCTAGTCCAGAGATCTTTCTTTGGCTGAGGACGCATTGCATTCTTCCTGTCCCCACTTTATTCTCTTTTATCTTCTTTCTATTTGCCTTCTCGAAGAATAGGAAAGCCCACGTAGTGGGTCCCCATGCGGAACTCTTAAGTAAATCTCCTCCCGCCAAAAGTGGATCTCAGGCAAAAACGGGATCGTCAACTGAATTTTTTGATTCAATCACGCTAGACACGTAGCCCTAGAAAGAAACACATCCGTCTATTTTTCGCCACTCTATAGCCTGAAAGTACCAGACAGAAGTTCATGTGAAACTAAGTCCTAACGTAAAACCTTTCTATAATAAATCAATCCATCCACATTCGTTAAAGTCCGAGGTATAAAAGGAAAAGACAAAAAAAAAAAAAACCAATAGTCTATATCTATGTCTATGTCTATGTCATTAGTTAAATCGCGACGGGGCTATCGTTCCTATCATTTGGTCCGATGCCGCGTCTGCGGACTGTGATCAGGGCGATGATCAGACCGAGCCCGGCGAGTCCGGCAGAGCACCATAGGCCGGTGGAATATTGTTGTGCAAGACCATGGCCTTTTTGGATGTCGACGGAATCTGTGACAGCAGCGGAGATGGCGAGGGCTACACCGGAGCCGATTTGGAAGGCTGTGTTTAGCTGGGTTGTTTTGTTAGTTTATTTTGATGAGATGCGTAGAGATAAAGGAGGAGATTACCATTCCACCGCACAAGCTTTTCACATTGACTGGGACGGTAGTCAGGATTGTTGTGCTTGTTGTGACGAATATCAACGATACGGCTGTGATGCTGATGAGGGATGCGGGGAGGACATTCACCCAGCTGGTGTTGTTAGTAAGATTCTCTAGAGCGTTTTGAGGGGAGGTTGAGGTACGTACAAATCTGGCTCTGAGTTCGTTGCCGTCAAGGAGCTAGGGATGGGAGCTATTACTGTCAGGACCAGTCCTGCGATGAGAGTATATTTCCCGTTCACGTATTCGAGCGCCTTGCCTGTTCCCATGGAGGCGATGAACCCAATCACGCCCATGGGCAAAAAGCGAAGGGCTGTGTCCCCGGCGGAAAGATTGTCCACTTGCTGTGCCATCAAAACGATGTAGTAGATGACATTTTGGTAGCTACCGTAGCAGGCTGGGATTATTGTTAGTATTCAATGAGGAGGGTGGTTTTCGGGAAGACTCACTGAATCCTGCAATCCACAGTCCTGCAAAATTGGGGATCTTCCATATGTCTAGAGGCATAATCGGGTATGATATGTACCATTCAAGAAGAGTGAAGGCACCTAGGAGAGCAACAGCGAGAATGAGAAGAACAATAATGAATGGAGTGCCCCAGCCGTAGTCACCTCCGCTGGATAGGACAAACTGAAGAAGAATAAGACCAGCAGTAGACATCAGAGCCCCGAGGTAATCCATCTTTGGCTTTTCCTTCCCAGCTAGTTCGTCTTTGGGGAGGACTATAGCGCCCAGGATACCGAGCAAGCCGGTGATGATTACAATTAAGTAGAAGATGTATCTCCAGCCTAGTGAGGATGTAAGGAAACCACCGAAGATGAGACCAACGCAGAATCCCAGGGTTCCCGAGGCTGCGTAAATAGACAGACCCCGGGTTCGATCGACTCCAGAAAAGTAGGAGCTGATGATTCCGATCGCAGATGGGACAGTCAACGCTGCACCGATTCCCTGGATACCACGAAAGACCGCGAGCTGAATGAAAGACTGGCCAAACCCAATAGCAAGGGTCCAGATGGAAAGCCAAAAAAGGCCAAGGCAGAGGATCATTTTTCTCCCATAACTGTTGATACATTAGAAAGGTCTTCTCTCTTCACGGCCAGAATGTCCTTACCGATCGGATAGCACTCCTGCCAGCAGGAGAAAGCCACCAAAGGTCAAAGTATAAGCCGAAATCATCCACTGTAAATCGGTACTAGACACGCCAAAGTCTTCTTGGATAGATGATAGGGCGATATTTGAGCTGGTCATGAAAACATTGTCGAGAAATTGGGAGCCAGATGTCACCAGCAAGATTAACGCTCCTCTCCAAGAAGCCAACCGACCGATTTCTGGACAGGGCTGTAGAGTAGTAAGACCCTTCTCTTCGGTCGGGGTGGCCAGACCGGACGAGGGGGTGCTGTGCCCTAACGACGATTCCGGGCGGGAGATGATGGTGAACTGAGGAAGTTTGCCAAACCAGCCATCCTTCTCACTCTCCTGGCTCCGGTTTCGAAAACCGAAGTCAAAATTGGTCATAATGTGCTTTATGAAAGAGAGAATCTTTGATTTTACTGAGGTATCTCAGACGGGCGAGCAGCAAGCTCTTTAAAATCTCTGATTTTCCTAGCAGCTTAATAAAAAAGTGGGTATGCTCGACCGAGCATACAAAGTTTTGCAACCCAGACTTCAGTCGGGCTTTGCAGATTCTTTTCAAGACCGATAATTGGATTGACTCAATAATCCGACTACTTCCATTGCGTATTATCGAGTGGATTGCTAACTAGCACTTTGATCGCCCATTATTTTGTTACACCGACTATTGCGAATGTCCTCCCCGTGGTATGGAATATGTGCCGGGCTTGGTTAAAGTCTTACTTCATTCGCCACCCATCGTCGTTGACAAGTACATGAGATCCAATTAGCTCATTTCCTGGGACTCTCAATGGATCGGCAATATCCCATCATACCCACGACCGCGCCAACTTCGTCAGACTTTTATTTCCGCAACGTTATCTCGGGATTCCTTGTCGAGTCGAGACCAAGCACTATGGACCAGATGGCTCTTTCACCTTGTGTTTCGATCGCATTGGCCTATGACCCCCACTATCTTATCTAGTTGCAGTAAGGTGATTGACGCACGTTGGTAACGAATTTCATGTGCTGAAACGGATAGAACTATGCGAATTAAGACAGTAACTGGTAGTCTTGTAGCCTTATCCTATCTTAAACCTAGACCTCAACTTAAGCCCTAGCATACCCTTCGCAATGCATACTACCGTCAAGCCTAGATTTCTTCAATAAATACTACCTAATCTCATACTCACTCCTATGGTAGAGGCTTGCTGAATTGAAAATTTACACGTTTTTCAAATCGGATAACTCTTTTCGGACGTGCGGGGATAGACTGCGACAGACCATGTGAACAATTTTTTTAACCACGGTTGTGGAAGGAGGATTGGTTAGGGCCCTGGCGGCAGCGAGGAAAAACTGGATCGTCAAAATTTGGAATTGGCGATATCCTACTGTGTTCCTTTTCTTTTCTTACTTGCGTTTATCAGTCCCCTCTTCTTCCCGAAAGCTAGTCCGGGATTCAAAGCTGCTGCAACATATAACTATATCACACGGTCAAAGCTTCAGTAAGCCAGAATCACATTGATCGTCGGGAGATACAGGCCGGTTGTTGATCATCTGCACCTCGAGAATGTTGTTTACTCCTGGCGATCAATATCCGAAAATCCCGATTGGTGCTCCCTATCTCGGAAGACACAACAGCCCATGGAAATCGATTCAGGGCTCACATGGACGGTCGGGAAGCCGTGGGTGGCCTGTGCGCTCTCGGTACGGGTAAGCTTAACCCACCTGAAATAAAAACTTTATCTTCCGAGATTGCCCTAGTTCTAGAACTCTTCCCGCGAATCGGGTCAATTCTCCAAATTAATTGTACACAGGTAGAAGCTTGAGTTCTGGTCTACATATCAAGTTTCGTTGCACATAACGTCCCGGATGGTCAAAATGCCTCCCTTATGCTTCCGTACTGGTCTTGCGGTCCGATGTATAATGTGCTCCGTCGGGTTGTGGTTTTAGCTGCGCATTGCTGAATAGGGAAGTAGTCCGAGGGATGGCAGTGTTGTCTCGGTGGGGTAACTGGTAAACTAGTTCAATCCCACAAGGGAGACGTTGGAGAATCTTTCCAAACTTCGGGTTACCGCTTTGGGATGATAAAAGCGGGTACTTTTGAAGATTCATCCGTCTCGGACATCCGCTAGATTTTCGGTCTCTTTTCTTTTTCTTTTTCACCTTTATTTGAACATGGGTTCTGGGGATCGTATATGACTTAAGCACACTGGATATTTCATGTCTTGGCACTTTAATTAGTTAGCGCGTATGACTGTTAATCGTGGACTGTGACATAGTCTTTTATCGCTCCACTAGCCATCACATGGCTGATCTACGAGAAACGAACATCTTCGTTCGAAGGTCTTAAGATGTCATGATTTTGGATCCTATCTAAATGCTTCCAATCTAGCCAACCCCTAATAATGGCAAGGTCTGTTTGTTGTGCAAGCCTTTCTCTGACTCAAGGTCTTCCGTACCCTGTAATGCACTTCTCAATTACTTGACACCATATTCATTCTGGCCTAACCATTCCCAACGGTAGTGGAGAAAAATTCAAGACACAGAGCAGGGATACATCTGGAGTCGCTTAGTGAGCCTATGAAACGTATTGGAATTCTAGGTCAATGTTGAACAAAACCTGAGGAAAGACTCGCTATCGCTTTTAGTTTGCCTGATCTCGTGTCTTTCACTAATTTAATAAATCGAGGCAAAAGAACCACAGCTTTGCGAAAGCCCTCGGGTGCTAATACAAGATAAGCACCAAGTGGCTAGGACTGTCCTGTTACTGCTTGGTAGAGTGTAAGTTGAACAGGCGCTGGCGCGAGGGCAGATGCCTGTAGTCCTGCCTTAGGCGTTAGCGAACGAAAGTAATTAATTCCTGAACTTCTCGCTGCTCATGACTTCATCATACCCTGTTGAATGTAGCCAGTACACATCGTGATTGCAACAGCTATTTATTATGCAACGCATGTATAACCCAACCAGCAGAAAAGCGGAAGTTTTGAAGAGCCAGTCTCCAAACAACCTTTTAAACCGGACACCATCTCTCATTCCCTCATTGCCAGTGGGAAAAAATTCGAGAACTGGCTAAAAGAACTCACTTTGCTACGTCTGTATAACGCTCTAGGAAGCCTTCTAAGCAAGTCGAGTACATCACAAGTCGTAGGCACCTCTCTCTGGCCGATTTTCATGCCTACTCAACGATCTCGCTCGTTTCCGCAACCGAGGTCAGATAGCTAAATATCACAGGGTTCAGTCAAGCGCATAGGCTATGTATCGGAGTATGAACAGTCAAAAATCTTCAGGTCTATCTTTATATTATTAGAACACTCTGAAACTGCCTCAGGATGCTACTAAAGCTCGTATTGCGTCATGAACAGTGGAGCTTAGCACGACACAGAGGAACCATGGGCGTTGATTGGACGGCCAAATACGAGCCTTGGCAGAACTTCCCGTTAGGGATTAGTCCAAAGACCAGGAATAGAGAAGCTATAAAATCAGTGGAGCTTGCATTTATTGATCTCGTGTTCTGACATTATCCTCTTCGTCGCATAATCCATCATATTGTTTACTCTGTAAATATGAAAGGCTTTAGTCATGACTGGCGCGATAGTGACTACTTGTCGGCATTCAGAGTACGATCTTCGAGAGCTCACTTACCAGGAGAATCCATACCGAATGGCAAACTACAACCGACACAGGAGGGCTATCGTCCCCGACGTGCGCATCGAAAGTCACGGACGGGCTGCACAAATTGCAAGCGCCGTCGAATCAAGGTATAGAACCTCCACGGACAGCACTACAACTCAATGAAACTGATATCATGTTTAGTGCGATGAAACAAAGCCTCAATGCAAGCGATGTCGAATGCACGGCGCAGTCTGTGATTTTACCCTTCCACCTAACCAAGCTGATAGACGTCTGAGACTTTGTCCGGCGGGCACGTCACTTCAGTGGAATGGCTTGTTGGCGTTCAGTGCGATGACAGACAACGTCAGTTCCTTATTGCAAGCTGAGCTAAACGACGCGACACCTCTTCTATATGGCTCTGGTGACTCTCTTGGGTCTCTTGGGCTAGCCATGCTCTCCCATTTCTCTCAGGTGGTAGTCTCAACACACCCCCCAGCCTTTGCCCCTATAAAGAAGGTCCTGCGGGAACATACCATCCAATTAGCTTTGACAGTTCGTTTAACTAACGCCCCAGAGCGAACACAAGACAAATGACTAACCATCCACAAGGAACCGTGTCTATTATATTCTATACTGGCAGTGGCAAGCACACATAGAGCACAGCTCTTACCTCCCGATTCAAAACAATCCATTATAGCCACTCGGTTTCGGCACAAGGCAGCACGTATTTATCGACACCAGCTGCAGTTACCAATTAGCCGAGAAAACATGGACATGTTAATTTCTAGCTGCATACTCATTGGGATGTTCTCCTTCTCAGCGGAAGCATCAAATCCTCTCGACTCCTGGGTCTTCTCTGATGACCCGATCGCGATGAACTGGCTCTCCGTCCAATGCGGTCTACGCTGCATGATAGGACTCATCGACCCATGGTTAGACGAGAGCATCTGGAATGAGGCATTCCAAGCATCCAGCAACTACGAATTCTACGATGATCATCGAATGGGCCGCGAAGACCTCGACCCCGATCTGGCCGATCTATGCGACATCAGTGACATCACGACTGAGGAGACGAACCCGTTCCACTGGCCCCTTCGGATGTTGTGTCCATTACTGCGCATGCCACGACATAAGTGTGGGGCCACTCGCATCACAAACTTCATGGGTCGGTTGCATTCTGACTTTGTCAATCTCCTCACGGCAAAGGAGCCGCGTGCTCTCCTCATTTTGTCGTACTGGCTAGCGCTGATGTACACTTCTGTTCATGATTGGTGGGTCGACCCTCGAGTTAGGGTTGAATGTCAAGCTATATGTATGTATCTTGAAGCTTGGGGGGATAAACGAATTGTTGAGTTGCTTGACTTTCCGGCGAGGGCTTGCGGGTATAGACTAATGGCTAGTTGATATCACGAAGATTAGTTCAAATTATTTTGGATCCTTTAGTGAGTAAGCATTTCGACAAATCGAAAGAGAGAAGCAGGCAAGTCAGCTAGCCCGAACGATTGCATCGTTCTACAGGAGAGATTATTTGGTTCAAATAGCATTCTGTTTCCACTGGAATTCAAATACCGGCCATCGATGGATTCCCAAGGCACCTGTCACTGGATACCCAGATAGATTCAGTGATATGTATGCACGGGTCTTAAACAGCTGAGGCATAAACCATGAAACTTTTGAAACGGAAAACAACAGTTCCTACTCCGACTGTCTTCTCATGTTCAACTTGCCTAGATAATGACCTTGGTTGCCCCTATATAATAATGGAGTATACTGATGCAACGCCATCGCACACAAGACTTACGGGACCTCTGTATGATGATGCCGCGACTGAATCAATTCACCTTTACTGAAGCGGGGTCTCCCATCGTTGATCAAAATAGCCAACCCCCTGGCGTCGGTCCTGTGAGGGTTATGGACATGCCAGCGATGTTGGAGCAACTAAGAACGAACAGTGTATGGGACGCCGTCATTCAGTCTGAAATTTAGCCTTTTACCTGCCGTAAGGCATGGATGCTCTGCATGTTTGAGCACAACCAGCCACCCGACGACAGATTCAGTCAAGGAGCACACCTTTTTTTTTTTTTTTTGAAATATTTTATTGAGTGGTTACCGTGGTCTGAGCTCTCACAAGAGCACTTTGCCTTGACACATCCGGACTGCAACTTTCAAAATATCACGGTCTCCAAAGAAGGAAAAGGTTCCTGCGCTGATTGACTGGGATGGCGCGTCGTCTGTGCCTTGATTCCTGGGTAATGAACGGTACCCCAGCTGGCTTACCCGCAATTGGGATCCCACGGACTACGGATACAGAATAGAGGGAAGCCATGCCGATGAGAACTCATCGGAGGAGCTTTCTCACCATCGCTGTGGTTACCGGGGTGTGAAGAAGGCTGCCATCGTGGAGGGTAATGACCACCTGGGCGACAATACGACTGCTCTGTTCAAAAAGAAACCTACAGCAATATTTGCTTGTCCTGGAAAGCCTTTCTATCGCTGCTGATCAGCCGGTTAACCTTCCCCAGGTTGTGCAAAAGCTTTTCAATGAGATATCGAAGCAAGGGAAGTTTCCTGAGGACCTGGATCTTTGGGAGATTTGCTTTGGCCTCGCCGACGATGATCTGGGGGATGGATAGTTGGAATCAGTCCGTCATGGAATCAGTCCGTGGATTGAAGCAGACGCTTGAATCCACGGACTGGTTTAGCTGAACGACTGTCTATAGTACATGTTTGATTTTGGTCGTAAGGAGCCTTACACCAGCCGAGCTTTAGATGTATATATAGCACTATAATGACAGTGTCTGGCCTGTCGCCTCTCCGATAACCTGATATCTACTTAATATCCATTCCACCCAGGAATCGAGAGACGAGGCTTATGCATAATAGGAAACAGTATCTGGGGTGTGGAGAGCCATAATAAAACGTGTACATTTCTACACTGGATCATAAACAGAAAGCACGCATTAACTCGTGTCCCCCAGCAGCCCAAATGGAACTGTCGCAGCACCCTCTGCCACAGAAATGATGGTGATAGGGGATGGACTTACCCATATTGAAGAGGTGTGCATTTTCCAAGTAAGACACATGGTTTCATACGCTGTTGAGCTCATATCGCTGAATGAAGATCCTTATCTGAGTTACTGATATAAAATTAACAATGAACGAGAATAGTTGTGACCTGTCGCATATCGATTGAATGATGTGTGGCGCAAAACTAATTGTCGTGGGCAGAGGCAACACGTAGCCTTTCCTGAGGGGTATCAGACCCGTCTGCATGTGTCTTCCAGGTTAATGTAAGATAGAACTTCTATTGAGTGGCCTATTCCTTGGCTCAATGCGCTTGGCTGCATTTAGACCCCTATGCTAAAGGCCTCTGAGGCTCCAAATAGCAAGAGTCCTCCGGATGACCCAGGTATGAACCCAATATCGGTCTGTCTACCATTCAGTTTTTTGGTCATAGTAGACGTGTCGAATATGGGGATTTCTTATAGGTTTCGACTATCTCATAAGTGAACTGGATGCTTTCGGCCACAACCCGCATATTTTGCTAAAAGCAAGCCCGGATAAAGTCGATGGATAGGGAGAGAGCGCGAGTTGAAGAACGTGGGATCGGCCAGTAACCGTTACAACTCAAGCCTTGGCAGCAAAACAACGTTCTCGCCCTTGCTTTCCTCCTTCCTCGCTTAGATGAGATCGGCAGAGGATCATATTTCCGTTTCGTAGTAGCTCCAATTCTGCCATTCTCTGAAGGGTTGATCTCCGATCACATGGCATCCAAAGCCTTCCATCAGACGCTGCAGAATGACGTTAGCAAGAGCTGCCTCTGGATGTCTGCGAACACATGTACATACATCACAATCACAGGAGTTCATCCCCTTCTTCTCCCATTCCTAAATGGGGTGCGCAGATCCCTGTGGCTGCGTTAATGATCCCTTGAATCAAAGGAGAGAGTGACAGGGGGGAGGAAGCGCGAGCGGTTAGGTTACCCTGTCACTGACATAAAATGTTTAATACCCCATAGACCCATACATGACTTCGATTAATACTAAGGAGCCAACAAGTTGATAAATCCCCCGGTCTATGTTGTACCAAGAGTCAGGATGCAGTCGGTCAACGACTTTCGCTCCTGAAGCCCTAACGCAGACATTATACCTCTAGTGCGGAATGAATAGTTCTTTTATCAGTAACGCAGCCAATGAACACTAGTCTTACCGCACGTAAAATTAACTCTGAAACTAGTCAAAATACCGTATCTTGGGGACTTACTTGACCCCCTCGCCCTTGAACATTCCACCCAACGGCTAGCGTGATTTGCGGAATTTCTCCCCACAAGCTTTTCTCTGGAGTGCTTGCCTACCAAAGTTGTGAGAAACTCTAGTATCTCCGCGGCGAAATTACCCACCAAGTCGAAGTAAACAACTCGATGAGTCCAACACGTCCAGGCGCCTCGCCTGCAAGCTTTGGCCAAGTGTTGGTTTCATCAACAGTTGAACGCACAAAAGCCTCACGAGCATGCTCCACATGCCGGGAGAAGAAAGCAAAGGTAACGTGTTATGGCTTATCTACGAAGCATTACCGTTGACTAGAGCAGTGCACTGGAGGAATTCCGTGTGAGAGGTGTAGGAGAACGGGAACTGTGTGCCTGTTAGACATAGATTCCGACCGACGGCGAAAGGTTGTCCTGAAACACTCGCTGGAGGCGGTTCAGCGGTATAGAAATTTGTTGATGGCAATATTGGAAATTCTCGGCGATGATAATAAGACGCGGAGCTTGGAACTTATTGAGCAAGTGAAGACGGGCGCCTCCCTGGAAGAAATTTCGCAATATGTAGCGAAGGCTGTAGGGCAAAACGACTTTCTCGGTAGTCCGACAGCCTCGCGGCAGGTATCTGTCGAGCCGAAGCGTACCCAGTCGCCCAAGCTGGAAGACAGCCAGGACATTATGGATATAAAGAACTTAATTCATGGCACAGACCGTGGCCAATGACGGTCAGTAGCTTTTCTTCATCGGCGGACTGCCAGATACGATATGTTCTCTTGAAGTTTTAGTACGTGGCAGCATAAGATCATGATACTACCTTACGGGAAAGCGCTTCTTGATACCTCCAGCTGACCAGTACAAACATCTTCCAACCTTTGTCTCCGAGTTCTTAGATGGCCGATTACAACGCACGGTTCTTCACAGCTCCGCTCGGTGAGTGTTGCTCATCAAGGAACATCTCTAGAGACCTATCATATTTCACTGTGATTCTACATTCGACGCCTAGTTGCGATAGGAATTGAAATGCTAGATACGCTACGTTTCTTGTTTGACGATTATTGGGAGACTGGGGTGGGCTTTCTTGAATCGCCGTCTATTAAGCCATCTGACAAATATAAATGCCCTATAGTTACTAAATTGTGTACCCACATCCGAACCACAACACTAAACACATACACTGGCAATCACTTTATCGTATAACGTTAAAGTCACGGTAAATGGACCATACGTGTATATAATATACCGACGGCACTGCTCCCCTTCGCCTATGTAAAATTTAGCAAACGTGACCCCAGCGGGTGGAAAAGTCGCGCTGAGGTTTGTTCATGCCGAGAAGCGAAGACAACTTCACACACAGTAAATGATTATCGCAAAATCTAATTACCAATATATGTAGTGTGGGAAAGGAAAATGGTATTGGGCATTATCTCATTCTACGGAATGAATGATCATCTGAAGTGGAGGAGGTGGGAATAGCTTCAACCTTTTCCGGTTCAGGTAATACTCACAATAACGTTTGGCATTCGCTTGATCACCAGCATATGGTGTTTACTGCGGGGCAGAGCACGCAATAACGACAAGGTGTACCCAAATGTTTGTCTGCGAAAGTCCCGCTAAGAAGTGCGGTGGGTCAAAGTTGGGGGCCAAATTAAGAGTCGTTGAATCTCTCCATATACGCTATGCTATTTTCCTATCCCAGATATTGCCCATTCTATTCTTCACCCCCTCTACCTAGAAACCGTCAGTATGGTGCAAAGCTCCCCTGCTACGCAGCCGCCGCTGCGAATCGGAACCCGAAGATCAGTCCTCGCCGTGGTCCAGGCAGAGGGTATCCGTGATAGTCTGCAAAAGATTGCCCCTGACCGATCCTTTGAGATCGAAGCACTCCACACCCTTGGCGACAAAGACAAGTCTACGGCCCTCTACGACTTTGGGGCGAAGAGCTTATGGACAAGCGAGTTGGAAGAAAAACTTACGTCCGGCCAGTTGGATGTCATAGTGCACTGCCTCAAAGGTAAGCCTGCTAATCTTCTTGCTTTTGTATTAGTGAGCATTCCTATAACTGTTGACCAGATATGCCGACCACGCTTCCCGACTCGTGCGATCTAGCAGCTATTCCACTTCGCGATGATCCCCGGGATGCCCTGGTTGTCAAGGCCGGACTGCCGTTTACCAGTTTGAAGACACTGCCCCAAGGAGCAGTAGTCGGCACTTCGTCTGTGCGGCGCTCAGCGCAACTTCGCCGTCTTTACCCTCATCTGCGGTTCGCAAACCTGCGCGGCAACGTCGACACCCGCCTGGCCAAGGTCGATGATCCTGGGAGCCAGTATACATGCATGATTATGTCTGCAGCAGGCCTCGAGCGCGTTGGCCTCAAGTATCGCATCAACCAGTACCTCGGCTCCAAAGATGGTGGTATCCTGCACGCCGTCGGTCAGGGAGCACTTGGTCTGGAGATCCGGAAGGGAGACACCAGCACCATAGAACTGCTGAACCAGCTGGCCGATCAAAAGTCTACGCTTGCTTGTCTCGCGGAGCGCGCTCTCATGCGTACACTTGAAGGCGGGTGTAGTGTTCCAATTGGTGTTGAGACAGAGTGGGTTGACCAATCCTCCAATCATTTGAGGATGAGTGCAATGGTCGTTAGTCTGGACGGGTCCCAAAGCGTTCAAGATGCCATCGATAGGACGGTGTACACCGTTGATGAAGTGACAGCACTAGGACATGAGCTGGCTGAAAGACTCAAGGCAAAAGGGGCTGAGGCAATTTTGAGCGAAATCAATGTTACCCGACCATCCAAAGACTAAGGAAATCACAGTTATCTCTATATATGCATAGGCAACCTCTTTCCACCCCGCTATTCAAATAACAGACTCCCCTAGTGCATGGTATATATGCATCTATTCAGATTTATATTAACTGCAAGGCTTCACATTAGTCAATGACCACCCCGACAAGCTACAGCCTAAGTGACACAGTCGCACAGTCACTCTGGCATACTGTGGGAGTACCTCTTAGGCGTAAAAGCTACATTGGAGAAGTGAGAAGCGAGAAATGACAAGAAATAAAGAACTCAAACGATGGATCTTTAATAACACAAAGGTACCCAGGCAGACTAGGCACAGCAAATGGTTCGCACGTATGAAGGGGACATAGGTTGCGATTACCGGACACAGTGGAAGTTAGGGTTTCTGCCTTCACATAGCATGTAGGCCAGATATATAGACATAAAGCAGATAAGCATAGTTCGGCCTGACTGGATACTCTTGCACCAAAACTCTGACCTCGGGGCGAAGTAGTGCAGCATTATACCTTCCGGTCCAGCTTCCAAGTTACAACCGCCCAGCCCACCATCACCGTGCTCAAACTTTGCCATACCCTGCTAAAGACATGCACTTTTTAAGTGAATTCATTATTCCCCCTCCCCCCTTCTTGTCTAACTTCAAAGTTCCTTAGTTTCTGCGCCTGCAAACAGAGACTGGGAGCTTCTCGTTGTAGCTGAGAGTAGGCTGAAATCATATCAAGTTGAAGGTAGGTAAATTGACGTAAATTCTCTCTAACATGTTTATTAAAAATATAATTCTCTGACTTAGAATACAGTAAGTTCCTAATCTGAGAAACATAGACGGTACTAAGCATAGCTATGCCGCATTCTTCTCTAGTTGGTATCATAGAAGTTTAACCTACCCCTTACAAGAGAGAAGGCATACCTCAGCCTGTAATACATGGTCCTAAACCGAATACAAGAATCATTTTTCAATTAAATTTCCCTGCGTGTCCATCGCCTTAGTCCCCTCAATAGGAGAAAGCCAAGGACGTCGGCACGACTCCCACACCTCCACCGTGGGATGCAAACTTGCGCGGTTGTTGATGGTCCCGCTCGCCACGGAGATATATTGTAACCCCTCCGGCTTGTCACTTTGGACGAAAAGGCTGGATCCACAAGTTTCGCAAAACGAGCGTTTCAAACCTGTGCCTGAACTGGTGGCTTTGTCATGGTAAGTCTTGACGGACTCTTGGCCTTGAGTTATCTGGACTTGCTATTCTCTCTTTAGCCTTGATGTACTATCTATATGATGGGTGTGAAGAAAGTGAATACTTACGTCTTTTATATACCAGCAATTCGCCATAAAAGCCGACCCTGATACTTTTTGACAGTTGTCACAGTGGCAGACGAAAAATTGGCCTGGATCACCGGTGATTCGGTACTGCACAGCTCCGCAGAGGCACGAACCTGAATTTGAAGATGCCATTCTTGTGTCTTGCGAAGGGAATGAAAATGAAGGATTAGAGACTTGGGTTCATGGGGACATTTATGCATCAAGACATGCGGGGAAGGTGAGTCGGCCTGCGTCTCTACTAGAGGGATGCCGTACGGACTACTCTAGAAGCTTCTCGATCGTTCACCTGGCGGCTAGCTTAGCCTTGCGTCTTAAGGTAGGTACATACACCCACGGTGGCACGGATACGAGATATCAGGCGCCCAGCGCAGTAGCGTAAGCGTCAAACGTTCTTGGATGATGATGATGATGATGATTGTATTTTACGGCCGTGGTTCACCGCCGAAGCATGTGACCCACCTATCCCCTATTGGGGCAAAGGCCGCCAGGGGGTAAGTCCTGGGCGTCTCTAACTAGCTTATAGTTCTAGTTATATGTACATGAAGGGGGCTTTGGCGCGTTTACGTAGCTGCCGTAGTCAAGAAAAGAAGAGGGCCTGCGGTAGCAGATATAGAGATAATGCCAGCTGCACGGGTCCACCTACACTCCGTAACCGATTCTGCCTCCACTGCGTAGTTTTTTTTTTTTTTTTTAGGAAATATAGAGAACAAAAGAGAAGAAGATGTGATATCTCAGTCTTGCTAAGATGAGGGGTGTTGTGGGCAAATATTCTCAAAGAAACAGGTCTCAGATAGCTATGCGGCTAGTTTAGCTGCACCTCTTGAAGTGCCTAGTAAGTAGAGAATTGTTTTAGAGGGGGGACCTGGGGGTCATGGCAGGTGTCTCTTTGCAATACAGCAGAAGAAGAAGTGTATGGGGGATTTTCTTGCTCCGCAGCGGCAGAGAAGATACATATCTTTGTGATTAAATCGCTCATAGTAAGTTATAAAGTCGCCATGTCCTGTATGAGTAGCCAGGATCCGCGCGAGCAGGGAGTAAGAGATCTTCAGCTTATCTAGGCACTGGGGGGAGAAGACAATATATAGATCTTAATATAATTGTGGAGCTGTAGTCAGCCAGTATCTTTATAAGGCAGATATCACATCAGCCTTTGTTTTCTGTTTTAGTGAGGTATATGAGTACTTGCTTAAAGAAGGGGGTTACATAGCGGCTTCTGTTTTAGCAGTGAGATCAGCTGCTTCATTCCTAGGGATGTCTACATGCCCAGGGACCCAAAGGATCCGTACACAGCCGCCATCAGTATATAGGAATCTCTCCCGTGTAGGCTATGTCAAGGCAATGATCCGGAAGGATTTGAAGATCTCTTGTGATAAGCCTGTAAATAGTGATAGAAGCCGTGTGGCTATCTCTAGATTATCTAAACAAATCTAAAGATTGGTAGTAAAACAAGCTATATATAGTGCTAATACTGCTTTGACTCCAGCTAATACTGCTTCAGCTTCAGCGTTAAAGACCTCTTTATTTAAACCAAGGGAAAGAGAAGATTGTAGAAATTGCTTCCCAGACTGATATAAAATAAAGCCAGCGCCTGCTATCCTATTTACTAGTTTAGATCTGTCTGTAAAGACCTTTATATCAGTGCCCGGGAGAGATATAAAGAAATCTTAGAAACTAATAGCTGCCTTCTGCTTTGACTGTGTAGATGCCCTAATCTGCAGGTGAGCAGCTTCTCATAACTCTTGTGAGAGCTATAGAGCATATTATAGCAGGTTTAGTTACTCTGATTCTGGCAGGGCTAGTACCCGGCGTGTAAAGCGGCTGATTAGGCATCTAACTTAGGCAATTCTTGCTGCCCTTCTCTGGAGAGGATAATAGAGATCTAGGTAGCAGAGGCAGATTATAGTAGAGATAGCTATATAGTCTAGCTCTACTCTTGTAGGGAGAAGTCCTGACTCCCGGAAGAGAACAGGTATTAGGATTATGTAGTAGACAGGGAGAACTGCCCTAGCGCTAGCTAGTATTACCTTAGTAATCTGATCAAGATAGCCTTAAACCCGGTTTAATATTGAATCTGTATATAGACCTGGGTGTGTACAGCCTGGCCACCAAGTTTCGGCACTAAAATAGACTTTGCAGAGAATACAGGCTGAAATAGCCTGATATATAAGGTAAGGGCTAACTCCATATACTGTATTGTCCAGGCTGCAAAAAGCATTTACAATAGTTAGGGCTTTTAAAGCTAATTTCTTAATATAATATTTAAAGCTAAGCTTCTTATTAAAGAGGACCCCGAGCCACTGTAGATATAGGCAGGTTATATTCTCAGAGACTATAACTTATCCTGCGGAAACTGAGAGTATACAGCTGGGATCTTGGTTTGCTATATATTATATAAAGTGTATTAGCTTATATTTATCTGGCATGAAAATAATTCTCTCTTTAGAATCTCAGTTCAGGGTCTCTTGTAGGGATTCTGATAGACTCTGGCAGTTAGTCTCTAGAAATATAAAGGTAGCCAAGATTGCTGTATTATCCATATAGCCAAACCTGGTTATTGGATAACCTAATCGGAAAAGGGGGGATAGATACAGTATAAATAGAATTAGTAATACTAGTAAGTCCTGTAGTAGGCCACAGAGTATCTCTATTATAGGTCCTAATTCACCATCAAGTCGGATCTGTACTGTGTGTTCTGTAATAAAGAAAGCAACCCAGTAAATAAGATTATCTGGCTATTCTTATAAGTATAGTCTATGGACAAGTCTCCCTGGAAGAACACTATCGAAGGCTTCTTTCATGTCCAGAATAAGTAGTAAAACTGTTAAATCTTGATTCAGTGCTTGCTCTATATTGTGCAGTAGGCAGGTAGTGAAATCAATAGCAGACTAAAGAGATAGAGCCCCAAATTACTGACTAGCTAGGACTTTGTAGTGAATTATAATCCATACTATATTCCGCACTATCAGGTATTCCAGGCCTTTGTCTAGAACTGAGAGAAGGGTAATTAGCCTGTATAATCTGGGATTTACCCAGTCTATTTTGTTTGGCTTCTGGATAATAGCCAGAACTGTGTGGCAGAAGCAGTAAGAATAGTAGCCAGTTAATAAATAGCCTTAATAGAGTGCTAGTACTCTATTCTTAATCAGGGGCCATACCACCTTAATTATACTGGTAGATAGTTTATCACTTTCTGGAATAGTATTACCTATATACAGAACTGCTGTCTCTACCTGAGTCATTGCTATATCAGGGAATAGCAGGAAGTTAGATGGAATAGCTGGTATATCTAGTAGAATATTGCCTGCCTCCGCGAGGTTCTAGAGGAGATTGTGAGCTAGGATATCACATTTTTCTTGTATATTAGCTGCTAGGAAATTATCTGGCCGCTGAGGATCCTTTATTAGAGGGCTACAGTAGGTCTCTATTAACTTATACTATTTTACCATGTTAAAGACCTCTTTGCTAGTGATTAATATATTAATTTTCTTTCTCCAGTATTGCTACTGGGATTATTTAACAACCTATCAGAAGTTCTTTTGTGTGTATAGCCCTGACCAGTATTTCTAGAGTGTCTTCTTGCACTCTAAGTTCCACCAGGCTTGTTCTCTACCCTGAGATAGAGATTAAAGTACTGAGACTGAGTATATACTATAAATAACTAAGATAATCCTATTTATAAATCTATCTAATATATTTTCTGATCCTGCTGTAGTTGGAAGGCCCTTGATATTTTGAGCCAGAAGCACATGGAACCAGGGAATATCAAGAGTGCTGAACTTTAGTTTTTATAGGGCCTCTGTATATCTCTGGCCCCAGAGTAAGGTAGTAAGTAGAGGGCGGTGATCTGATATAGTATCTAAATAACTTATTACTCTAGTTTATGCCCTGTCTAGAGCCAGAGTGCCAGAGATAAAGATTAGGTCTAGGATATTGCCTTTATTATGTATAGAAGTATCTATCTTAGAGATAAATACTAGTCCTAGCCTGTTAAGCTATTTAGTCACTGGCTCAGCCAGGGCAGAGGGCCCCCGCTGGAGTGAGGTTTACTATCTGCTATACAGAAGATTGAAATCGCCAGCTAGTAAGATTAGTTAAGAGAAGTATAAATCAGGCAGGTTAGTAAGTGCTTGTATGGCTCTATTAGATCAGATTAAGTTTGTGCCAGGCAGGGCATTATAGAGGTTGAGTATCAGGACAGACTATCCTGATCGTGTAAAGATTTGAAGTAGGAGAAGATCTGATAAGGTCTCTTGATCTATTAGATCTGGTCAGAGCTGGGAGGCCTGAATACCCTTCTTTTTCCATATATAAGTAAGAACTCATGGTTATCCACTAGTAACCTAGTTATCTGTTAGGCTGAAGCATTTATATAAGAGATACCTCTGTATAATTTTCCGGGCAAGGTTTTTGAATATATATGGTTCTTATATTAGAATAATGTTGATATTATTAGAGTATACTTAAGAAAGAGCAATTTCATAGACTATAACCACGCAGTCTATATTTAGTTAGAGTATTAAAAATATCTTCTTTATTAGATATCTATGGAATCTTATATTTTCTTATTTATTAGAATATTAAACTGGTTATGTTATTGAGGTGTAGCAAAGTATACAGCCTTGAATATAACCGGAGAAGAGTCTGCAGGCCCTTACAGGAAAGAAGTAGCCGGGCAGAAGAGTAAGAATATAATTTGGTTCACAGTAGACATATCCTGATCCTGAGAGATATCAGGGACTGGACCGGCTGTAATATCTGTAGTATCTGCAGGGACTTGTATGCAGCACTTGCTCTCTGAGTGTGCTTTAGCTAGATTTAGAGAGCAGGTCTTGTAAATCTCAGCCTGCTGAGCCTTAGTATATTAAGGCCCAGACTTTCTAGGCCGGAGAAGACATTGTTCATAGTCTGCCGGATACAGGCCATGGCAATGTAGGCACCTTGGGGGGCAGATATGAGAGAATAGAGCAGCACAGTGGTTAGTATAATTCTTCTCAGTATATTATATAGAGCCGCAGAGACAGCAGCAGGAGTTGTGAGCACAGGATCTAGAGTTATACCACTTCCAGCAGCGGCTGCATTGCATAGTCTTTATTCTTTTAGTTAAGGGTTAGGCATTGGTGATTATGCTAAATAAAGACAGCCTTACAGGAAGCATGGTCTTGCTTGCTTCAGGAAAGTTAATAAACTAGCTTGATAAGATAGTATTTGAATTGGCAGCACTGGCCAAGGTCTCAGTTACAGCAATAGAGATCAGGCCGGTAGCTTTAGTGACCTCAGCAGTTAATATCTCTGGGGTTACAGGGATTATAGAGTATTGCCACACTGTAAGCTGGCCAACTTTCCTTAGTATATTAGTTACACAATAAGAGATCCAGCGAGAACTGCGCTCAATCTGGCAGGTGTTAAAGAAGGTAGAGATAGTCTCTTTCTGCGCCTCCAGGGCTGTGAGGGCACCTG